GAGGTCGATCGGTGATTCGACTTCTTATACCATTTGAGCTTCTCCCTGCGTGGGGTCGCAGCACCAGATGCCAGGGCAGACGGGGGAACCGATGGAGAGAGAGAGCCCTTCTTCGGGGTCGTCGCACCGGACGAAAATTGGGTGTCGCTATCCGAGTCATCGGTGATAACACTGCCTGGGCGAGACGATCCGTTTGTCGAAACCGCCTGGAGCTTCAAGAGCTGTGAGAGAATACCACTACCACCAGCCAATCCACTAGATCGTCGGCGTGCAAACCCACGCAGGACACCCTCCGGAGTTGTTTGACCCGACCGCTGGTATGCGCCGCGCGGCCGACGTTTGCGCTCCTGGGCCTGGGTCATGCTGCGCACCAGGCGATGGGCCTCGGCGGTCGGGGCGGCCTCGATGGGTTGAACACCGTTCTCCAACGATCGGAGTCGGTCTGCATCCTGACGGGCTCGTCGTGCTTGAAGCTCCTCCAGAGGAATACCATTGTCGAAATCATCGGGGAAGTAGGAGGCGTTCAGAGCCTCGCCTTCATCGGGAGGACGACCCAGACGTTCCGTGAGACGAACGGTCTTCTGGCGCAACAACTGACCAGCAGCTCGAAAGCGCTCTCTTGCGGAAGCAGTTCGCTCGATGAGGCTTTGCTTTTCCTCCTCGGCGGGTTCAGCGGGCGATTCCTCCTCCTCTGGCATGCGGCCACCCGTGAGGCCGCGTGAATAAGAATGTGCGGGGACTGGCGGGGTGACGGTTCCGGAAGGCACTTCACTCAACTCTGGTGGCGGCAACAAATACTGTGAGGGATCGGAGAGGTCGGAGGAGTTTCGACGAGAGCCATCGCGACTGTGGCCACGGCCATGGCCATGAGTATGAAATCTCTCGCTTACCGAGCGGCTGATTGAACGGAAACGCACTCGCGGCGAACGAATTGGTGGGGTGGGCTGCGTTGGCGGCGTCTGCGTGTCGTGCAGCCCCGCATCGTATTGATGCAAATCTGCAGTATCTTCTCGCTGGAGACTGGGGCGAGTCGGATTGAGGACTGGACTGATGAGTGGACTGGGGAGAGTTGTCGCAGGGAAGGAAGTAGGAAGGGGAATTTCATCGAATTCTTCGGTCGGGCTTGGGTGAGGGCCAGCGATCGGGGAGGACATCAGAGCGAGAGAGGAGGGACCAAATGGCCCAGTCTATTGGAAAAAGAAACACGATAGAGAAAGTGGGAAAGAATAAAGGAGTTGAATTGAACGAGGGGAATTGAATAAAAGATAGGAATCAAAAACAAGACACAGTAGAAAGTAGAAAGTAGAAAGTAGAAAGCAGAAAGCAGAAAGCAGAAAGCAGAGGGAAAATATTTAGTACAAAAGCAGCCAGTGGAGCAAGCCAGATGGAGTATTTACTTGGCTGGACTCGGCACTTTTGGAGAGAGTCTAGATTGATGATCGACCGAAGATCAGATCCAGCGATAAGGATTCTACAGTATGTACTCAGGGTTAGGGTATATGTACAGTAGGAGATACTATTGTTGAGTGTTGGTATACTCCGTGTACTGTGTATAGATACTGACACCTGACTTCACCTTCGTACTTCCCTCAACTTCCCTTCTCACCACCGCCACACCACATCGATTCTTCGCGACTCTTCTTTTTCCCTTCTTTTCCTTCTTTCCCTTCTTTTTCTTCTTTTTTTTGCCTCTTCCACTTCTCCTGACAGAAGTCAAATCCCTTCTGCCAATGATGGCGCCTAGCCCGACACACGTACCACCTGTACATCACCCAAGGGTGGGTCGGTGGCGAGCTTGGACCGAGTCTTCCGTCGTCCGATGGTTCGTTCCAGCTTCTATCTCTCCTTTCTAGCGTCCTGCGAACCCTAATACGTTCTAGCCTCACACGTTCGTCGGACTTTTATCTCTTGCTCACTACGGAAAATATCTGATTTCCCTGAAAATGGTCGACCCTAAAAACGCCCGTGCTATTTCCCACATCCACTGTTGGGCACAATCTTGCTTTGCGTGATTTCCTTTCGGGAGCTCCGTCTGACGATCGGGATCCACGGAGTTCCATCACGGCCCTCCAGGGATTTTTTTTTGTTCCAATCGCGATATAGCCACCTCCTGAGCTCAGGAGCTGATGTGGACTCTTCGCAAGGGAGTATGACAGCGCCATGGCCCACCACGTTGTGATCATCCAGCCATGACAATGACAACTTGTGATAAGTGGAGACCGCAAACCTGGCCAAAGGAGCTCCCAGCCAAGCGCCCCCCGGTTATACATAGAAACAGGCCCACTCGCGCGAAATAAGGGCGACACACTGTTCACCATTACGAATCCTTGAGACATGACAAGGAGAAGATGTGCTCAATACCCGCGCCACTCGAAGGTAGTGGAAGTGGGCCCCTGGATAGTGGGTGGATGAATTGAATTCCATTTCCATTTCCTAAACGCCTGTGATATGATGCTATCATGCTCGAGTCCAGAACGCCTATTCCCCATCCCCACTGGCATCCCCCACCCTTCGTCACACATTGCATATTTCACATTTGTTTTGCATTTGCATTTGCATCGACCGTCGGTCATTGAGCATCCATGCGATGCATGAAACAAACAACATGTGGCAACTTGGTCCCTGCTCTATTCCTCCGAGCGCTTCTTCTTATCGGGCAAAGCCCAGCCATTCAAATATCCCACGCCCACATTGAGATATGAGGCGTATCCCAACCACGCGTAGTACGGAGTCATCAACCAAAAGGCCGTCCGGTCGGCCGTCCACCAATTGGCCAGCAAGAGGGTCAAGTTGCCTACCAAGAGGGCCATATCACCCAGAGCCGCGGCCGGCCGCCCCGCCCCGAAGAAAAGCGGCATCCAGAGGAAGTTCAGTGCCAGCTGTGTTGTGTACAGCGTCTGGGCCGTTTCGTTTGCGTCACGAACCGCCAGTGAGAGCGACCCGGCTGCTGTTTCGGTTGCGTGGTGCGCGGCATACCCCATCATTCCATAAAGAGCGGTCCAGGCAGGGGCGAAGAGCCATGCCGGCGGACTGAACGGCGGTTGGCGGAGGTCACGATAAGTTGTTTTGGTGTTTTTCTCTGTAGATGCGGTGTGAGCGGGTGTGTTTCGGGATTTGAGTGGCTGCATGCATGTTTGGGGGGGATTTCACTCACGGTTGACGGCCAGCGCAACGGCCATTCCGCCGACAATGGGCGTGGCGACCGATAGTAGCGGAGAGGTGAACACCCCCTGGGGGAGCGCAAAGGACCACGGCATGGTTATTGACCTAGATCTTGGATCTGTGTTTGCTCAATTTTTCTCGTCTCTTCTCTAATCTGGAGATTCTGTGATTCTTTTTGCGGAGAAGGGGGGATCAACTTTTAAGGCCGCATGAAGCCGGCCGATCGCGATCTGGCGATTGCCATCCGCCACTACGTCACCGGCTCACTTTTGCCGATGCCGCGAGCCACTTGGCTTAGGTGACATTGCAAAAGCCGGAAAAGGATACAGAGCTATCTCATTTTCACTCGGCTGTTCAATCTCGATCTGGCTGAAATAAAATGGGGTTGTAATCCAAGGTTTGATTGCTGGTGCCTTGTCTCTCATGCGCGTTCTAGAGCATCCCGGTCGTCCTGTGCGACTTATGTTTTATGAGCAATGGACTTATTTCGACGGTGACTTTTTAGCATCTTGGCCTGCCAATTCAGTCATTGCCACTGGAGAAAGGGGCTGATATGACTGCTAAGTGACCGGTTAGAAAAATTTCAGCAACTATATAAAATGATGAGAGGAAGGGCAACCTGAAGGGCCTGGCTTTGTCTAGTATCGGTGACTTATTTTTGTTCCTTCTTCTGATTCGCAATCGACGAGATGCCATTGCGTCTTCTGTGCCTCCATGGATGGGGCACAAGTAAAAAGGTTAGCCTTTTGTTTGCTAAATGAGGCGCGAGACTGAGTTACGTTACGGCTGACTGAACTACCGTATGGTAGATTCTACGCTCGCAATTGAGTATGGATAACTCCGATACCATTGCATCGGGCTCGACCTCCTGATTGATAACCCATTGATAGGCGGACTCATCGGTGACCTGCAGAAAGACAACAAGGCCACCTTTCATTTCCTAGAAGGCGAGGTCGACTCCGACGCTGGACCAGGCATCGCTGGTTATTACGACGGGCCATACTATAGCTATTATCGTTTCCCACGGACATTTTCCCTTGAAGACGCAGATGAGACAGACATTCTAGAGGCGTACGAGCTGCTATACGAAACAATCTCCTTCCATGGCCCTTTCGATGGCGTGTTGGGATTTTCTCACGGTGGCACATTGGCTGCTGGTTTCCTGATCCATCATGCCAAACAACAGCGGGCCGGAATATTGCCGCCGGAGGCTCCGCTGTTCCGCTGTGCTATCTTTGTCAATTCTCTGCCTCCGTTTCACATGAATCCCGGGCAACATCCTGTTATAGACGAGGACCTGAATGGGTACATTGCCATACCCTGTGTAAGCATTGCAGGTGCACAAGATCCACTTTTCAACTGCTCTCTGGCCCTACATCGAATTTGCGACTCGCGTTCTTCAACATTCGTGGTGCATGGGAAAGGTCATGATGTCCCCACAGATCAGAGAAACGTAGCCATCATGGCATCTGCAATTCGCAAGTTGTCTATCCAGATTTCTGGAATATGAGGCATTAGTAGAAATTCTGAGCTCGAGCCAGCAGTCAGCAGCGAGGGAGAAAGAAGCAGAAAGTTGAAAGCAGCCAGATATCGATACTCTTCTGTGCATGACTCGGCGATTTATGTGTCACATCCACTCGATTCTAGGGTTGCAAATCTTCTGGGTTGGCAATCGTCTACAAATGACCCGAGGATATTACTAAGTGCAAAGCTCTGCAGCTATAGTCAGGTCAGAAACTCGGTAGTTTGGCAATTCTAGACCATTTTGTTTCATTTCTTTTCTTTTTCACACCATCAGTCAGTCCTTCGTGTCAGATACTTCGGCATTGGGACCCAACATGAAAGAAATTCCTATTACGCTTGTGGCAACCAACTCCAGGTTGTTGATGGAATGCACCAACATAGGTGAAACAGGAAACTCTGAAAAATCCGCTCAGGACGTACATGATGATTTTTCGATCTTGGCCGAAGATGCCTCAATGCCGATAGCGGTTATCGGAATGGGGTTTAGAGGCCCCGGAGATGCAACTAATGTGGAAAGACTGTGGAAGGCTCTACTGGAGCAACGTGAAGAATGGTCACCCATTCCAGAAAAACGATGGAATAGCTCCGCGTTCTATCATCCTGACCACGCGAGACATGGCACGGTGAGGATCCGAGATGACTCAAGTCAGCGGGTCATTTATGCTGATATATCATGATTCTTCAGATCAACGTGGAAGGCGGTCACTTCCTCGAAGAAGATATATCGTTATTCGACGCACCGTTTTTTAACATGTCCAGCGACGAGGCGGCAGCTATGGATCCTCAGCAGAGGTTATTGCTGGAGGTTACATATGAGGGACTAGAAAACGGTTGGTTCTTACCCATCGGATGATCATCAAGCTTAACGGACCGCTGAACCTTTTAGCTGGGCTGTCTCTGCACCAGGTTGCCGGTAGCAAGACTTCATGTTTTGTTGGATCATTTTGTGCCGACTATACCGATTTACTTCTTCGAGATCCTGAGGCAGTGCCGATGTACCAATGCACGAATGCTGGGCAGTCTCGCGCTATGACTGCAAATCGTATTTCCTACTTCTACGATTTGAAAGGGCCCAGCGTCACAGTTGACACTGCTTGCTCTGGTAGCTTAGTTGCCTTGCATCTTGCATGTCAAAGCCTTCAAACTGGGGATGCAACGATGGCAATTGCGGCAGGGGCCAATATTATCTTGAGTCATGAGTTCATGTCCACGATGAGTATGATGAGGTATTAAATATAGTATTTGTAACAATCATTGGATAGTATATATGCTGATGCATTCACAGATTCTTATCGCCAGATGGGCGCTGCCATACCTTCGATGAAAAGGCCAATGGCTACGCAAGGGGCGAAGCAATAGGTTGCGTTCTTCTGAAACCTCTGGATCAAGCACTACGAGATGGGAACACCATAAGAGCAATTGTCCGCGGGACTGGGTCAAACCAAGATGGCCGAACACCAGGAATCACTTTGCCCAGTGGTGCCGCTCAAGAAGCGTTGATTCGAGACGTGTATGAAAGATGCGGGCTGTGTCCAAGTCAAACGGACGTTGTGGAGGCCCACGGCACCGGTACACAGGCAGGTGATCCTCTGGAAACAGGCGTGATATCGCAAGTATTTGGCCCCGGGCGTTCTCCAGAAAACCCCGTATATATTGGATCCATTAAGACAAATGTTGGACACCTGGAAGGGACTAGTGGAGTTGCGGGGGTTATCAAAGCCGTGCTGATGCTGGAAAATCAAACAATTCTTCCTAGTCGGAACTTCGATACGCCAAATCCACGCATCCCTCTCAAAGAATGGAAGCTGATAGTAGGTATATGGGATATTTCATATACCCACAGACTAATGTGAACAGGTACCCCGATATCCAGAGGGCTGGAATAATCCCGGTCCGCGTCGGGTGTCAGTAAATAGCTTCGGCTATGGAGGGAGTAACGCTCATGCTATTCTCGAAGAGGCCTCCGGTTATCTATCTTCTCGTGGACTAGGCAGATGGCATGAGGAGCCATTAAAAGCTAGCCGGAGGAAAAGAATGGGGAACGACACCATTTCAGTCGCTTCGACTCCCAGGCAGAGAATATTTCTAATATCTGGATTTGACGAGCACTCCTGCAAGGCGCAAGTCAAGTCTCTCTATAGGTATTTGTTAAAGAACGAAAGTATCATCGACAATATCTTCCTCGGTGATGTCGCTTCTACCTTGAGCGAAGGTCGATCTCGGTTCATGTGGAAGACAGCAGTTACTGGGAGCTCATTCCAAGATTTGGCCCAATCGCTTTCAAACGAAATAAAACCTCGGATTTCATTGAAAAGGCCAACCTTGGCTTTTATCTTCACAGGACAAGGGGCGCAGTGGGCTGGCATGGGAAAAGAATTGTTAGACGCGTATCCAGTATTTTGCGAATCTATATCTCGAATTGACGGTTATTTGGCGGAGATGGGAGCGTCGTTCACTGTTTATGGTACGCATTGACAGTTGACCCCTCCCCAAATTGAGATAGCACCTGAGGGCTGATATTGACAATTTCTTAGACGAAATCTCCAAAAGCCCTCAAGACTCCCAACTCAACTATCCCCTTCTTAGTCAAACGGTGTGCTCAGCGCTGCAAATAGCTCTCGTTGACCTTCTTGGATCCTGGAAGGTATATCCAGACTCGGTGACGGGCCATTCCAGCGGAGAAATTGCCGCTGCGTATGCGAGTGGTGTGCTGAGCATGGAAGATGCTATGAAAGTCGCTTATTATAGAGGGTTGTGTGCCAGCAAGATTTTAGCATCGGATGAGGTTCGAGGCTCCATGATAGCTGTCGGTGTTTCGGAGGAGGCGATAGAACCATATATCTCGAGCCTTGTTTCTGGGAAAGCCGACGTGGCTTGCATTAATAGCCCGTCGAGCGTCACGGTTTCGGGTGATACAGAGGCGATTGCTGAGCTAGCCGAGAAGTTAAAGGAGAAGTCCATCTTTTATCGGCGCCTCGCTGTGGATGTTGCATATCACTCTCATCATATGAAGATTATTGCTGATGAATATTCAAGTGCGATTGCAACTATCGCCCCCCGAAACCAACGTGTGAGCGCAGAGGAAACGTGGCAGCCTTTTGCGGTATCTATGTTTTCCTCTGTGACTGGTAAATGCATTCTACCGGAAGAATTAGGCCCTCGCTATTGGGTCTCTAATTTGCTTCAGCAAGTCAAGTTTTCCGACTCCCTCAAAGCTTTATGCTTCGAAACAAATCCATGGCATCATCGCACGGGTCTATTGAATGGACGGAAAGGAAAGAGAATAGGATCTGCTCAAAAGGCAAGCGTGGGCTGCCTTGTTGAGATCGGTCCCCACTCGGCGCTTTCTGGTCCCGTGAAGCAAATTATACAATCCAATGTCAAGCTTAGCACTGCCGATATTTTCTATCTCAGCATCCTCACACGAAACAAAGACGCAGTTAAATCGGCGCTGGGTGCTGCTTCCACTCTTGTCTCTATGAACTACCCGCTAGATCTGAATGCTATCAACTTTGCGAAAGGAACAGCAACACAAAGACGACACAGACTTCTTGTGGATATGCCTCCATATTCCTGGAACCATACCAGATCTTACTGGGCTGAACCACGCTTGAGCAAAGCATTTCGGAATAGAAGCCAACCGCGAACAGATCTACTTGGCACACCAGACAACATCGCATGTTCTTTTGAACCTCGATGGCGAAATTTCATCAGGGTTTCAGAGATTCCTTGGATCATGGATCATAGGATTCAATCGGATATTGTTTTTCCTGCTGCGGGATATTTGTGCATGGCAACTGAGGCTGCAACGCAGGTATCAGAAAACTCACAAAATATTTCCGCCGTCATCATGAGGAATGTTTCTATTCACTCGGCTCTCATCGTTACCGAAGCTAGCGAAGTTGAAGTTTTGACTTCACTTACACCACGCGGAGAAAGCCGGATGCATGATTCACGGGATTGGTATAGATTCCACATCTATTCGGTTTCAAGAGAAAATAAGTGGACAGAACATTGTTCGGGGGATATCAACGTCGAATCGCAACCTAATGGTACAGAGAATGTGACAATTCAGTATTCGGAAAGCTCGAATATCCATCCCGCCAGTTCCAAGCCACAAGGCATTCGGGTAGTCCATGTTGACCGTCTGTACGACCGACTACGGAAGGCAGGGCTTGAGTACGGGCCTTCCTTTGCTAATTTAACATCCGCCCACGCAACAGAAACTGGAACTTGCTTCGCTGAGATTACGATACCGAATACCGAGACAGCCATGCCGATGAACTTCCAATATCCCCTCCTTATTCATCCATGTACGCTGGACAGTGTTTTCCACACGATATTTGCTGCGCTGCCGGAGGACATGGGGGTGGAAAAGGGTCCTATTATCCCAGTGTCGCTCGGCTATATGCGCTTGTCTTGTCAGATGACTTCTTTGCCCGGAGACAGATTAAGCGTTTGTACGGATGTTCGGCCTGGCTCGCGGGGGCAGATCGTCGCCTCGATAGTCGTTGCTGAGAATGACTCCAATATGTGCAGTCTGAACCCGAAAATATCAATCAGCGGGTTGAGGGGTACCCGGCTCGAAGTTGCACCAAACATGAGCAAAAATTCAAAGAATGTTCCCATCGCATACGGAATTGAGTGGCGAGCGGACCCCATGTTTATCACCAAGGGTGAATTTTCACTCCATCATGAAAGGAATGGTAGCTCTCGAGGGAGTCTCATTCCGCGAGACGAATACGACTACTATGTCACAATCCTAATACAAAATGTGGTCGAGGCTTTCAAAGAAGAGCATAGTCGGAAACCAGATTTGATCTACGACAAATACAGATCGTCGTTGTCGGAAATGCTTCGCGTATATGCAATCGACGAGAACAAATCGCTTGATCAGATAATAGTCACCAACAAAGCTCCTTCGAGTCCGATGGGAAAATTAATCAGCATGATCGATGCCTACCTTGCTTCATTATCCCAGATCGAAGACGAATCCTTTACCCAAATTCACGAAGAGCTTTCCAACGCTTATCATGAAGTCCTTTCAATGGATAAAGCATACATTGCTGTCTTGGAGCATATCAAACTTATTGGATTTAAGAAGCCAGACATTTCAATTCTACAACTCTGTGATGGGACGGTTCGGCCATTGACAATCTTCCTCGAGGCATTCTTGGCCGATATCAGCAGCGAGGAGTCTTCTTTCCCCCCTTCTCAATATACACTTTTACATACCACGACGAGGAAGACCACGAGCGAGCAAAGTTGTACTTGGAAAAATGGACAAAGTGGATCGATCTGATGAAGCTCGGAGATCCGCGCGGAATTTCCGATCCTTCTATGCGTGGGCCGGACGATTTTTCCTACGATCTTATCATCGCACCGAATGGATTTCACTCATTCCACTCCAGCCTCGAGGCGCTTCAAATATGTCGCTCTATGCTGAAGCCGATGGGAACTTTGATTATCGTCGACCCGCTTCGTCCCAATGAGAGCATTCTAGATAATTTCCTAACCACCGCTTTATATCTATGGCCCGTGGGGAATTTCGAACCACCAAGGGGGTTGGAAGATGAGGGAAGTGACCTTGATGATATGATATATAAAGCTGGGCTTACGTCGAATCGAGACGCAGGCAGCAGTGACCGGCAGAGGAATCTCGTGGGAGGCTTCATAATTTGCCACCCAGAACACGAGGCAAATCTCATCGACAGGGAATTCTTGGTAATCCAAGCAGATCATGATGGTGATAAAATGTCCATGGCTGAATGCTTGAGATATGATCTTTTGGGTTTATGCCCGAAGGTTGACACATCATGTCTAGATACAGCAAATGCGATAGGAAAGATTTGCATTGTGATCAACGACGTACCTGAGAATGTTCTTGCAAACCCAGATTCCGAGACTCTTTCAAAACTGAAAGAAATATTTCTTTACAGCAGCGGTGTACTTTGGATCAGCCGGGGTGGAGCTATTGATCCAACATTCCCTGAATACGGACTTGGTGTTGGCTTTGCCAGAACGGCCAGATCCGAGTCTGCCGTGAAGCCGATTATCACGCTTGACCTAGACGCACAAAATCCGTTGACGAATCAGAGATCCACGAAAGTAATCACGACGTTGATTCAGAAATGCTTCTCTCAAATAAACTCTGGAGATATGGATGCGGAATATGCTGAAAGGAATGAAGTTATTATGATACCACGAGCAATCGAGCGGTCAGACATCAACCAACACTTCAGTCACATTAACGAGACAGAGATCCAGTGTGAACAGCATTTCCGACAAGTCAAAAAACCAATTCGAGTTTCTAGACCGAATGGTCACAATATACAGTCGCATTTCGCAATAGACTTTGAAATGACCAGTCCGCCACCAACAGGATATGTGAGGATCGAAGTAATGGCATTTGGACTGGGCGAATGGGATATACAAGAAGATGCAGATGAGTTCCAGGTGAGGGGAACATTGGGTTTCGAATGCAGCGGCCGAGTCCTGGCAATTGGGCCAGGGGTAAACCTTTTTTCTATCGGTGATCGTGTCGCTTGTCTTGGGGCCGGGACAGCAAGGAGCTACTATCAAGACAGGGATACCTCTTTTCAAAGAATTAGCGATTTCATAACTTATGAAATGGCTGCCGTTGTACCTGTTGAATATACGACTGCATACTACATCATACACTATTTGACACGGACCAGGCCGGACGAATTGGTTCTGATTCAGGATGCTGCCAGCTTTCTTGGGCAGGCGATGCTTGAGATGTGTTGTATTCGTGAAACTGGGGTACTAGCAACAGTGACTGACCCGTCGCAAAAAGACCTCCTCTTGAGCAGATTTGCCATTCCGCCTGAGCGGGTCTTCATCGAGGGCGTGGACGATATTGTTATGAATATCCTCGAACTCACCAGCGGCAAGAAGGCTCGAGCTGTCATTTCGACTGCGAAAAGGAGGCATCGGATATATCGAGAACTGGTCAAGTGTGCTGCATCATTTGGCCATTTTGTTCAAATTTCATATCACAACGACGAGAGAGAAGTAGACAATACCTGGAGCCCTACAAAAAACATTTCATTCTCGTCTTTCAATATCCTCGATTTTCAGAAGGACAGGGCAGACCTGACACGACAAATATGGCCAAAGGTTGTTCAGCTCTTTAATGAGGGGAAGCTTCACGGCCCCTCATCACTATCCGTCTACAAAATCTCAGACTTGGATCAGGCACTGGGTGAAATTTCCACTCAAAACCACGTGGTAGTGACCGCGGTAGACAACGAAATAATTCAGGTAAGCACACCACCCGTTCTATTCTCGACAGGGAAAACACAAACTTACCTCCTACTGGCAGTTGACACGACCAAAAATTTCTAAGGATATATTCCAATCAGACGCATCATACCTCCTAGTTGGCGGACTCGGAGGTATTGGACGCGCAATAGCCTTATGGATGGCCGAAAAGGGCGCAAAGAACCTCATCCTGCTCAACCGAAGCGGTCTAGCAAAGGCGTCCGCTCAGCCCACTGTCCAGGAACTCACCGAGAAAGGCGTTCAAGTCGACATTCATACGTGCGATATATCAAATGAGTCAGAAGTCAGACAAATGTTCCTCGACATTTCGTGGGGGGCACCGCCGGTCCGTGGGATTGTGCATGGGGCTATGGTTCTCAAGGTTAGTGAGGTATATACCTCATTGCCCAGTTGTTCGCCAGTTAACCAGTCCTTAACCACAGGATATCCATATCCAAAAAATGACGGCAGAAGACTACCTTGAAGTGCTACAACCCCGGTACAATGGAACCTGGAATCTTCACAATCACGCTCCAACCGATCTAGATTTCTTCCTGATGCTCTCGTCGATTAGCGGGGTGATCGGAAATGCGACACAGGCTGCCTACGCCGCCGGCTCGGCCTTTATGGACTCGTTCTCTGCCTACCGAAATACGCTGGGCCTCCCAGCTACATCCTTGGACCTAGGCACCGTCACAGACGTGGGATATCTGGCCGAGAATGAAGGGCTTGCGAGTAAGATGGTCAAACAAGGGTTTCATGGTACAGATACTCCGACGCTTCTGTCGCTTGTACAGGTTGCTATTGAGCAGCAGCTAAAGCATCAGACTGTAGGCACTGGGAGTTCTCAAATTATAACAGGACTGGGAGAGTGGAAGGAGGGTCATTCATTGGGGAATTTTGAGGCGCCACTGTTCGCGCATTTTCGAAGGAGGTATCGTTCTGATGGAGCTGCCGGGGCGACGGAGGATGAGGATGCTGTTCAGATGGTTCGGGATGCCTTGCGAGTGTCGAAGACGCAGGATGATGCTATTTCCATTATTTTTGAGGCCCTGAGTGCGAGGATTGCTTCGCAGTTGGGTATCTCGGTGGAAAGGATTGACCCTGCTAGTCCGTTGTCTGAGTTTGGGGTCGATTCGCATGTTGCGGTTGAGTTACGCAATTGGATTAATAAGACGATGGATAGTGCTGTGTCTATTTTGGAGATCTTGGCTACTGATTCGGTGCTGCATTTGGCTAGTCATATTGCGAGACGGTCTCAGTTGATTGAAATTCGTGGTGATGGTATTTAGTCTTTTACAATACGAATGATAGGAAATATTCTTATTTCAAACTTCTTCATTAACTTTTAACTGAGCAGGGTGGTAGTAAAATTACTTCAAGTTCTGTCCATAATCAGATAATCTGTGACAGAAATGACTCCTAGAAATGCTGGTAATATGGTTGTAGTCTATTGTATGTGTTTCAGCTCGACGCAGTGTTGTTTGAGATAACCGTAAAAAGTCATCACTCGGCCTTCTTGGAGGCCTTGGTTCGCAGCTTCATCAGGCCGTACACGAGGGCATACGAACTGAGAGCGAAGAGAGCAACGATACCAGTGTCTCGCCATCCGTAGTAATACTCCTTCAGGTTGATGGTGTACAAGTAGTCAGCACCCTTGGTGTACTGACAAACGCGGCAGCTCTCAGTTGCGTCGGGGTTGACGAGGTTCATGCGCGCACCGATGGTTTGCATGTAGTTGGCGAGGTACTCGCCGCAGCTCTTTCCACTGGGAGGGTCGAAGATGGCAAATTCACTATTTTTGCACTTGACATCCGTGTCCCAGACGTCGAAGACTAGCATGCTGCCCATGAGGTAGTTGAATGGGTTCAGATAGTACATCCAGTAGCGCCAGAAGGCCTGGATCTGGGCGTATGGGACCAATACACCACAGAAGGAAACCAGAGTACCGATGAAAACTGGGTTCACCAAGGCGGCGAAGGTGGCATTGGGAGCGTAGGCAGCGATGAACTGACCGATACCGGTGTAGACGAACTCGTAGAGAAGCATGACAAGGAAGGTCGCACCCGCTTTGCTCGACTCGTTGGGGAATCCAACAGTGTAGTACCAGCAGACAAAGTACAACACGGCGCACATGCAAAGATAAGGAAGCTCAGAGACAACCAAAGAGGTGACGAATGCGATCCACGAATACATCTTGGACTTCTTTTCGCGCTGTTCGTAGATAGAACGGCGCTCAATAAATAGGGGTTGCAATTGGTTGATCACACCGGGCGCAACAAAGATGAAGTTGAAAATGGTGAAAAGACGAAGCTGCATGTCGCCGACACTATCGCCGATCATCCAGAAGGAAAAGCCATTGAAGAGAGCAGAGCCGATATGTAGCGCAAGCTTGTTATTGACATAGTCGGTGTTGCGGTAAAGAGCCTTGTTCATACGGGTAGTAACCAGTTTAGTCTGCTCCCAGAGTGAAGTAGCAAACTCACGGCCATCATCAAAAGTGCCGGGGGGGTTTGCGGCGGCAGTGCTGATGATATCTTCAAGCTCTTTGAATGACTTAGCATGCTCAGGGGACTCCAGCCAGACTTGGTTCCAATCTTTGCCTTGGCTCAGTTGGCCAGAGACAACATCAATCATGTGCTCAGCAGGGTTCGTCATAGCCGGACACGGGGCTCCATAGCGAGTGAAGTAATTCTTGACTGTCTGGCCATTGTCACCGATATCTCCGAAGTAAACTGTCTTACCGCCCTTAGCAAGCAAGAGAAGTGTATCGAATTCGGCGAATAGTTGAGCAGAGGGTTGATGAATAGTGACAAGGACAGCTTGACCGACGTCGGCAAGCTTGCGCAGGAATCGTACGGTGTTGTAGGCAGACTGTCCATCAAGGCCGGAGGTTGGTTCATCCAGGAAAATCAGGATACTGGGCTTGGACACAAGCTCGACACCGATAGTGACACGCTTACGTTGCTCAACGCTCAGACCAGCACCCACATAACCGACCAGAGTATCCGCAAGGTCATGCAATTCAAGAAGATCAATAATGGTGTCGACGTATTTGAGCTTCTCCTCGCGTGGAACATCGCTAGCTTGACGGAGAAGAGCAGAAAATTCCAGGGATTCACGAACGGTGGCGAAGGGCTCCAAAACATCAAGTTGCTCACAATATCCGGCGGAACGCTGGAATGAGACAGGCAGCTCACGACCATCAACCAGAATAGAACCACGAATGGTTCCTTCGGTCTTGCGCTGCGCAAGAACATCAAGTAATGTGGTCTTTCCAGCACCGGAAGAACCCATCAGAGCTCCCAGCATACCCGGCTTTACCCATCCGTAGACATTATCTAACAGGACGCGGTCGCCAGAGGGGGTCTTGACTGTGTATTGTAGGTCCTTCCAAGTGAAAACAGATGTGTTGCGAACGAGCTGCTTGTCGATATCCTCATCGCTTTGGGTACCACTCTCGACGGGCGTCTTGGTTTTTTCCTGCACCTGGGACTCCTCGTCTTTGCCAGGCTTCAGGGAGGTTTGGTCCAGACACTCACGAGGAATAACAAGGCAGTTGCCGCTTTCGCCGGGAGATTGCCAGCGCGAGGTGGCGATCACGGTAGCAACGACGAAGAGAACCCACCAAGCCCAGTTGATGCCAAAGTTGCGCCACAGGTGAGCATGGCTGTAAGAGAGCGAGCTGAGGTACTCTTCGCCAGTTACAACAGTAGCACCAACCTGAGCACCACCGACACCAGCACAGGCGGCATATGTGGAGTCCTCGTAGCCGGGTCCCATGGGGATAAGGTTATTTCCGACGCAAGGAACGATTTTCTTGTGAAATTCGTTGGAGAGAAGAGCTTCGAAGCCGTAAGCCAGAGGGTCAATCCAGAAAATCCAGACCAACCATGGGTGCATTTGAGGCTTCTGGATCATGTAACCGGTATACATAATCAGAGCGGAGATGAGGAATCCGGATACCTTAGAGGCACCGTCGAAAGTAGAGAAAAGGGCGCCAATAGCTCGGAAAAGAGCTGTCATGGTCTATTGAATCGTTAGTTGAGCAATGCAGGGTAAATGACCAGGGCATCTTACCATTGTGGTACCAAAGACCATAATCCAGTAAGTGAAGAAAGCTCCAGCAGACATAGTCAGGCCGACCATGAAGTACACGACCAGGCCAAACATGCTGATCTGGAAAAGGAGTACGGGGATATCGGCGGCGATTTGAGCAAGGCAGAAAGCGGCGGGGTGGAACATGGCAAAGCCCTTGTGTTTAATCAAGACAGGTCGGCCGTGGAAAGAATCCGTTACCTCAGACATGGCAAGCAAACTGTTGTAAAGGAGGGAGAAGAAAAGGGCACCGGACTTGACAAACAAGCCACCGGAGTTGTTAGGCGCATTGTAGAAGAGAGAACCGGCAATCAGAGCTTGGATCAAGGTAGCCACCTGCTTGATGATAAAGGTGGCTTTGTCACCCCAAAGAATTTGGTATTGACGAGAAATACAGGCCTTCACCTGCTCATTGAAGCTGACAGTTAGAGGGCTGTTCTTCGGTAGGCCGTTCGACGTTTCGAAAGCAACCCCATCCTTGAAGTCCTGGGTCCTTTGAAGTGCGACATCAGAAGTAGGGTAGTTGTATTCATTCTTCATCTCAGAGTAGATAGGCGACTTCTCATACTCTGCTCGCAGAGCCTCCTTGGTGCGAGGGAAGCGGCTCTCATAGCCTTCGCGAATGCGACGTTCCGTAGGAACTGTAACCCCAGTAAGGAAATCAGCAACATTGGAACCCTCGCGGCAGATGAAGCCAGCCTCCTCCATAAACGGACGGGCCTGGGCACGAGTTCCGTAGAAGACCTGCTCGCCCTCATCAAGAACCAAAACCTTATCGAAGAGCTCGTAGATTCCATTACCTGCTTGGTAGAGGGTGACGATTGTGGAAAGGCCCAAGGTATCTGTCATGGCGCGAATTGCCTTGGTCCACTCCAATGCAGTACTAGCATCGAGGCCACGGGTACTGTTGTCCCAGCAGAAGACAGATCCACGAGTGGCCAGACATTCGATGATAGAGACACGCTTGCGCTCACCACCGGAAACTCCGCGGACGTATTCGTTTCCAACCTTTGTATCCTCGGTGTGGGAGATGTTCATCGCTTCCATAAGGAACTTCTTCGAGTCATCGGCATAGGTGGTAGCGGAGTCGACGCCGTTAGGGAGCTTGTAGGGAACCTTGAGACGGGTAGCGAAGTCCATAGTTTCACCAACCGTAAGGGTCGGGAAGAAAAGCTCCTCCTCTGTATTCATCACGATCTGGCCTCGGTAGTTTTTGGCCTCATCTGGGGATAACGAGCCGAAGCGAACGTCTCCCTCCACGGACTTGTAACCTCCACGGCGATTGGCAAGCATTTTGAGTAAGGTGGTACAGCCGGAACCGGGGCGACCGAGGACCAGCAGCATCTCGCCGGGCTTAACACATCCATGACTGTCTCGGAGGATGGTGCGGAGGGGGGCCTTGTTGCGGGATTCTTTGATATGTTGTGGGATGTTGAATTGGGAGAAGAAGTTCTCGTTGACAGCAGCTTCGGAGCTAATGACGTCGACATTGAGGTTTTGCCAGGTGACGCCCAACTCCTGGGCCTTGAAACCCGAATCTAATTCGCGTTGATGTTGTTCCTGGACGCGGGAGAGGAGGCTCCAATCGTTATGAATGCTAGGCACAGGACTGGTTTTTTGACTGGTTTTGCGAGGGGTTTCCTCTCCGTAAACAGTGGCAGCACTGGCGGTTTCATCATGAATATCATCCATCGGCCCCAGTTGGGACGACGGATGAAGTGAACCCTCCATGTTTACCGTGGGGGGAGGGGGGAGGGGAAAAGAAAGAAGGTGAGTCAATTCGGCAACTTCGGCGGGAAGAGAGGCAGGAGGGGCATCGATGCTTCTTATACAAAAGACAAACGAATGTTCACCAACTACGGTTACTCCGTTTATTTACATAGTACTACGCCTCAGGAGAATCCTTCTAGTCCTAATCTGCTCAGTGAGTGGGTCAAACCCGTCGGTCAGTGGTCCGACCGATTTTCCGAATCCAATAGGAAATGCCCGTTGTCGAATATCACGAGGCTATCCCGAGCCGCAGACAAAGGCCGACAGATCAATTTTTTCGGGAATTGCCCCTAATATGGAGAGAAGTCAGATTCAACGTGAGACTCGACAGCTCGCCCCACGCGGGAAATGGATGAATGGGGTCGAAATTTCTGCGAACCCAAACTGTAGTGACTAGAAAGTGGAGTCTCGCGGCCGATCTAACAGCCCGTTCCGCTGACACATCGGGACCCTGAGATTGAGAAAAGTAATTGGACTCTTTTATTGAACAAATAGTGGGGTTGCATATACGTGACGCGGTCGAGAACAGGATCTGGAACTGCTGATTGATAAGACGCAGCCACCAAATAGACCGGATAAGGAGAATGCACGGAGTCCGAGTTGACAAGTTCGAAAGATTTCAAAGCTTCCCAAGATTCCATAGATTCCATCGGAGGTCGCAGTGCCAAGACCTCCGATGCCACGCGGTCGGCGATTAAAATTCCCGCTGAGTAAGCGGGCGCACGGGGTCAGCCAAGCCCGAATTAGGCATCCCGTCAAAAGACATCTTATTGTAGTACTAGGATACGCTTCCTAAGGTTTGGTTTGACTAGCAATCGGTGTATCTATCTGGCCGATTACTGCTGATAACCAGAGACTGTTTCATATCCGACGTTTCCTGTCTAGGAAATCTACTAGAGTACCCACTTGGTTACCTACTTGGTCGGAAAGTTGATTACCTTCAGGTAGCTACTAACCTGCCATTCAGTTACCAAACGATTTGCCTACTAGAATGCCTACTAACATACCCATTCGAATACCTTCAACGTATCACATTCTGTCTCTAAAAAAATACTATACTCGCACCATGTTTCCCGCAACTGCCGTCTGTATCAACAAATCAGCGAACGCGCAAAATCAGGAAGGACAGCAACGGCATCACATGCATATCCCCAGAACGATCGAACCAACCAAATCGCTAGAGTATCAAAACGCCTATCACAATCACACCGCTCATTCGATCTGGATATCGATCTCAATCTTCATCTCTTCCATCTTCAACAATTCCTCCCGGCAATCGTTGCAAACATCATACTCATTGCCGTCCTCGTCGAAAAACTCATTCTGATCGGTTTCATGATCGCCCGACACGCAGTACTGTTTTTTTTTTCTCAAAGCAGTACACGCAGATATCATCATATCGCAGGCCGATACTTCGCGGTTTTCCGCAATGCATACAAACAAAATGACTGGGGCCAGAGATGTCGCTACCTGCGTCGTCGCTTGGTTCGGATTGGCTACGCAGAGATTCGGACTTAATCGATTTTTCGATTGATTCCACGATATTGTGCGAGCTCGATTCGGCGGACGGCTGTCGACTGGTGGCACAGCTCCCCTTCTTTACCAAGGAAAGGAACGTGTCAAGTGCTTTCCTCATGCTCTCGGCTGCTGCGAGGGTTGCGCTTTTCCCATGAATCGGCGAGATCTCTTTTTGAGTATCTGGTGCTACCGGGTTCGACGCCAGGGTAGAGGTGAAGGGTCCGTCGGGTTCGACGACGCTAGATAGCGTGGTGGTACTGATGTCCGGCGGATTCGATGGAAGATCCATCGGGCCATATGCCTCTCTAATGGAATTCTCAACAATCATCCGGTTCAGTATGGGGTTTTGCCTCAATTGGACATTGATCTCGGCAAGTTTCCTTCTTCTCGCCCGCTTTTTCTGGAATACTCTGATTAGCCGAACTGCATTCATACCGAATTTGACAAAGTTTACGCACATGTTGACAGGAATCTCGGCATTCAAAGCACGCTTTGAGAGCTGCTCCGTTTTTCATGTACCAATCCATCGGGAGGACTCTCTTGCATTGGCGGCACATCTGGTGGATTGTGTTGGGGTCGGAAGAGGTAGCTGGGGCAGCACGGAAACCTGAGCTCGCCATTTTTGGCAGTTGGTAGAAGGTATCCCTATATAGGCGAGCCAGTCCGGGTGATAAGGAGTCACTGAATGCTGTGAAATTCCGACTTTGGTCCTGATAATTTCAGGGCCGGGGTCTTGGAGGAATCAGTAAGGATGAAGTATTCGGGTGTATTTGTCGAGGTTCGGTGTCGGAGAGTGAGATATATTCCTCTGTGATTTATATTGTCAGTATCAGATCATTGGAGAAAGTCGTTCGAGGGATTGACAAACCGGAATTATGAAAGGGGATTGTCAGGTTGGATGAGGGGGTGGAGGTTCGGGAGAATGGAAGTCGGAGATGATGATTGTTTGGACAGCGCCCTGAGCACGAAGGCCTCGTGGAGAGAGTCGGTGGAAAGGTTTATTCGCGATGTCGGTCTGCAGAGATGGACTTTTGGGAATCGGCCTGGAGTGTAGAAGCTGATGCAATGCCGTGAGTGACATGCAAGAAAGGCTCAGGTTTTCCTCACCATAAATGTGTTCATGTTCGAAAGGATCATGATAATTCGGTCGTAGGTAGATGCGGAAGAGAAGATTGAAACCATAGACACTGAGATATTTATAGTCTAGGCCAAGGGTGAAATGGAAGCCCAGACCAACTTCAAGTTGAGCCTTCCAGTTTGGAAAAAGGCAGTGAACCTGGCCATGGCATTTGCGTTATAATGCGCAAATTCCCAAACACATACCCTCACCGGAAAACGGAGACCATATAAGTATCAAGGTGAGAGAATCTTGGGCGATATTCCATTCACCATTTAGATGGCCGTCATTGGATTCCCATAGTCACAACCAGAATCCTCGAGATGCTCGCTGATAATGCGCCGATAAGAAAAACCTTGAGAGCGGATCTCAATCATGAAGAATCGACGTACTGGGGGGGGGGGGGGTGGAAAAACACGCTCGAGTCAAGTGACCAGGGGAATGAAAGTGAGAGAACTTGAACTTAAATTTGGCAGTCAATCGGGTTGGGGCAGAAGTGAGTAGTCTGCTATCAGATACGCTGGCGTTAGATGAAGAAATGGGCTTAATTTCACTTAATGTCGAGGCATCTAGAGAAGTGATGGGTTGCAGCAGAAAGCCATGGAAGAAGGGGGTCAGAATGAGAGAGGGAATAAGCACCAAGTAAACAGAAGAATGGCCATGCGCGTGAGATATCAATATCGATCCATGGATGCCCAGGTGGTGAAAATAAGGTTATGTGTCTGAGGAAAGAGCCATGCAGGATAAGGGGAGCCGAGCGGGCCCCGGGGATATGAGGAAGGAACGAGCCTGGAGTGGGAGGACCCAGTAGTTATACTACTAGTACTAGTATTAGTACCAACAGGGGGAAACTCCATCTGCGCACTATCATGATGGTAATAATGTGAACTAAGGGAAATGATGAAGGTAAAGAATCTTGAAGTCACATTTCTCGAATCTGTTGAAAACATATATATCGAGCGAATTCGCCCTTCCGACTCGCTCTTTCCAGTTCCTCCACTGCTTCCTCCAATGATCTCATATCCCATGCTTCCTCATCCGACATGAAAGGTTCATCACAGCCAGGAAGTAGTGGTATCGTTTGTACGGGCAATGTACTTTGCAAAGCATGAAGTCGATGAAGAAGATCTTCCTGGGCGAGCCGTTGCATCGATGTGCAAGCGAGAACGTGCCTGAGGTCCGGCTCGGAGGCCCGGGCTTCTTTTTGGATTTTTTGTAGCGAGAGTTCGCAGAGTCGGTATGCGAGCTGATCGGAGTCTGTGGGGGGGGTTTGGCGTTGAGAGAGGGTGGGTGACTGTGGATATTTGGGTGCAGAGAGGAGAAGGTCTCTTGCGTGGCTTGATTGCCGGTGAGACGTTCCTGACCAGGAGTCTTGTGCAATGCATAATTGTAGTTGTGGCTTTTAGAGCGATGGATTTGTGATGGTAGTGGTAGTGGTAGTGGTGATGGATAAGGTTGTGGTGAGGGGTCGGCGATGACCCTCATATATACTCTGACCCTCAATCGATCAAATCGTAATTCTGAATCATAGATCGAAATACTTGCAGATCATGGGGCCATTGTGTTGAAACTGCCAGTGCAGGATCACCCCACCATCGCTGGAAAAGTCCGGGTGCTTCTCTTCTTTCTTGAGTGTTGAGTGTCGCCACTGGATCATGCCACCACCCACAACCCGGGCGCGCGTCACACCGGCAGGTTGAGCAACGCACCCGCGCAAAAGTCTCCAACCCTGGCTATAATCGAGGTTTCAATGAAGATATAAGTAATATGATATACGCTGCAGATATGGACTCATCAATCGGCATGTTTTTTGCATGAAGGGTGGTGGCCTGGTCCTTCATAATCCTTTTTATCCATCCAGCTGCCTCTCTAAATGCCGACGACACAACATGACCAATGTTTGAAAACCAACGCATATCACTTTACTTCTAAAATCTACTTCGAGGAGCTATAGAATTAATATTATATCCTTTGAGTGAAGAATGCGGAAATATTGATTTCTTTGCTTGCATCACACTAGGTACGGAGGTGTCCAGGTAATTAACATCTGATTAATTGACTAGTGGGCTAAAGTGGACCAAACGGCAGCTAAACCATATCAATACTAGGTAAACTTCCATAATTAATGGCTAATATTTTACTAGAGAAGCTATAATGTCCCCGTGATGTGCTCGAAATGGATAAACAACCCTCTCCGACTTTTTTATCGATGATACTCTTTCAAAATCAGCACCAGGCCACTTCACCACCCAATTACGAAGTAAAAACATATGCACATATTGATGAGAATGGCCATTATTTCCCAAGCTTGTTTTATGGATAACCCTCAGCTCAGCCTTTGCGAATTGACTTTTCAGGCAGTCACCCGATGACCAGTGCCCGCGTCAACAAAGTATATCGACTACACGATATCTCCGAGTTGTATACTATCCCCCCCAGGGATTCTCGACTCTCATAGACAGGGCTTCCCAGTTCAAATAAAGTACAGCCATATCTCCTTTATACTTCAAATACCCGCCAACCCTAGTGGGTCATCAGATGCCCGATCCCCACCTCCCACGCCCTACAGCCATTTCCCGAGAGGGCGTCGGGATCTTCCCCGACGCAAAACTCCATAATTCGGAGTGGGAAAGGGTCCACGCACGAATCAAAATATTTCCGCAACACACTTTGCTATCAAATATGACTCACCACCATCGGACGGGCCAGCCGACTATCGAAAAATGGACAATGAATCCGATCGCATTTTGAATGGCGGGGTTCGCTGCTTTCCACTTCCACTTGTCAAAATTTCAGTTCTATTTCTCTCGATCTAACAATTTGTAACAACTCGCACCGCACACACACACACAAAGTAAACCGAAACGAAAACAAACTCACCAGTTTGATCCTGCTACCTAGGTATATCATATACTGAAACGACATGGCCTCGGATGTCAAAACTACCGTCCTAGTCTCAGAAAGACCAGCATTGGGCCCGGCACTTGATACCCCAGGCCCAAGCATTGCGCCAAGCATCAATCTCAGCCGAACAACAACCGCCCAGAGCAGCAACGATGGCATCCGAGGTGGAGGAATCCGCGACGAAGAAGAAGGCGGAGGCGCAGCTCCACACTCCGCATTCTCGATCATCGAGCCTCCAGCCGCACTATCAGCCATAACAACACACACAACGCACGTCCGGGACCCTAATGTCGACGACACATTCCCAGACGGCGGAACCCGGTCCTGGCTTGTTGTATTGGGCTGTTTCTTCTTGTTGATGAGTAGTTACGGAATGATGAATTCGACCGGTGTATTGCAGAGTTATTTCGCCACACACCAATTGGCCGATTACTCGACCAGTGCTGTTGGTTGGATTCCCGGAGTCTTCACTTTCTTCGGTCTAGCGCTCAGCGTGCAGATTGGACCTATGTTTGATCGGTATGGACCGACGGGCATTTTGATATTCGGGACTGTGACTTATGTGGCGGGTCTGTTGTTACTGGCTGAGTGTCGGCTTTATTGGCATTTTGTTCTCACGCTGGGGGGTTTTGACGGGAACTGGGGCAGCGTTTTTGAGTACGGCTGCTATGGCGGCGGTGCCGCATTGGTTTGATCGGAAGGTTGGCATGGCGATGGGGACGGCGATGGCTGGGGCTGGTCTTGGGGGTGTCACTTTCCCGCTTGTGTTGAGGGCCGGGTTCACGTGGTTTGGATATAAGTGGGCGATTCGGTTGATTGCGTTGATTGTGGGGATTTTGTGTTCGTTGGGGATTATGTTGGTTCGATCGAGGTTGCCGAAGGGGCAGAGTCGGTCGAGTATCAATTTGAGAGCGTTTCAGGATACCAGGTTTACTTGGTTGACTCTGGGGACTTTCAGTGAGTTCAACGTGGTGGCCAATGACGAATTGGTTGGCTAGAGCAGGATATTGAGGCTAATTCTTATTAGGCCTGGAGCTGGAGGTTTTCGCTGGACTGGGTTTATACCCGACCTACGTTGTGATGCAGGGGTTCAGCACGTCAACTAGCGTGATTCTTCTCTCACTTCTGAACGTGTAAGCCTTTACATCAAAGATCGTGATACTGATGCAGAATTGATAGCTGACTACCATGGCCGACCAGATGCTCTACGATCGGCCGATTGATTGCAGGAGGCGTTGCAGACAAGTACGGCCGTATTAACACCCAGACGGCACTAATTGCAGTCGGAGTTTTTGCCGTATTTGTGATCTGGCTCCCCTTTGGCAACACACTTCCAGGGCTATATGTCTTTAGCTGCGTCTTCGGGTTGGCCTCGGGATCATTTTTGAGTCTTGCGCCCGCCTGCATTGGACAGATCTCGAAGGCGAGCGAGGTGGGAGGGTAGATTCGGAATCTGCTACTCGATTGTCAGTCTGGCGTATGTGGTCCTTTTACCGTGACACCCCTTCCAAATCAATGTTATATAATGTGCCATTTGCTGATTATCGCAGAACCCTCATCTGTATCCCAATCGGTGGTGAAATGCTCGAGAAAGTGGGCAAGCAGGCCATGGTGGCCTATCTGGGCAGTGTCCTGATCGTTGGATTGGGAATGTTCATCATGGCGCGCTGGGCATGTCTGAGCTATCGGTGGCGATGGCAGGCAAAGATTTAATGAATGAACGACGAACGAAAGCATCTGCTTATAAAAGGCATCGTATAAAATAGCATAGCGCGGGACAAAGATAGAATGCAGTGGGGAAAAAATGGTAATTTCGGTATCTTCATTTTGGATGTGGTATGATCGCATACATGAATTGTGGCTTCTGAAAGTTCTCAACCATCGAAGAAAGAATATGTAATAGGCATGCAATATGACTTGATTCAAATTCATGAATCGAAGGGATTGAAGGGTTTTGGGGCCCACTCGCCATCGATCGTGCGGGAGTTGGTGAAGCGGAGGAGTGGAGAATGGTGCGAATGCGCTTAGTTCTGCTCGCCACCCTGGCTCTTGATATAGTCCTCCCTTCGATAAGTTAGTCTCCGAGCGATAGGACTGAAGTGTGATTTTGGAGGTTGGTTTTCGAAGGGATGAGGGGTGAAACGTACAGGTGCTTGTCCAGCTCGTCCATGTGCTTGCGCTGTTCCTTCAGCTTTTTTCGGAGAACTTCGAGCCTGGGTAATTTTTAGCGCACTTCTTCCCCAACTGGTTTGTTTTTCTTGAAGAGAAATGACACTTACTTCTCCTTCTCCTGCTGTTTAATCCACAGACCCTCCTGGGCAGCTTCGCGACGCTGAAACTGGTCCTTTCTGCCCGCTGTTAGTGATGACGTCACGTATTGGGGAGCTGTCAAAGCTCACTCGGCCAAAAAGCCCCGCGGCTTAGGGGCGCCCGTGTCTCCTGCTCCCATGATGGCTGGCGTAGTAGCAAAGGATCGGAGGGCTACTGGTGCGGTAGCACGAAGGATGGGGCGTGTAAGTGCGGATTGCATAGCGGATGGAGGCGGGGATGAAAGGAGTTCGATCAAAGGTTGGACGGAACTAGGACTGACGCAGTTCAATTAATAGCGATGGGAAGCGATGGAGTGGGAAAGCTGTTCAGTGTGAAATTGATTAATTTCAGGGACAGCAGGGGAATGCGAGGCCACCTCGTAATTTGGGGTCGCAGGTGCCTTTATAACCCCGCGGTCGCTTGCTGAATCCGGTCGTGATGGCACGACCCAAAAACGCCAAAAGGTACTTTCCGCGGCACTGGAGGTCTCCGAGTCATTGCGCCACTGCAGGGATGGTTGAGAGCCCCGCAGTTGCTTTGTACAAGGGAGACTTCTGATTTTGTTTACATGGTATGGCCTAGTTCATAGACAGTTCTGAGTACACCATGGCCTGGGCCTCTCCCTTACGCTCCCAGGCATGGGGCCGGCGGGAGACTCTAATAAGAATGTGGGGTACAGGAATGCTAAGGTTTGAATAGTCATTCATGTCAAGGGTATTGGAACTGTTCAAATTCGTCTTTGGTACATAAAATGGAATATCAGAGCTCTACAACACATATCGGAAGTCTTTCTGCAACCTCCTCGCTGCTGCAATATCGATACCTTCGCTGTCAGCCGTGAGCTGCAATCGCCTCAAATCCTTCGGTGTAAGCTGGACATCCTCATTCGCCATACGCTCCTGTCGCTTGTTCAGTGAGCGCAGATTGAAGTACATGAAGATACCGCAAGCGGCACCAACAGCCTGTAGCCCGATGCAAACTCCAAGGGCTGTCCAGTAGTGTGGCGCTTCTTTGTCGAGATAAGTGTAAGGGGTCCAAATACTTGCGGAATTTCCGATCGAGTTGATAAAGGCATAGGCGGCGGCACGCTTCGCAGGTGGCCGAGGCAGCGCACCCGCGATCCATGAGTAAAGAGTACCGTTCTGCGCGAAGACGAAGATCATCAGGAACATCGAGAAGTAGCGCGGGCCGAACGTCTCCGGTGCAGCCATGAAGATAACAAAACCAATAATAGTGATCGGAATAGGGTAGAAGAAAAACCAGAATCGGACCTCCAGTTTGTCGGAAAACCAGGAATGCCCCAGACTCCAGATCACCATGAAGATATAGGGAGGTGCTACCAGCAGCAGTGAGATGATGGGGTCGGGGTTCAATGTCTTCGTCAGAGTCGGGAAGAAGTTTTGGAATCCAGCCGCACCGGTGATACACATATAAGCCAGAGCCAAGACGTAGGTTTTAACGTCGGTCATGGCCAGCTTCAGACCCTTAATCTGGCTCATGCCGCCTCCCTCGTCCTGGTCAGCTTCAGCCGCGTCAACCGCCAGACGTCGGACAGCAACCTTGCGCATTTCGGGCGTCAGAAGTTTCCAAGTTTCAGGAAAGTCGGGAAGCACGAAGCAGATCACGATACCAACGAAGATAGTGATAGTGCCCTCAATGATATAAAGCCATTGCCACGCCGACATTCCCCGTTTTCCAGCGAGACCGCTCAAAATGCCAGCCGCGATCAAATTGCCGAAGGCACCGCTAAGCAGAGAGCCAGAATAGAAGATGCTCATGCGGAAAGCCAATTCCTTCTTGGTGTACCATTTGGAGAGATAGAAGAGCACGCCGGCGAAGAATGGAGCCTCTATAAACCAGATTATACATTAGTCGAGACGCTTCAGCGATCATTTGCGACCGATATTTACTTACCGACGAAACCCAGGAGGAACCGACAGGCCACCAGGCCACCATATCCCTTGACCTGGCTTGTCAAAGCAGAGACCAAACCCCAGGCAGTAACGAAAAACCCAAGATATAGTGACGGCCGTCCCATGTAGTTGAGAATCAAGTTACTGGGAACTTGCATCAGAATGTACGCCACGAATAGAATTGATAGACCCGTCTGATATTCGGTTGGAGTGAGGCCGAGGTCAGCTTCCAGACCTTGCAACCTGGCTGCGGCATAGTTATTGCTGTTGTAGATTTAGTTAGTACACTGCGCCACAAGCTTTATCAGGGTTATCGCCTACCGGTCAATATAGTTCAACAAGTATACCAGAACGACCAATGGCATGATCAAAGAGTCAATGCGACGACGCAATTTCTTCTCAAGCACCAACTCTTCCTCTGTCAAGCGCGTGATATGCACGACCTCATCATGGGAGATACCCGCCTTCTCCCCCATCGCCTCCGAGTCAGTGATGCCTTTTTCCGCGTCCGTCATGATGGATAACGAAAAAGCAAAAAGGGTGTGGAATTGGGTGGATAATTATCAAGTGGGGAGGGGAAATGGAGCTGTATTCGCATCTACTCCGCAGATCGGGGAGAGTGAGCTCTTTATGAGAGACAGCAAGGGGACAGAGCCCCGTATGAAAAACAGGCCCATGTCACAACGCGTTTCCGAATGGCCACGCGCATTGGATGCAGGTGTTATCTTCCTGCTAATTGTGGCGATCACATACTTGATTTCTGGGGGAGCATGAAAACGTGGGGGATTTCCGCGTTGCCGGTGCCAATAGGGGAAGGTCAGGGAGCAGGTATGCGGAGAGACACGAGGGTCAATGGCGTGGTGGCTAGGTATGTTGGATGGTGATAGGTAGAGCCGGCCGCGGCGGACCCCTCACGGTGGAGGCGGCAGCCACGGGGTTTGCGGAGAGGAGGCCACTGATATCCGGGGTGAGTGGATCACGGGCAGTCTAAAGTTTGTTCCCCCACGAAATCTTGCTGCTGCATATTGAGGCTTGGTCGGGTCAAACCTCTTTTTGCTTAGGTGCTGAGGCGTTCGGAGTAAGTCCGGGGCAGATGGTTGAGGAGAAGAGATCAGCCGTGGGCCTGCGTCCTTTTTGAGTTTCATCTCCTGATTTGACTTCCTCTCCGCCTATCGCCTTTTTTGTCTGGTGGCTAGCCCGAGAGCACTGGAAGGAAAACCGAGTCCGGGCCCGTGTTGAAAGTCTTGGCTGGGCTCGCTCCCTTGGGCCATGAGATGCGGGTGTTGCATGTTACATCATGGTGGAGGTAAGTTTTGGTGAGTCCAGAAGCAAGTCACCTGATCCTCCTTTTGCACTGCAGTGGAAAGTGACCGAACGAGGCAGGTCACCAGCTCTCAATCTACCCCAAGACATGGCTGGATCCCTTGGTATTCAACAAGCTCCCGCCTCCAAGCCACAGACCTCGCAGTTACTCCGTGCGGAGCTTTCATCATACCCTTCACCTCGGCTTTCCTCCTGGTCTTCTATGATTCTGGAAATACTAGATTCCCTTCCACAATGGGGTCACCCATTCTCCTTGGATAATCGCACTGTCCTCTAGTTTCACTACATTTTAGTATCTTGGCGATCGCTCTCTGGCTAAATGCAGGGGTAAATCTCAATTCGAGGCCTCAGTACCCAAGCGAGCCTCTACATAGGGACTTCGTCGACACACTGGGTTCTTTCGGGAACCTTGCATATCAACTTGAAATTCGTTTCCTCGCTTGACTTGGTCTGTAATCAAAGCAGGGGGGGTAGAAGGTGCTTGCTGATGCAGACTTTGCACTATAGAAATTAAGAGATGCTTCTTATTGTCGGGACTGCTTTTCAGTCTACTCGTATGCTTTCCAAGTCGTCACCTTCCACTTCTTCCACCTTTCGTGCAAACAAAACCTCCATCCACTCCGGTACAAAGAGCCCACAAAACTCTAGTTCAACCCCAATGTTTCTTGCGCAAGCAATATGCTGCTCTTCAATGTCCTGTGGCGTCAGAAGGTGGTCTTTGACACGCCTGTACCAATAGCCAGCCAGGAATCTCCTTAACGGAAGGCGAAACTCGTTGAACTTTAGCTCTGAATCTTCCATCCACTAGGAACTCAAATTCAACTAGGGTTGATTCTGGGTCCGAATTGTCGTTATTCCTCTCACAAACTGTGCCCCTCTTGGCTTTGCTGAAGCAACTGTGGTTGAGATCCAATGCGTTGAAAGTCAAAGATCTGCGAATGCTAGTGGATCTTGCCAGTACTTTTCCTCCCACTCGTTTAGATAGTTGAAAAGCAGCGTATAACAGCCGTGACACGTACCGTACGCGCCGCACATGGGCCAGGAAGTCATCTCTCGGAGAATGGATGACAGTGCCGTGCATCCGCCCGGGGAGCAAGGCATGAGCATCCATCCGAGACATCTGGCTGCGAAAGGAAATGTGTACTCATTGCTGAAAGAGTATTCAAAGCCTCTTCCACATCGCTGGCGTGCTCCGCATGAGAGTTTCGCATTGACCAGTAACCGGAAATCCCTCTTTGGAGTATCGGCAATATCAGAAAATAAACAATTGGTTCATTTGCCCAGGACCGCTTTCGGTGGAGATTAGCCCCTTTAGAAATATGCCACTGAGCGACTTCTAGTATTGACCGAAGGGTCACAGAATAGTGTATTGATCTGAAAGAGCCAAGTGGGGACACTCCATGGAGATCAAGTTGATCAGAAACAAGAAATCCTGCGCTGTATAATGCTTCTGCGCACTGCCTTTTGTACAAACAATGGGAAACAGATTCTCCCGATCTCCAGTTTTTTTGAAATGGAAAAAAGTAGCCCCTTGATTGGAGAGGATGGTTTGTATGTGTTTTGCGAGACTCGAGTAAGTCATAAACTTGGAGGGCCTGAAGGCCATCAAGAAGCGACCCCTCAGCACAGCTGGCTATGATTGACGACGGTAATAAGGCCTCGGCGAGTCCTCACAGCCTTTTACGTCTTGCCGCCAGTTCATCAACTAATAGCAACATTCTCTCTCCTTTGTCAGGGTCAGGCAACGTCAAACTCTCATCGAGCAGACACATGGAGAAAATACATCCCTCTCTCAGCAATATCCTGGCTGGGGAATGATACTCTGTACCAGGGTATAGAAGAGGAAAGAAGCCTTGCCTCACATCTGCTCCAAACTCAAGAAGAATTTCCAAACCCTCTGGCCACCCGACGGCCAGGTCCAATAAGGAAAACATCTGATACTGTGCATTGACCAGAATTCGACGATGACGAAGGGATTCCCTGAGCTGTGCAGTAGTCTCGCGACAAATTATTATTGCGCTTTCGGGCACATATATCACTGCACTTAGCATTAGCTTCAAATGAAAAATTGAAATATCAGGTGCTTGTAAACTCTCGTCCTCATACATTCACCGGATTTAGGAAGTATAAGCTGCAGGTTTCGTTTCAGGAAAGGAGTCATAAAGGTGTTAAGATCAAAGATGACTCCAACATCGGCTAAGCGTGCCATGAGTTTAATACTCTTCTCCTGAAGTGGAGACAATGTCCATAAAAAATTACAGTTCCAGTCATATTCAAAGTCAACAGGCTGAACACCAATATCTATAAGGAAGTGAGTGGTATCGATAAAAATGTTTTCTAGATGGAAGCCAGCTATGCTTTATCGCGCAATAATCAGTACATTATAAGGGCTCCATACATTTAAGACAGGTTGAGATATACTAGTACATACATCGATAAGTGATTCAGCTCTGCAACCCTCCAGCATAACACAAGAATTGTGTAGCTTCCGACTCGAGAACTGGTCCTGAAGCATCAGTAATGCAGTACTTGAATCCTTCGCAGCGAGTAAATCGGTTCGGATAAATTCGTATATTCGATCGGGTTCATGAACAGGAATATCTATCCTCAAACCTGGACTGATTGAAGCTCCGCCAGCCCCAGTTGACATTTTGAATGAAGCCGTTACCATAAGCCCCAGCCAGCGACTGTACAAGCTGTAGCTTTAATAACCTCTTTTCTGGCTTTGCTTTATCGAAAATTCATTCTCTGCGAATGCACCGCTGTTCATATTCGTATTCAGTTGGTGCTGGGTGTGTTTATCGCACACGGACTTCAGGACGCTCGGCGGCGGCATGCCACATTTCAAGTGCTTCACTAGGTCAGCAAAAGTTGCTGGAGTAGGAAAGAGTCATTACCATGTGCTGGATTTCTTGGGAGATGCGAATAGTGTCTTCCCATTGATATCTGTGCCACTTGTGGTCAATACTACATTCAACGATTGGAAATTTGCCCAAGCATACACTAAAAGCGTCGTGTTCAGAACATTCTGCATGCTATCCAAATTTGCTGCCATATCTCGCAGGGCATCCTTGCGAAAATGATACACGGCCCTCTTGAGTTGGTCTCGTGCCTTGCCAGAAAAGTTATCCGAGGCACCGGTAGGTCCATATCGTTTGAGTATTTCCTGAAGTCGAGCGATGGACGCATTGATGGACATCGCCTTTTCTGAAAGATCGGCGGAGGTTTCGGGTTGAGTGATGCGAGTCTCTTCGATCATCTCTCGTAGAGCTTTCAGGGGGAGGCACAATGATTCGGCTTAGGTCGTCATATTTCGAATGTCCCCGCCATAGTCTCGATAGTCACGACCGTAGGCGACGATTTCCCCGCATACAACCAAACCCAAGGATATCACGCCTACCGCACTTCCAGTGACAGATAAAGGGTCTGACATGGTGTAGCTTATGAAATCTGTGCTCCAGATAGGTCGGGTTCGAGTCGTGGATAAAGTGAGAAGGGAACATAGATCGCGACGCGAAAATCCGGAGTGATCATGAGGCTGACACCACAGCCTCCATCTGAGGCCACATCAAGGCAATTGAAATGCAATCCACCATTGAACGTGGTGCCAATCAATGCTCACACCACAGAGCAGCCTGCATATGCATGGGTGGCTGTACATTACCGGAGTTTCTAGGCCAATCATTACGCGTGGTGGTATGTGAGCGCTTCATCCCTGCTCGAGCTTCGCCTCGTTTTTCAAGATTCGCCTGCAATACTACGTCTTACTCTGAAATCTGAATATATCTGTTTCAGGTGAGCTTGGACTGCGCTTAAGCAGATGCGCGTAGGTCACATGACTTCGAGTGTATGTAACCTATAGCTGCGGTCGTGATAATTACCAGAAATGATTTCTTTTTGAACTCATATTAGCACAGTAGGACTTTATAGTATCTATGGACATAATGCTATCTAATCGTGGTCAAAGGGTCTCTACTCGTAGAGAAACCCGTGATGTTAATACTATCCTGCTACGGAGTATGATACTCAGTATTCTCACCTAGGCAGGCCTCACTAAACTAGTCTCACGTCAGCCGTTTTCTTCCATCTCAACTCTGCATTTTGAGATCATCTTAAACTTAGAATACCGGCACCTTGGGTAGTATTCTTCTGCGAGCCTCATGGCAGAAAACCTGGAGGTGGAGCCGGCAACACACCCACTGCATGCACGTTAATGTTAGGGAGGACCTTGATGCCCAGGCCCAGCTAGCCGTCCGTGCCTCCGGAGAACTTCGGTCGTCCAAGCTTCTACGGAGTACGGAGTACAGAGTACAGAATTGATCCTCAAGTATTGCATGGTTTCTTTTGCTGCTCTAACTAATCGGTTTTTTGTCGACCTCTGGTTGCGCAAAGTGACCAGCTCTGCGAACCAATCGCATGCTCAGGCTGCCCATCAGACCACATTTCGTCCACTCTCTCGAGAGACTCCTCACTTTTGGTCCTTTTGCTCTGTCCCAACGTTCCGGACCCTCATTACCACTTCGAGCGACTGACAGAGCTACACCCTCTCATCACTCAGCGTTACGCCAATAGTATCGTCGCGAGGGTGGGCCCGGTCGCAACGGGCGGAACAGGGTCCCGCACCCACCACCTATCAGCATCGACGATGGACCAAGCTACAGAGTCCAAGACTAGTCCGGAGGGGCTATGATCCACCAGACTCAGCTGGAGATCTCGGACGCCCACGTCGGCAATCTGACCGTCGAAATTCCCGCAGCGCCGTTGGTCCGCGATGTTTCCTCCTCCTCCATCTCTCCATATGCCGCGTCCTGATGGTCGGTGATACGCGACAAGTTGCCAACGACTCACGAGTCAGGAAGGCGTCCAACCGCCAGTCGCGATCCTGTAAAGTCTGTCGGCTCCGCAAAGTCAAGGTACCGTGCTCTCAGATCGCCCCTGGCCGAACGGGAGGGACCGTTCGTGCCGTACCCAGAACGTCCCACTGGCTCTTGAAGAGATGCCCTTTGTATAGCTTCCGATCCCGTTGAGGCTAACACATTTCGTTCCGTGTCGCCAGTGTGACCGCGTCAAGCCATGCCATGCATGCTGCGCACATGGATACCCCTCCAAATGTGTGTACGAGAGTGTCCCCGACGAGGATGCTCGCCCGATTAGCCAAGCCGAAGAGATTCGCAACTTGCGTGATGAGATCAAGGATCTCCGCACTCGAATAAATGATAGGCAGGACGGTACGTGACGAGGCTCCGTTCCCCGACCCCGGATTCTATCTCGGTGGATGCTTAGCCTCCGATGGCGCTGGTGAAACATCCGCTAACGCATTTTGATGCAGGGTCCCAGACTCAACACCTCCAGCGGCTGGACCAGCTGGCGAGCTTATTTGAGTCTATTCGTTCGGCCCCGCTTAGTGTCGTCGACGACTTGGTCCGTGATATTCGGACGACACAAGGTGGATTGAAGAAGGACCTGACCCCTGTTGGGCCGTGGGAGGGCCTCGAAGGTGAGCTTCCCAAAGCTTTTGTGGTTACCATAGCAGCGTCATATGCTAACTCTCTACCATTCGTAGCGTACGAGCAATATGACTACCTGCGGCAAAGTTCGCCTGTTTCCGTTATCCCTATTCGCAACACAATCTCCAACGGCAGCCCCGAACAAAATTTCAACGACCCAATTATACTTGGAGATGATGAGGATGACGACGACGATGAGGAGGAGGAGGAGGAGCGTATGTCGATTGGCAGTGGTTCAGACTCGTCTGGTACGGTCTCTATCATGAGCGTGCAGCGTCCGGCTGTCGATGTATTCGTTGAACGTTTCGTGGACGCTTTCAGCCCTCAAGTCGATCTCAAATCAGGCAAAGCAGGAGCCATACGGGCCGCGGCAGGAATTCGAATGTTTTCGCCGTTGATCTCGGATGCGTTCGAGGCAGTGTCTGTCGCCTTCTTTGGTCGCTCCGTCCAGAATAAACAGATTGAAGCCTCTGGCTTTAGACTTTATCCGCGTGTGCTACGTGGACTGCAAGATGCTTTGAATGACCCGGAGCGATGCAAGGCAGAGTCAACTCTCGTTACTGTGACTCTTCTGCTCGCGTTTGAGGTATGTTTGCTTTCCTCCTGGTTTTTGTTCGCTGCTAATCCATGCAGAGCGTGGAACGTACTACTCAACGCGGTGTCCCGGCTCATGTTCGAGGTGCTGTGCGCCTCATTGAACATCGAGGTCCGGAGAATCACATGTACGGAGTTGAGCATCTGCTATTCACAGAGCTGCGACCGTACTGGGTATGTTTAAAATAATTCGCTTTATTTGCATGGCCATCATACTAACCATGTACAGATTGCCGGTGCACTGGCTGCGCGACAACCGTCGTTCCTCGCCCGCGAAGAATGGAAAACCATCCCATGGTCGGCTGGAACGACTAATAAAGATATCAACCACCATCTGCTGGACCTCGCCGTTGAAGTCCCCGGCCTTCTAGCCCAATCAGACATATTCCAAGAAGAACAACGATCATCCCTGATGGGCGCACAGGAAATTGCCGTCAAGCAAGCGGCCCTTTGGAATGGAATTACCAATTTGACAGCCCGCTTCGAAGAGTGGTACAATGAATGGGTTATTAACTACCCAGATGGTGCTCCGCAGGACGTTGAGCAAAGCGCCGACCAGGAATTCCCGATTTTCAAACAACGCGACCTGCGTACTGGGGCGATCTTCGTCCCGACTATCCTCTCCTATCCCAATCTCCTCCTTGCACAAACAATGGCTCTGTACTACTCGTTTCGACTCATCCTTTCCTCGATTGATACCCGGCCCGAAGATCGGGTCACGCCGATCCAGCAATATGGTTTCGGCTGTGGAATTTGTCGGACACTGCAGTGGTATATTCAAACTGCCCCTGGGAATATGATTAATCGCCTTGCATTCCCCACGCGGGTTGCTTGGGAGGCGCTCCCGGACAACGGCCCCGAACGGGGATTCATGCTTAAAGTCCTGCAGCTCGTGGAGCGACGCCACGCGCTAGGCCTTTGGGGCAGTGGGATGGCGGAGCTCTCGGTCCGGGAGAACTCGCCTTTGAACACGGAATGAATGATGATTCAACGCTTCTCGTATATTTAAATCTTCTGTTATGGACTGTATGACGAGCGATATCCTTCCGAGCGTATCATAGCCTGGCGATTGGTTTTCAAAAGTTGAAGATGATTTTGTTTAAGTGTCTGGAGTATCCTTCTCCTATTTGTACGAGTAAACCTTTGCATTCCTAACGGCCGAAATTTGCGACAGCTTTCGACAGGTCCACTCCGACAACAAAGCTGAAGCCTTGAGGGGAACCTGAGGAAACCACGCGAGTCCGATTGGGCGGGGATCCACTCAGCCACGATGCTGCCACGCCCAAACAGGACTAGCCGCACCCCATTAGGGCTCCGCAATGACATCGCTGCGCCAGTCACAGTTCTCTATCTGAATCACAATCGATAGTTTCAGGAACGGATGGGTCTGGATGTGTCCGATCGGGAAATGAAGAGAAAAGGAGGCTGATGCGTTGCAGCTGAACAACCCCCAAGATCTCTCATAAAACTCCGGCGTGACACTTCCATGGTTCATTTCTTTAGATCCTTTAGCCTCAACCTATCTAGAGGCTGAGATATCAAATTATCTCTCCATCAAATACCCCAGGATCCCCCCTGACCATCGTCATGCCTTCTCTTCGCCAGGTGCTTGCCTCCACACTCGCGTGCGCGTCTGCCGCCTGGGCCACCGGCATCAATGATTTCTCCTGCAAAAGCGATGGAAACCCGGTCGTGCTCCTGCACGGACTGGGCGCTACCTACTATGAGGACCTCAACTTCCTGCAATACTGGCTGCAGAACGAAGGCTACTGCACCTACTCCAAGACCTACGGTGCCTACGATGGTTTCCCATTCGTGGGCGGCCTGAAGCCCATCGCAGAGTCCGCGCCCGAAATCGCCGCCTACATCAAGGAAGTGACCGAGAAGACCGGCAAGAGCAAGGTTGACCTGGTCGGTCACTCCGAGGGAGCCTTCCAGAGTCTGTATGTGCCCAAGTTCGAGGGTGTTTCCGACAAGGTCGATAAGGTTGTTGCGATCGCGCCGCCCACACACGCTACCACTTTCGCCAATATTTATAAACTCGCTTACCTGCTCGGTAACTCGACCCGTGAGGTTGTTGGTGATGTCCTGCAGACGGTTGGCTGTGGTGCCTGTGACGACCTCGGTCCCAACGGTGCGGCGATTCTCCGATTGAATGATGGCAAGCCGATTGCACAGGAGGGAAACACTGTTACTATTATTGCGTCGAAGTACGATGAGTTGGTTACACCGCCCAAGACTGCGTTTGTACAGGAGGATGGAGTGTCCAACTGGTGGGTTCAGGATACGTGCAAGTTTGACCCGGTCGGACACATTGGCGAGGCGTATGATCTCAACGTGTGGAACCTGGTGAAGAATGCGTTGGACTCGACTCCGGACCGCAAGTTTGTTTGCCTGCTTGGCTCGCCTGGGAAATAATAGGAGAGCGGGGAGAAGAGGGGGGAAGGTGGGAGAAAGACGGTGAAGTCATAAAGTGGATGGAGTGGATTATAAGGGCCATTGCTCCGTACGCGGTCAGTCTAGGATATTAATTGTACATAAATACATCATAATAGCTAATGTTTCAAACCCCTGTCCAGTGTGGCGGTTGCAATCAGCCACTCAAGTAGGATATTCAGTACATTCGGTGCGTCCAGTGCATCAGTATGGAGTGTAGCACTTATGCCCCCTTCCCGACCAGTTCAGCCTTAAGTGGCACAGATTACGCTACGGAAATCGGTCTACTGCACACGTGTCACCGCAGGGGAATTAAATACCGTATACACAAATTGGGAATTGGGCGCTATTCCGAGCAGCCTATCGCCAAGCGTCAGACAGGCTAGAGTGGATACTCCCCGCCTACCCGGCCCAGCTTGGCTAGGAAGCTTAGCCCTCTTTGCACGCACATCACCTACCCCATTGCTCTCCTCATCGCCAATGGTAGCTCGAATTGCCCAATGATTGGATTTGGATCCACCGCCACACTCCTCTCAATTCGACCTACCCTTGGTTGCGCCACTCAATTAATAGGCAACCCCGGTGGTCCTGGCCCAGTCAAGAGAGCCCTGGACCAAGTGGCACAGCAAATGGCGTTGTTTCACTCCTGATGGATGGGCCTATCTGATGCCATGTGTGTCCACAAGGTTGCCTATTCCTAGACGAGTTTCAGAGGGAGGGGTCGAGCAATGATGTTGACCTGGCTCTGGTCTGCTCTGGAGGGGTTATAAGTAGCTATCCTCAGCCCCCTGCCCCTCCTCTTCCTTTCTTCTCTATCATCTCTCTCTATCTCTCTTCTCCCCAAGTTACTTCACACTTTACATATTTCACCATGGGTTGGTTCGACAGTAAGTCTTAAGCTTTCCCAACCCATTGCAATGCAGCCCCATGCAGCTGCCTCTGCCTATCCTGCATACACGTGCATCCGTGCTGACACCTCCCTTCTACAGACGATTCCGATGAGTCTCAGCACTACGAGAACTACCAGCAGTACTCCCAGAACCCCGAGGAGCACAAGGCCAAGTTCTCCCATGAGCTGATCGGTGGTGCCGCCGCCTTCGAGGCCATGAAGGCCTACGAGGACCACGAGGCCCGCAACGGTAAGCCCCTCCTAGCTGTCATCATTCACCACCCACCCCCATCTCCTACGAATTCAATGGCTAATCTCCCCATAGGCCAGGTTGACAACCACGCCAGGGCCAAGGAGATCGCCGCCGGTCTTGCTGGTGCCTTCATTGACCGCGAGTTCGAGACCAAGGGTCTTGACTTCGTCGACCGTGAGAAGGCCAAGCGCCACGCCGAGCAGAGCATCCAAAACCAGTTCGAGCAGAGCGGCCGCTGGTAAATCCGGCATATCCGAATTCTTCAGGAAAGCATCAGGCCATGCCTCGGTTTTCATATGATTATGAACTTAGTGAGACGAAATGAATACTAGCGATCTCCAATGACCCCTTACCGTGCATACTCCGTAAATAGCCTAGGGCAGGCAGCATCGACCATCCACATCCATATTCACCGTAGATGAAAATTGTAGGCTGCAAACGAGCCAAATGGCAAACGAGCACGGGAGTCGGGGAGTTATCTGCAAATAAAGCGGATGAGAATGAGTGGGTCAGGGGAAGACTTCCCCTCCGCCACAGATCGCCGCCAAATCATGCCACGCTAAAATCTTGGCGATCGAACACACTGCGTCTTGCTCTGTGGAGAGAAAAAAAAAGGTCAACGGGACGAGAGAGCTGGTCACGCTCTGGTAATGGTGAGAGGATAGCCAATTCAAGCATTCCTTCACTTTGAACTCCCCTCCTCTCCCCACTCCACCCTGCAAAGCAAATCGCCCCCAATAGGGCGCACGCGAGGGCTCCACAATGGCAGACAAAGACACGAGCATGGACAGTCGGCCTGGATGAGCAGATCCAGCAGATGCGCCAGAATATCGCGGATCTACGCAAACGTCGTGAGCTAGTCGAACTGCAAGCGCAATTTGAAGCGGAGAATAGACTCTTTGACGAGGCTCAGCGCAGACTAGAGGCTGTGCGCGCGCCGGCGCCGGAGAGTCACGGTGTACCTGCCCACGCCAATTCCATTATCAATATCAATACCAATGCCAATGCCAGTTCGGTCACGCAGTCCCCATCGAAACAGTCAACGATTACGAATGGGGCATCAGCTCTTCTCAGCCCGCAGATGGATGGTGGTGGTTTCACCATCAAGGGCACGGCGCACACTCAAGCTGTGGATCAATTTATGGATTCTCTACAGGGTGATATGAGTAGAGCAGAGCCTGAGTTGCCTCCGGTACCTGATGAGGGCTCTGTGAATGGCGGCTTGCGGTCTACTTCACAATCTGCCCTTACCCCTATTGAACCCCCCCCCGGACGCCGGGACATCGGCTTCAAAGTCAACATTCGCGTCGCCCCAGCGGACCAGCAAATCCTCTCTCGCCCATCACTGAACAGGAGCCTTGTCTTACGGTGATACCCCCAAGGACTCGTTCGCAGGTCTCCGAAGCGGTGTTAGGCTCGGAACACTCGACAGTGATAAGCGAGGAGCATGAAAGTGATCAATCAGACGGTAGCCACAGCGGAATCTCCGATCCAGATGAGTCGATGGGCATGGACCAGAGCAGCTCGCCCCAAATCCCACCGCAAACGCCTAGAGGCCCGGCACGTGCGATATCAACCGGCCCATCGAACTGGGAGCCTCGTGGCTTGCAACACCCGGCACCTCGACCAAATGTGCCTCCATACCAAGCTGCTAGCTGGGGGAGACGAAGAGGCTTCTGTCGAACCTAGAGGCGCATTTTTCGAGATTCCCGGAAGCCTACAGCGTCGTGGATCACAAAGTACAGCTCGGTGAGCAATATCTCAACTCAGCCCTTGCTTCTGAATGGGGAGAGCGGCGCCGCAAGTTGTCGCGGCCGTCCTGGGTGGCATTCCGTCTTTTCCTCGCGGAACAGCTTGCGTACTTGGTCAAATATGAGGTGGCGCGGCGCAAGTATAATAGTCTCATTCAGAAGCCGGACATGTCGGTTCTCCATTTTGCGTTGTCTTTGCAACAGTGTGCGCCACATTTCAAGTCGGCGCATCATGACCGAGTGCGTCATTTCTGGGACAGACTTCTCCCGATATTCAAGAGCAAACTTCGATCATATTCATGAGATTGTGGAATGCATGGTTAGTGTTGAGCAGTCACTTCCCAGACCTAAAGGATTAGGCCCGCGCAAACGTCCGCGGGCGAATAGTTGGGGGCGAGAGATTTAATATTTGTGGAGCGGCATGTATCAGGAGCTTTTCTTCTTTTTTCTTTTCGTTTTAGGTCTACTGGACAATGCATGGAAGGGGACATTGTGATACTGGCATCATCGGGCTAGCGGAGTTATCCATTCTTGTTCTTCATTTCTCTTTTCTTTGTGCGCTTTACCGATCTTAGCTAGAGTCAGCAAATAAAAGTATTGATTTCTCCTTGAGTATCATAATAAACAAAGGCAGCCCCGGCTCCACTTCGGACTGCATACCTGAGTCAGTGATTTCTCCAAATCGCAAAGATATCCGATCACACCGACACAATATGACCCGAGGCCAACTCCATCGTCGATCGTGTTCGTCAATGCACACAAAATGTGGAAGTGGGGGAATCCACCCAAGGATATTGGCTCTTCTGGGCTGCAGGATGACCACGACGAGGGTAGTGCAGTGGGCTTGCATACCTGGCCCTCCACCAGCCCATCACAACCCTCCGATTTCTCAGCGCAAAACCTTGCGAACCGGGGCCTGCATGCTCACTATTCTCAATGGATCCTGATTTTATCGATGGTATCGTGATCGATCAACCTCAGCCATTCACACCGGGGCCCCCAAGAATTCTGATAGGCCTCACTGCCAGTCCCTCTCCCCACCCGCGGGCGCGGGACCCTTTGATCGGCACTGCCCATGGTTCACTCGCTGTCAACCCCCAAACACGCCGCTCTTATCTGATTCTCTTTTCTCTCCTTCGTCAACCCCAGGGGTGGGAGAGTGAGTTCTGGAATTTTGACTTCTCCTGCACTGCCCATCGCGAGCTAGGTTTCTTGCTTATCCGTATACTCTCCGACGAGTGTCGCGCTACTATTTAATGAAGAGGGGTGTGGACCTTCCTCCCCGCGGCATCCCATCCTTTGTTGATTCTCTTATCGGTCCATTGTCTGAGCCATGGACGATTGGAAATCCCTCGACCCACGCCCGCTGCCGCACCGTCGGACTCCTTCGTCGAGGAGGAGGCCTTGGACTGCGATCTTGCTACTCGGGGCATCCGGCTTTCTTGCGTGGACAACATGGTCATCTACTGGATCGTCAAGTCCAGCGCCCGGGCCAGGGCCAGGGCCTACACCGAGTGGATCCGAGGCGCCTTTTAGCTGGGACGAGATTTACCCCTCGCCTTTGCTGGACTACCAGGACTGCGGTGATGGCTTCCAGTGTGCACGCCTGCAAGTACCTATGGATTATAATCGCACCGAGGCGGGCGATCGAACATTTTCCCTTGCGATAGTTCGTATCCCCGCCAAGGTGCCAGTTTCGGATGCCCGATACGGCGGCGCTGTTTTGATCAACCCAGGTGAGTCCGTTCTATGGAATATAATTCCCCGGAATCGTAACTTATACAAGCAACTAGGTGGCCCTGGTGGCTCTGGAACATTGTCAGCTTTGTTATCCGGTCGTAATCTGCAGACTATTGTTGATGCAGAGAACGATCCGTATAAAGCCGCTTTTGACGAAAATGACAGGTATTTTGATATAATTGGATTTGATCCGCGTGGTGTTGGTGCAACCACGCCTGCAGTAATGTGTTTTCCCGATCCTACATCCCAAAAAGAATGGGAGCTACAATTGGAAGCAGAGGGTATGCTGGGGAGTTGTCCAAATGCCCTGCAAAGAAACTGGCAGCGGACTCAGGCCTTGAATCAAGGTTGTTCTGTTTTTGATATGAACGCTGGAGCTGGTGCAGCTAACGGTGACGACCCCATGCTGTCTTATCTGAATACTCGCCTAGTTGCCCAGGACTTGGTCACCATCATCGAGCGCCAAGGCGAGTGGCGCGAGAAACAGGGTCAAAAAGCACAGGTTACTCATGATAACTGCCACGGTGTGGATGAGTCGCGCGCTATTCTGAGACGCACGCAATGGCGTGTTGATAAAGAACCACTATTATACTGGGGTAGATCCTATGGTACCGTCCTCGGCGCGACCTTTGCAGCATTATTCCCAAATCGAGTTTCACGAGCGCTGCTGGATGGCGTCGTGGATATGGATAAATATTACGAAGGGAGAGGGCCCAATGTTATCGCGGATGCAGATGCGATCTTTGACAAATTCGGTCAATACTGTGATGTTGCCGGGCCAGACGGTTGTCCCTTCTATGTTGACGGCGGGCCAGAGGTAATCAAGGATGCGTATTGGACACTTGAAAACCAGATCCTGAACAATTCCATTCCGGTTATGGCTTCTCGAACCCACGGGCCGGAGGTCGTGACCTGGACTGACTTGAAGGCCATCCTCCGCGTCTCCATGTACCAACCTTTACTTGCGTTTCACACTTTTGCAACTCTTATGGGGTCACTTTCACAGGGGGGACCCAGAGCCAATGGCCGTTTTCAAGCATAGCAAGCATGTCGAAACCTGTCCATCGAAGGCGTGTAAAATCGCTGGCCCTTGGTCTCCGGAATGTAGCCTGGGTCAAGATAACACCCTATACGCGAGTGCGGCTATTCTTTGCTCTGACGCTAGTTACATGACACTTCATGATCGGGAGAGTTTCGAGGAATTATGGACTCAACTCAAGTCCGATAGTGCTACTCTTGGCGACTACTGGGCTCAGCTACAAATGGCCTGTGTGGGATGGCAAGCTAAGGCCAAGTATAAGTTTACAGGTATGCTGCAAATTTACGAAATCGCGTTCCTTGCCTGGGTTAACATACATAATATAGGGCCTTGGGGCGGTGTCACGGCGCATCCCATTCTATTCGTCTCTAATAAATTGGACCCAGTGACGCCTCTTCGCAGGTATGCATATCGTCTATGATTTACTACTTTACGATTACTACTTTAGGAAAACGCACTAACTTCATCAGTGCACAACACATGTCCAAACAATTCCCTGGATCGGCAGTTCTTGAACAAAATTCAGAAGGCGTAAGTGTCCTCGTTGCTTTTTCTTTGTTTCCTTGACTTCCCAGCTCATTGCCGGAATAGCATACCACGATTGCAGCGCCTTCGCTTTGCGTAGCCAGGGCGATTCGAAACTATTTCCAGACCGGTGCTCTTCCAGACGCAGGGACTATCTGTGAGGCTGATCTAAAGCCGCTAGTGGGTGCGCCAGATGGCATTCACAGTCTCGGCAGGGATCTGAGCCCTGGGGACCGCAAGCTATTGGATGCTTCGCTGGCCGAAGCGATGCGGGGACACTTCCCACATATATCGTTCGACTGGAATATGTCCTAGACTATTGAGTAGGTTCTGATTTTCAAGTTATCGTCAGCTATTTTATTATGAGATCACGCCACTTCAGCCCTTTATTTCGGATCGTTTGGTCTATTTTTATTATTCTCTTCCATTGCATTTTCTGTTATATATGAGCGACTCGGACTATTTTGTGTGCATCCGGCGAATCAAATCATTCTATTTAACCAAGTTCCCCCTCCTCCACGTAACCTCGGATATTTCCCCGTAATCTCCATCCAAAGTTCGGTAGATGCTCGCTAAAGTGGAGACCCCGCTACACCTCGGCATGCCCAAACGTCCTTCGAATGGGCGTGCTCGGATCGATAAGCAGGGTCAACCCCGCTCGTCGATCGCATACCAGTGCTACATACGGAGTAGTACGCATTGCTTACGGCGTAAGATAGCAAATATCCTATTCTCCCCTCTCACACCATCCCGAGATCTCTGATTATCGATATCGATTCATCATCCATTATGGCTCCCCCCACAGCAACTGAGACCGCCAGCTCCATCACTGTGCAAGCGCCGCAGTCTTCACAGGCAGCTGGGCTCGAAAAGGCCAAGGTGAAGATGCAGATGCCGGCAATGCCCAAATTCGAGGACAAGCTGGAAGAGCGAAAGTATCTCAAGGGCCGACTGGCTGCGGCTTTCCGGATCTTTGGCAAGAATGGTTATGATGAGGGTATGTATAATTGCCAATAATGAATTCTTTTCGTTTCATTGCTGCTGTATCTATCATATGGTGTACCTTAAGCATAATTGCTGATTTCCGTATTCTTATCATGCAGGTGTTGCTGGCCATATTACCCTCCGCGATCCCGTCGATCCCACCACCTTCTGGGTGAATCCCTTCGGAACGGCCTTTTCGCTCATGAAGGCGTCAGATTTGATCCAGGTCGATCATTCCGGCAAAGTCATTGACGGCGGCCCGAATCGCATGCTCAATGCCGCGGCCTTTATGATCCACTCTGCTATTCACACCGCGCGCCCGGATGTACTCTGCGCTGCTCATAGTCACAGTCTTCATGGTCGGGCGTTCTGCTCGCTGGGTCGACCGCTTGATATTACAACGCAAGATTCCTGCGCTTTCCATAATGTGAGTTTGACTCGTTCAACGAATATTGTTTCCATTAAATTGAGGGGAAAGCATTGCTAATACCCACCCTTCAGGACCACGTTGTGTATAAGCAGTTCAACGGCGTTGTTCTCGCCGAGGAAGAAGGTCATAATATCGCCAGAGAGCTGGGCGATAAGAAGGCCGCGCTCCTGCAGAATCACGGCCTTTTGACTGTCGGACAATCGATCGAGGAGACGGTATTTTGGTTCGTGAGCTTGGACAAGTGCTGCTACGCACAGCTTCTCGCGGATGCGGCGGCGACCGGACGCGGGGGGCAAACGGTGAAAATTGATGAAGCAGATGCCGCATTTACTTACAAAACGGTCGGTACGCCGATGGCAGGTTGGTTTAGCGCGAAGCCCTTGTTTGATGTCATCCATCACGAGACGAAGGGGGAGTACCTGGAGTAGGCCGAGTAGGAAAAATACTAAGTATAGCTACTATGTCGCATATGCTCAATAGGTTGAAATAAAGCTACAAGTGTATAAAAATTTTTCCCATTGGTTGATAATTTATGAATTAGAATCTAGGTCCAGTTAGAGCTAGGATTTTGTCTGTGCAAGAACGACTAGTAAGCTCTGAAACAATTCTTCAAGCAGGGGTCCCCACCACAACCTGTCATCCCATTCATTCGGGGATAGATGGATTGGTCTTAGTGGATGGGTCTTCAGCCTTATTTGGTCAAGTTTTCTGGTGGGACGGGTTTTATGCCGAAACTATTCAGAGTTTCCGCGCTACCGCTTGTTGCAGATATTAATGCGCCAATCAATGGTTCGGGGGAAGTGTTCTTGTGAGGGAGTCGCCGTTTCACTTGTGGGCTTTCTTCAATTTATTTTCCTCCGAAGTGAAACATCATAGGGACTCGGGTTTATAGTGGATAAATTAATCGTTTCAACTACGAACCTGCCAAGGAAAGCTCCCCTTAACATGAATAGAAAGTAAACCAAACTTAAAAAATTATGTATAAATAGTGGGCAATAGCTCACATTTGTAGTAATGATAGACAGCATTCTGAAGATAATCTCCAGTTCTCCAATAACTCAAATCACCATGCAGCTTTTTCTTTCCCTGATCGCCGGCGCAAGTCTGGCGAGCGCCAACCTATTCTCCACGGAGGGTTTGCTAGCCAAGCGCGACAGCTGGGGTGGAAGTGTTTCGCTGGGCCCAACTAAATCAACCATCGTCAATGCCGTTACCACTCTCATCCCCGGCGCTGCACCATCTACTCAGAATGGAGTGCTGTTCCTTTGGCCCGGTATGTCCAATGGTACCGGCGACCTGGTCCAGACGACCCTTGAGAGCTGGCCGGACAACTCTTGGTGTGGAGCTACCACTGGACAATGGTGCGTTCGCGCCAGTGTCTTCGGATCATTTGGCCAGTTGGATGGCACTGGCAGCCCTGTCAAAGGAACTGACAAGGTCCGCATCGAATACAACCTGGAGAGTGATGGAGAAACTTGGAAGCAGTATGTATTCGCGAGCCCTTGTACTTGGAGAGCTATGAAGAACTAATGCCCTTGCAGGACTGTCACCAATGCGGATACTGGTGCTGCTCTTTCTTCCTACTCTCACGCCTCTGGCCCCTACATGACTGGGTAAGCAATACGCCTTCTGGAAAATAATTTTGATTGACTAACTCAATTTGAATAGCTACGGTACCGGCACGGAGTGCAATGATGGCTGCTCCGGCACCATCGCTGCCCAGAAGTACGTTGATACGACTATCACCCTGGCCTCAGCAGACACCACCTTCGGCGATACCATTGCCAGCGCATCCGGCGCCACATACACTGGTCTGAGCTCAAGCTCGGGTGGCAAGGTGTGGAAAATCAGCGCCATCAATGTGCCCGCAATGTCGTAATGGAGACGGGCCGGTAGTAGCATGAAAATGAGATTCGTGTATTGTATTGAAATAGTTCAAAGCTCAACGCAGCAATAATGAAGAAAACAAGCGCTAGATATGCAAGTTCCCAGAATATTAAACATTACTCCGTATAGTCCAAGTCGACAGCCAATCGCAACGGTCCCGGCGGTGCTGCACCCCCAATACCATCATGGTGCTTCTTCGACTCGGTATAGGCATTAATGACCTTCTTCGCGTCCGGGGTGAGTATAGAGCATGCTTTTCCATCAGCCATGCATATCCGCATCCCCTGTACCTTTTGCTTCGCAATCTGCGCTTGGATGGCAGATACATCCCAACCAGACCAGCCATTATTCTCGATATCGCCGAAACTAAACTCGCCCCAGGTAGAGGTATAACCACCAAAATCGTCCTTCGGAAGGCCTTTTGTTCCTGGCGCAGCACCCCATGCACCGATGGAATCTTCGTCAAAGGCGACGTACTTCGTCTCGCCGGGTGCCAGGATAAAAGTCATGGCAGAGTGACCATACCACCCGTCCATCTTGCCGTCGGGTCCGATCTTGTTCCAGATAATTACTGTCCAGGGCTCACTGTTGGCACCGGTGAACTGAGCCACGTACTTGTACTTGTGGGCCTCTGTTGGGCTGACTTCGATGATGTTGCTGCCCCAGGGTACTCCCACATTCCCGTGGTATTGGATGAGTGTTCCGGCTGGCTTGCTGTGGCCGCCGAAACGACGGGTTGAGAACTTGTTCTTGTCGGGGAGATCCGTCCATTGCATACCTGCTGGAATGTCGGGTCCATCGGGGTGGAGGACGTTGTCGAGTCCTGGCACTGGGAGGTGGGGAATTATGTCTGTCGGGTTGTCGGGCAAGATGGTCGGAATAGATTGGAGAAGGTTGGGGTTCTGGGGAGCCGCATCTGTTTTAGAGCCTTTGGGTAATGGTCGCTCCTCTGCCGCGGTCTCGGATGGCGAATGAGGTTCAAGGTTGGAAGACGAGGCTGGCTTGCTATTGAAGACGCTTGGCTCGGCTGTCTTCATATCTGTGATTGTCTTGGTCATGTGTATGGTGGTTGTCTCCTCATGAACTTGTGCTTGAGACACGGAAGCCTCGGCATGATTGGACTGGGTGTGCATAGGTTCAAACTGGGATGCGGTCTCTGATGTAGTTGAAGAGACTGGCTGCAGCGACGCTTCCATCACAGAGGACTTCGGCGGGATAACTTGGATTGTAGCTGTTGCTGGTTCCAGAACACTTTCAACTGGCAACGGCTGAGGGAATGCGGCCATTGGCAATTCTTGTGAAGCAATGGGCTTAGGAGAAGTAGCAGTCGGCTCAGTATAGTCCTCGAAAATAGTCGTGGTAACATGTCTAGTGTTGGTGGGAATACAGTCTTCAAAGACAGTGGTCGTCAGGGTGCGAGTCTCCACAATAATATCTGCGGGGATGCGGTCGCTCCAGTTCAGGTCTCTAGGCTCCATTTGAGCATGCCGCTTGATTTTTCCATGGTGATGTCTGTGGTGGTTGTGGGCTCCCAACACGAGGTTGGCTCCGATGGCCAGGATTAGTGGCGTATAGATGCTCCCGCGCATCATGAAATGAGTGGATAGTAACGCAGGACAGGTAGTTTAGTTAGGTAATAAGGAGAGTACACGAGAGTAGATGAGCTTTGCTCGAAAAATCAAGTTAAAGAAAGACTTTTGTGGCTTTAAAGAAAGAGATATAGGGAGAGGTTGAAGTTGGATAGGGATTGTGACCACGTTTACTGCGTGGTGGAAATTGTTGTCGGCTTCATGGTTGTCGTGTTGTCGATGAACTCGGGGAACGCGACGGGGAACGCGCCCACATCTTATACTGTGACGCGATGGTCTGGCCCTTGAAGATCAGGAATGTTATTTCGCGTCGGGTCTTGGAAGGGCGATCTGATATGGACAGTAGCAGCCCCGAATTCCTTTCCGCTTGGCCAGACACGAACGCGTTCCACATGAAAAGATCCTGCTTTGCGAAGTTCAATTCATCAAGGCACCGAGATTAAATATCACACTGGCTTAATATCATAAAATTAATTGAATGGAATTGCAATCGGCGATTTGATGGTTGGCCCGGTCGCGTGTGGTCTCGCCCTGCTGCCGCGACCCCTCGCATACCAACCCTAGATTGCAGAAAAGGCACCTCCACACGTGAAGTAAAACGTGGGGACTGTAGCACAGAAGGAAACAAGAAATTGAGTTTGACAAACCTATGTATTGAGGTTGTTTTTCTTCCGTCCAACGAGTGTCCAGATTCGGTGGGAGTATATAGTTCGGGCCAACAGCCGAGCCTGTCCAGGTACTGGACAATCCCAACTTGAACTTGAATATTCACTCCATAGGATAGTGATAGACTTGATTAAATAAGGTCCCGTAAAGGAATTAGCAAGGAAGTGTTCTGCAGCTCAGGTGCCATTGGGCGACTCCTTCAAGTTGTTATTGATATTAAACCTCGGATGTTAGAGATACTAGTACTACTAGTAGTAGTCGGGGAGTAAAATATACCTAGGTATGAGGCAAGAGCGCCCAAAGACCTGCTGGATGTATCCTCCGAGTCATTACACTAAAATGGACGACCGCATTGCTATATATTCCAAGTTGCGGACAGGATAGGTGTTCTGATATGTAGTGGCCTAGTACTAGTCACCTGGGAATCTACTAACAATGCCTTTCACAAGTAAATGCTAATAGTATGGGGAAATATCTTGAAAGATCTGGAGGTACATATGTTGTGGCACCACTGAGTTTGGGTGACCAATTAAACAGCGGCAACGCCAGCATCTTCAATCCTTGGAGCGATCGGCACCTCGAAGGAGTGCATAACCAGCACCCATAGCCCCCAAATCAATTCATCGCAATGCTGCCTCTAAATGGTAAGGAACGCGATTCACAGATTTCTTCGAATGTCAAATTATAAGGAGTGTTCTGTGCGAAGAAGTATTGCAAATAATACTATTACCACTAAATTTGGGAAGCCGAAAGGGTTCGCGTATGCCATACACGCTCCACCTCCACCTCCAGCACACAGCCACATAGAATCATGACACCAAAGGAGAAGTTTGCTTCCCCAAGGCTGGCCCTCCTGAAGATGATGAGTCAGGTATGAAGAAGAGGGAAAAAAGGGGGGGGTCTTTTCGAGCGAGACCCAGTCCGCGATTAATTTGCATTCATCGCAGAGATTGTTCCAAAAACACTCGACATGGTCTCGGCATTTGAACGAATCTAGACCTCTGATTTGTCGAATGACCAAAAATTGAGCATTGGCAGCACTGCCACTTTGTGGTTTTTAATTTCCAACCGATTGCGCGCATCTTGGCGCTTAGAATATTGCTTGGCACTTGGCGCCAGGGATTTATTTTTATTTTTGATCCATCACTTCAAATCAGGCAGCAGCCTCGTCTCCACTGCCTTGGCTGTTTCGTTGCACTATTGATTGCACTTTTAGTGGGGGCTTCATCGACTCGGATGCATTCAGGATCATTCAAGGTAAAAGATATATGTACGGATACACTCTCCGCGTATTCCGTATCCCTTATACTATATGCCTTGATTGATGAGAAATTAGGTAGCAACAAAACCGGAGATCTGCATGAACATGGATGTCTCGAATATGTGATCGTTTTAGCGCCCGATCTCTTTGATCATCAGACAGGTTTCATGTGCGCTGGGGGGGCGGGCTGGTGATCAAGCTGAAAGAAATGGCTCATATGGTACTTCGTATAGGACTCGCTACTCCGTGCCTATCAGATTGCAAGACGCCTAGTCAGCAGCCACTATAGCGTCCAGATATAGACAAAGTAAAGACAACCGGAGCAAAAGTCAAACAGAAAGAAAGGACAGGAACACTGCCAAAAGAAATGGGCCAAGCGGGTCCGCTCTCTTGCGCTGTCTTGGCCACCAACGACAGCATGCGACCGGATGGGGGCGGACGGGGTTTCTGCTCGGCGCCCAGAGGCCCTGGACCCTCTAGGGCCACCCCCGTCTTTGCTTTGGTGCTGTCTGCCCGATAACTCGAGTTTTGTCTTTTGCAACCCCTTTGTCATCCATGGGGACACCAGAAAACACCAGATTCTGAACTCATGAGGCTTTTCAAAGGGCCGATCGCCCTGGTGGGCGGTATCCTCGCCCTACGAGGTGCTTTTGCGATCGACGTCGATCCCGAGAATGAAGGTATGTCAATGTCAATCACCCGATATCGAGCTCGGTTCAGTTCAGTTCCCCGGCCAAGGTCTTTCTAACCATTCATTTCTTTGCGTTGGGGGATAGATTCTATCAAGAGTGCGGCTAAGACCGTCGCAACATCTATGGTCGATTACTACAATGCTCGCGATTCCAAAGACATTCCCGGAAAATTCGACGATACCTGGTGGGAGGGTGGATCCATGTTCATGACCCTGATTCAGTATTGGTACTTGACAGGTGACGATCAATTCAACGACATCATTCAGGAGGGCATGTACTGGCAGAAGGGTGCCGATGACAATTATTTCCCGAGCAATTCTTCTTCATACCTCGGAAACGACGATCAAATGTTTTGGGGCCTGGCGGCGATCATCGCGGCAGAGTTCAATTTCCCCGAGCGAAGTGATGAGCCCTCATGGGTCACCCTGGCTCAGGGTGTCTTTGATGCACAGGTTGCTCGTTGGGATAAAACGACTTGCGATGGTGGTCTGCGGTGGCAAATTTGGCCATATCAAAATGGATATGAAATCAAGAATGCCATCTCCAATGGTGGATTGTTCCAGTTGGCGGCCCGCCTGGCCCTGTACACTAAGAATGAGACTTTTGCCAACTGGGCGGAGACGATTTGGGATTGGAGTGTGACGACCCCTCTGTTGAAGAAAAAGAATTGGAATATTGCCGATACCACGAATGTTGATGCGGACTGCAAGGATCACGGAGATTGGCAGTGGACTTACAATTATGCTACTTACATTGCCGGTGCCGGGTATATGTATAACTACGTGAGTCGCCCCGTCTTCCAACTTTCTGGCGAATACTATGAGAAGCTAAACATTATCATTTTACAGACCGAAGGCAAAGATTATAAATACCTCGAAGGCATCACTGGATTAATCACGACCTCCAATCAATTCTTCCCAAAGAGTGGCAACGGCCAAATTATGTCCGAAATTACCTGCGAAGCCACCGAAAAATGTGATCGCAACCAAAAGACTTTCAAGGCATATTATGCATCCTGGCTTGGATTTATGTCCCTTATTGTACCCAGCAATGTGACGGAATCAACCATGGCGAAATTCAAGACATCCGCAGTCGCTGCTGGTCAGCAATGCTCGGGTGGAAAGGATGGGAAACACTGTGGAATCCGGTGGACGATGCAGGCCCAGTGGGATAAAACCACGGGATTGGAGCAAGAGATGGCTGTTCTGGGTGTCTTGAACGCTATCATGGTCCCGTTCAAGCAACAGGGTCCTTATAATGTGAACAATGGTGGGGAATCCAAGTCAGATCCGAACGCAGGAGTAGATCATGATCCGAAGACGAGAACGATTACTTCGGGAGACCGAGCTGGAGCTGGAATTTTGACGGCTGTCTTTATTGGTACTTGGGTAGCTGGTCTTGCATGGGCCATCTGGGGTTAGAATATACTGAGTATACTATTTCTTCGGCGTTCAAGTTGGTGTATATATATTATTTTCTTTCAAATATTCATTCATGTACCAGTAATCTAATCCAACCGCTCATACCCAACCATCTGAACCTCAACATCTCCTTCCCGTTTCCACTCCCCAGTCACATCTTCCCCAACCCACTCCGTCACCTCCTCCTCACTAGCACTGCGCCATCCATTCTCCGCTGTAAACTTTTCCACCGGGAAGAACGTATCACACTCAAACGGTTGCTCAACCCCTTCCTCGCCACTCTCAGACACAGGCTTCCGCACCACATGCGTCATAACAATTCGCACAGGCCTCTTCATCAAAGCCTCAGACCCGGCCCGCAACGACGCACCATAGATCTCCGCACCACCAATAACAAAAACTTTACCCAGGCGTCCCTCCGCCCCGTAAACGGTATCAAGCTGTTCCAGCGCAGCATCCAGACTGGGTGTGACAATCGCATCGGTAGCAGGTTCCTCTGCGGGGGATTGAGCTGGAGCTGTAGCTTGCCCTTGCCCCGCCTCCACCGCAGCTTCAGCCTTAGCTTTAGCCGTAGCAGCCATCTTCACCTTCCTAGCCTCCAATTCCTGCAACACACCCTCACGCACTGAACCCGTCTGATCACGCGTAATCACCACACTAATTCGTTTCCCCAATGGGCGGAGGTGTTTCGGGACAGAGTCGTAGGTTTTCCGTCCCATGATGATGGCATTGGTAGTGCCCTGCTTGGGTGGTCGTGAGGTAACACGCGCGAAGAAGCTCATGTCGGCTTTAATGCGTGGCCATGGGAGGGTTCCTTTTAGGCCGATTCCCAGGCGTGTGGCATTTTGGTCGGAGGGTGGGGTGGTTGTGGTGGCGGCTGCGGACGCGGACGCGACGCGTATCGGGGTTGTTGCGACGATTAAGGTGAGGGGGAGAGAGGAGGGGATTGAGTGGGTTGTTGGTGGTGGCATTTTGGATTTTGGATTTTGGATTTTCGACCTCTCGGTTTAGATTGAGTTGAGTAGAGAGGGGTGGAGGGGGAGTTGGACTGTTGGCGGAATTGGAAGTTTCCCATGGGATACGGTTCCCACCTTAGTGTACGGCGATAACCGCGGTGATAAGCTCGGCACCCACTAAGGTATGGACGGGAATCCCTGCTAACTCTACATGGGTAAGGTACCTTAGGGTAGTTGGGAACCCTAGGAAACTACCAACTTTTTCCTAATAGACTATAGTATACCTACCCCAAGGTCAATTAGTGATATGTAGCATATTTCCTCTGCAGGGTAGTTTTATTCTAGGTGCCCCCGCTTGAATGAGGGTAGTTGTGGCATGCTGTCCCCCTCTCCGATACTGGAGCGATAGGGAGGAAAGATGGCCGGAAAGCTGGGAGGGAGAATAAGAAGACTTGAAAGGATTGGTACGATCATTCTCACTGTACAGTTTGAAAACAAAACGACGACTTATACGCAATTTCATGCCCAGCGAACGATTCTATACAATTCAGACTGCCTCACCATTGGTCGGGGCTCTGGAAGTAACTAAAACGCAAGAGGGGAATATGCAAATGTGCAATGCTATGCAAAATATCAACAAGAAACGAAAAGCACATGTAAAATATTCAATGGATGATCAACGCCAGCCAAAATATGGCCCCAAATGGCATGAAACACAGTGATGCAAGATGCATGGCGAGTCGACTTATTCGTTCGTCTTCATGTATTTCACAAAAGACTTCTTATGTACGAGACCAACATATTGTCCATTTTGTAGGACGCAGAGGTAGCGGAGACCAAGCTTGGCGAAGCATTGGTAGACAAGATCGATAGGAGAGTGGACATCAAGGGCGATAGGAGACTAGTTGGGATTGCATTAGCACCGGGAAAACATTCTCGAAAATGGGTATCAAGGTCATGGCTTACTGGGTCAATATAACGAGTGAAGTCGTCCTGCAGGAGATCTTCATTCTCGCTGTCATAGATTGCGATGGAAGAGTCCATCGACATTAGGCAGATTGTGTGATCTTCATCCGCGCCGAGAGTATCAAGAGCATATTCTAGGTCTGGTGCCGGGATTAACCCGGTGAGGACGCCATCCCGTAGAATGGGAAGACCGCTGTCCAGCTCGCCAGCCATCAGCAAATCTTCGAGTTTTGAGCGGAGTTCCGAAGCTGGAACGAAGGGGGAGCCGGAGATGTCAATGGTACGCTTCTTTCGAGCGGGCCGAACGATATCTCCTAACTCGGCATCGGAAATAGGTTGTAATTTGCTATCCAGGAAGGGATAGGCGTTCATGTCGGTGAGGAAGTCCTAGGTTTCATTAGTATTTGCGGTGGAACGGAGAAGGGGTGCATCTTACATAGATGCTGCGTGGCTCGATGGCATCAGCAGTCCACTTGGCGCAGAGGATTGCCAGAGAGAAAGGGAGCACATGGTCCAGACTTCCCGTGAGCTCGAAGAGAATGACGGCGAGGGTTACCGACAGGCGTGTAACGCCACACATTGTAGCTCCGGCGGCGACCAATGCATACACACCCGGGGTAACGCATGATTCCATTCCACTGATGTCACAGGAGTTGAATAGGAACATGGTTGGATTCTTTGCTGCCCAGTATTGAACCACATGTCCAACAATGCGGCCCATCAGGCCGCCCACAACCATGGAGGGAACGTAGATGCCGGCAGGGACCTTGATCCCAAATGTGACTACAGTCAAGAAGCTCTTAATCACAAAGGCACCGAGAAGATATTGCACGACTTCAAGGATATTGTCTTCTTGAGGACATAGGCCGGTGCGTGACCTCGATTCTCCTGTACAAGGGGTTGTGAGCTCAAAGAGGAGTTCAGTAACCGGTAACTTGGTGTATCGATTCCAGAAGCTAATCAAACCGGTGACCAATGCGACGAGCACAACCTCAAACATGGGAGAGCGTTTGATGAGCGGGATGCGACGGAAAGACCGAGCCCACCAACTGGACGCTTTAATGAACAGTGCACCTAGTGCACCACCCATAATGCCGAGAAAGATGAAGATGAAAACCTCAAAAAACTCCCAGTCTGATAGATATCGAACTTGAAACAGGACAATCTTCCCGGTGCCGTATGGGTTAAGAAACTTCAGGGACAAGGCTGCCGCAATGCAGCAGAAGAATGTTCTGAATAGGGTCTTTGGCGGAAAGTAATAGCTGACCTCTTCTAAACTGAAGAGGACACCGCCGATTGGTGCGCCGAAAGCGACTGCTACGCCACTGGCGGCACTGGCACTCAAAACCTCTCGCCTTTTACCATCATTTTGGTTGTACTTTGCGAACAGACGGCAGCAAATGTTACCCACACAAGTGGCGATGTGAACATACGGGCCTTCTTTGCCTAAGCTCAGACCAGATGAAATACTGAAGATAAGGGCAATCGTCTTGATAACCAAAGTCTTCAGGCCGAGATAGCCATGAAGCACGAAGCCACTATTGATGACTTTCACCTCAGCCACGCCACTACCAGCAGCCGAATAATAGATCATAGCCGGCTGTGCCGGATTGTTGGGGAAGGTTCCGTGAGGGGTCGAATCAGACGAAGGAGATCCGGTCCCGGCACTGCCAGTATTTGGTTTGGTGCCTCGCGACTCCGCGCCAAGATTCTCATCCAGCGTGGTCAAGTGGATTGATGATGGAACAACCGTCTTCGTGAGCAATGTGAGAGCACAGGCGATAGCGGAGAGGCCTACGCTCCAAGCAACAAACATGACGAAGTCGATTGGTTCATTGTCATCGGCAGAGGATTTGAATAGTTGTGACCACGTTCGCCAGCGGCCAGGGCTGCAGTGGGTATGACTAGAAAACAGATGCGAAGAGCAGAATCCAAACTTCAAGTCGAAGATCGCGTCCTCGGTGATATCAACGAAGTAAGCTATGGCAGCTGTGATGCATCCAATGAGCGCCACGAGGACCCATCCTTGTGCGCCGTCAAACCATGCTAGCAATCGCCCCCTAATATCTTTCCGCTGCCGAAGCTGTCGTAGACGTACTCCATCGGCGATACTGTCATGCACCCAATCTGTGGATGTAAATTGGTCATACCAAGTCCGCTCATCGAGGAAGGAAGAAGCGGTCAAGCCGTCTTTGGTGGAAGGCGGCACACTGACTGGCCTACTCTCCGGGTCGTCTGCGTTGACACTCGGTCGTCGACTGAGCCGTCGACTCTGCGAGTTCGCTCTGCTATGATTCCGGGTCCGGCGTAGACTGCCTGTCGCGAGTAAATATCGCAGAGAGTCGGGACCGGAGATACCGGAGGCGCTGGTATATGAACGGCGAGGGATCCTTCGCTGAGCTTCGGATCCTAGTAAGCTGGTGTTTTCGTTGATGTCTAGCTGGGCCTCTAGTGACTGGTAGCCGGTATGTGGTTCGGAGAGGTAACTTTGCGATCTTCGGTAGGCGGTTGGGGAAGGAGGCGCTGTGCGAGTTGTGGGGGTCATTTCTGGATCGTTATAGTCCCCTTCCCCTCGTGATGAGGAGCGAAACTGGGGGACGGAGCGAGGCATGGTGGGGGAAATTTTGGCCTTCAGACTTCACTCGCGGGAGTGGCGGGCCTGAGGAATTCCGTCAGTTTGGAGTTTGGAGGTGGAGGCCTTGGGGAGGTCGGGGATTGACCCGGGGAGGCCCACATTGACGCAAGGTAGCGACGGTGATAGCGTTCTGCCGATGTGAGCAGCGGGGCTAGGGAAGAGAAGACGAAGATAAACTGTTGATGAAGAAGAATAAAATAAGATGAGAAGAGTAATGAAAGGGATCCGCCATGGCGGAGATCATGAAGAGGGGGAAAAGGCAACGGTGAAAGAGTCTCCAAAAAAAGAGGAGTGGCGGATGATCGATGGGCAACCGCGTCAGGTGCCGCGCCGAGCACGAGCTTCCCCTACAGAGTAACGGAGTAACAGAGTAAGGACCATCCCTTTTGTCCCCTTTTAAGTTCAACATTAATCTATTGATTCAACTCTACTGGCAACTTTGACTGCGCCGAGACTGTACGGAGGGGCATTCTGCATATATTACACATGTTTCTCGTCTTTAAAAGCCCCCGCGATTCCCGCCGATCGACAGCTGTTTCAATATCCTGAGCAGTGCTGATCGCCTCCAACGGTGCATTCTTCGCATTTCATTCGCCAGACTACCGTGACCACCCGGCCAGTACAGATGATTCAGATCCGAGTCCTGGGATATAGAGGACAGTGCGGCGCCTGACTTGACTCTGACTGACTCTGACTGGGTTTAACGGGGCCACCTGCTAACGAATGGTCAGCGATCATGGACTCAAGACTCGAACTCACGGACATTGTCTCGGGAAAAGGGTTCCTAAGGCTGACCTCGATTTCCACCATCTTGGAGGTGCTTAAGCGTGCCTCAGGTGGCGTTTTGTGGGGATGCCTCTGGCTTACGACGGGTGAGTCCTGAGACCTGACAATAGTACGAGGTCCTCCCTGGAAGACGGGGAGGGGAGCTGTGATCTCGAGGCTCGGAGATGGCTCGGCGATAACAGCAGTTCAGTCCTATGCTTTCCATATGTACTCCGTACCTCTCTGGTAAACTGTGTAGAATGTATAAGCTGATCAGGGCTTGGGTTACACAAGAATGGATAGCATTGGTGGATAAATACCCTAGAGGAACCCCGGGAACCATTAGGGTACTCTAGCCTAACTGCCTTGCCCGATAAGCTTGCGCGATCGCAGTGGGATCAAAAGCTTCCTCAGGTTCCCATCGAGCTCCACTTCCACTTCCACTTCCCTTTTGTCCACGGAGCTCACCCCACCTTAAAACTCATCGCCTGCCACTCTGTCTTCAAATCTTCAACTTCCTCGTTTCTTTTAGTCAATCCTCATCTCGAACATCTCTACTCTTGCGCAATGTCGGCCCTTGATACCCCGCCCGCCAATGAAGGTGTGGCTAAGCCGTACGACCAATTTATCCTCTTCGGCGACTCCATCACCCAGATGTCCTATAACCAGGAAATTGGGTTTGGATTCGGGGCTCAGCTACAAGAAGGTATATCAATTCCTCGGTGACGCAAGTAATCCGACCCAACCTAACTGACCTTTCCCGATAGTTTACGCCCGCAAGCTGGATGTCATCAACCGTGGCTTTTCGTGAGTGATGAGAGCCACTGATTCGAGATGCATGTTCTTTCTAACCTCCTGCAGAGGATATACTACGGCGCATGCCATCAAGATTTTCCATCAATTCTTTCCTTCGCCCCAGACTACCAACGTTCGATTGATGGTAAACAAACCCGGACCTCCCTCTATACTATCTGACCCAGAGATAGTACTAGCAGATACTATGTGATATATTGACTTTTCATAGACTATCTTCTTTGGTGCAAACGATGCATGTGTTCCCGGTCATAATCAACATGTCCCGTTGGAAACCTACAAGGAGAACCTGAAGAAGATCATCCAACACCCCGCTACGCGAGCTCAAAACCCTCGCATTATCATCATCACCATTCCACCCGTCAATGAGTACCAACTTGAGAAATTCGATAATGATAAGGACACGCCACACCCTAGTCGAACGGCTAGCCTTGCCAAAACATATGCGACGGCGGCCCGTGAAGTTGGGGCCTCACTGAATGTCCCTGTGGCAGATGTCTGGTCTGCATTCATGGCTACTACTGGCTGGAAAGAGGGCCAACCGTTAGCTGGATCTCGGGATCTACCTAACAGTGAAGAATTTAGCGGCCTATTCACCGACGGTATGTTGATTCTCCCAAGCTGATACAGTGGCGTTGCAAAAGTTTGAAACCCCATATTGCCCACCATGATTTACCGCTTTCTCACGGGAAACTAGTAGCTACCTGAGATGGAATAGATAGGCCAATCTATTCCGTCTCAGGTAGCTACTAACCCACGATTAGAAGGCGGAGACAAGAACAGTGGTTTCAAACTTTTGCAACGCCAATGTACGATAGTATGTATCCGCAGTGTGCCAGTGCTAACCATATGCTCTAGGTCTGCATCTCACTTCTGCAGGCTACCGAATTGTCTTCGACGAAGTGATCAAGACAATTCAAGCCAATTGGCCCGATCAAGACCCTGAGACTCTTCCTATGCTCTTCCCTCCTTGGTCTGAAGCCCCGAAATGAAGGATACGGTAGAAGATAGATCGATGTTTTGGCCTTGCAGCGTAGACTAGCGATAGACTAGCGATATCTGAGGATAATATATTCCAAACCAATCACCAAGTCCTAAAAAAAGCCAATTTAATATTTCACAATTTACAAATCATAGCTACAGCCCGATCCAATACGAATAACTGTGAGTAACTGTGATGGATGAACCGTTAGTGGAGCACGGGCGGTCTAGATCCGCTTTCCCCTCTGCTCTGCATGACGCCCTCCCCAGATTGTGAATTGTGCATCAGCAACCTCCAGACCTCCAAACCCAATTCACCTCCAGGCTCTTCCTCTTCTCCTCAAATCAACTCGACTATCGCCCCTCGATCCACAGTCCGAAATTCACTCCCCTTCTCTCACCCTCTCGCTTTACCAACGAGTGTGTCACAACCTCATTTGCGCTGTAATCCAAATCACGTTCAAAACAAGGCAGCACTCAACCGCCTTACACCCACAGTTGCTCTCGCCGATTTCCTCGACTCATCCCCCTCGACCTTAGGCCGTCACCCTTCTCTCACTCGAACTCTTCGCAACCACATACCTCTACAACAGCCATCTTCCCACTCCCACTCCCGCTCTTCGACCCACTGTCCAAGCTTCCTGACCTCATCAGCGGATGCTTCAAGTCGATAAACAAGACCCTGCAACACGCAACTCGGTGGACGGCCCCGTGGGCCGTCACACTCATTGAAGGAGGGAGGTGATCTTCGGTGGTAGAGGAGTCTTACAGCTCGTGTTGATGATAGGTGGCGTGGGGTCTTGTGCTTCAAGGGTTGAAACGGTCGCTTGTCGAGTGGTTGCATACTTGATTTGATATCACTTTGCTCCTGTCATGGATGCGCAGTACCCGTTTGCCTCGCGTGACGATATCTGGCGAGTCTTCGAGGAGTTGAAAGACATCCGCCTTGGCCAGATCGACCAAAGTGAGCGCCTGGGTCGACTCGAGCGTCGTCGGGACGAGGATGTGAGGATGAGAAACGTATGGGGTCCCGCGCCGCTCTCTCCTTTCCCCGCTGCTGCGAGTGCTTCGTTGTCTACAGGTATGTGTTAGGCACTCTTCTTTTCGATCACAATTTGACCCAATGCTCACCATTATTTCGTTGCAGAAACTGCTTACAATTCGCCCCCGGACGCCTTCAAGGGCTTTGATCAAGGTCAGCATCACGCTATGCCGAGCTCGTCGGTCGGGATCGACGGCGAGGATGAGCCCCGGCGCGGTACGTCGCGTGCGAATAGTGTTCGCTTTGACGAGAGTGCGATTCACGGCTCCTACGGTCAAGCGGGACGCTCGAGTACCGATCTCCCTCTGCGAACTGGTAGTGGTTTGGGAAGTCACCCACTTTTGGAACGTTCTCTTTCTCATCGATCTGATGGACGGCAGAGTTCATCCGGACAATCACATCACTCTGCACGCACCAACAGCCTGGGACTGGATACTAGTCGCCTGATGAGTTCATCCTCCTTTAGCGAGTCTGGTTTTATCGCCCCGCCTGTTGGCCTTTTCCTTCTTGGTCCGGTGCCTGGTATCATACGGTGCTGGCTGACGACGAATTTCTCGAACGATTCCCTGCTATATGCAGCTGTCTGCTCGGGGTCGTATGTTTCGTCCGTGGGTGCGCCACTGATCCGCAAGCTGGGTCTGGAGGCGGAAGTCACAGCGGAAGATGGCCAATCCCAAATCAAGCTTCCCTTTTACCTCCCGGATGCCAGTGTTCACCAGTCGCCCTCTTCACGCTCTTCTAGTCCCGAGACCCATCTTCCCTCTTTGACAGTTCGATTCATAGTGCGCGAGACAGATACTCTCGATGACTCCATCCAGATCATCATTGGAAGCGACGTTTTACGAACCCACAACGCCGATATCCTCTTTTCGCAGGATAAAATAACCATGGTTGATGATGAACGCAACCGTCTTTCCATTCCTCTAGTCCGTCCTGAAAAGGATAGTGTCTTTAGGTCATTGTGGACTGTGCCAGAACCATCCCACATGGACCCGGCAACTCACACAAACGGACATCAGCCCGCCGGAGTAATTGGCCAATCCACTCATCAACAATCATCATCTGCTCCCGCGTCAGCCCGCGTATCTATCAGCGAGGCCAGCAAGCCTATCCAGCAGACACGAGACTCGGCCTCAGACGCCGGAACCCACTCTACGCTACCAACCGCCGCCAGTGACACGTCCTCCATTTCCGGCGCCAAGTCCGAAGGTGCATGGAGCTCCTGGCGCCGTGAATCAAAGCCAGACCCCAAAAAGCAGACAAATGAGAAACGCCCTATGAAAGTCCTCCGTCCCGCAAAAGCTTCCAGCCGTGTTCCATCCTCAACTTCTATGACCACAACTGGCACTGCCGATACGGATGTTTTGGCAACCTCTCTTCCCGATTTGACACGCGCCACGGGGCAAGCACCTCGCTCATCTTCAGACGGAAGCAATAAGACACGATCCAGTAATCCCGTTGGAGGTGCCTCGGCCTTTGGCTGGCTAAATCCAGCGGTTTCCGCGTCAGGGACTCAGGCCTTTCCGCAGCCGAAGTAAAAGCAACGTGGATGCTTTTTGACCTTGATGTGTCACTGTAAGCACATACCCTGAAATCATGGGTAAAGAGGCTTCGTTTTCAGATCTGTAGCGGGCGTTAGGTGGGATATTTGCAGCTTTTCTTGTTTTTCTTTTTCTTCATTCGCTTTGATTTTGACACTCAAATCCAAAGGAAAATAGCAATGACGAGATAGGAATGAACACATTTCCGCTCATTATTTGCCAGAATACTAGATTGCCATAGGACAACCTTGGAACTACTAGTAGTATATTTGAACCCTTGCCCGGACGATAAAATACCCATTACTACAGTAGTAGAAACGATACATTTGCGAATCTTCAGGGATCTCGTGAATGGTACGCATAGTACTATCTGATGTGATTCACGCACGAATTCTAGATAGAACTAGTTTAGTATATTCAAGCACAAATCTGGATAGACAATCCACCAAATATAAGATGCTAAACCGGATTTCTTTCGAAAGCTGGAGATACTAGTATCATCCACCTAAATTTTCGAAAAAGCCCCAAGAGCACTCTTAGTAACCTCACTAGTCTCCTTAACAAGCCCAGTAACAGCCTTAAACTGCGCATGACCGGCATCACCCAGAATCTCAAACAAAATACTCTCACTACTAGTAACAATAGCACCAGCATCCCTCAATCTCGCCAGCGCAATCCCCCTCTCTTCAGGATTAATCGAACTAACCCCATCAACAAGGATATAAACGCGATGACCGCGCTGCAAAAGATCAAGCGTAGTCTGCGTCACGCAGATATGCGTCTCGATGCCGACGATAATTACGTCCAATGGCCAGGCTGGAAGTTGGCGCTCGAGTTCGGGGGTGATCATTGAGAAGAGGGTTTTGTCGACGTCGGCGCGGACGTTCGGGCCTGTTAGATTTGTGGCGAGTTCTGGGACGGTGTTGCCGAGTTTGGCGCGGGATTGGGTGGTTATGTAGATTGGGAGTTGGAGGGCGTTGGAGGCTCGGATCATTTTGTCTGTTGTTGAAACGCTGGGGTAGTTGAGGTTAGTTACTTGGTTGGTTGATTGGTTTGATGGGGTGTTGCGTTGTGGTTATTGAGGGTCCCCTTACAGCTTTTGGAATTCGTAGATTTTACTACGGAACTTGTCTTGGATGTCGCATATGCTAGAAATTGGAAGTTAGATCGACCATGGCATGGAGAGTGAGGGTGAGGGTCGCGTTGTTTGTAGTACGTACAACAATGCGGGGTTCTCTGATACTTGTTAGACAATGTGATTGAGAATTGAAGGTTTGGAACTTACTAATGCGACTCGCGCGAGTAAGAGAAGCCATTTTGACGATTGGATTGTGTCCTTTGAGAATTTTGGGAGGTGTTGAAGAGGGAGGAATTGATGAGGCGGGCGGGGAACTCGGCGAGTCGGAGATGCGGGGAAGGGGCCGAGGGGAACTATCGGCTTATTTTGTGGAGGGCATATATACTCGCCCGGGCGTACAACAAAAAACAACCATTCTTCTAGGTAAATTCATTCATGGCATTCTAATTTTGGTTATATACAGCCTGTCACAAGTCGTGCTCTATATCTCTCATAATCATAACTTGATTTCCTGCACCTTGGCCCGGCCGGTAAACCAGCTGTCATCGCCTTTGCCCGCCGCAGTACGGATGGCGTAAAGCTCATCGAGGAATGCAGGCACGAAGCTACCAGGTCCACGGACATATTCCTTGCTCGCCGCATTCTCAGCTGCAATCTCGTACATCAAGATACCCGACAGAACTGCCAGAAGTCGATCGGAGCGGTGGGCTGTGAGGAAACATCCCGAGATAGAACCAACGGCGCAACCAGTCTGCAATGCCATTGTTAGTCGAGTATGGTCAATAAAAGCCATGGCACGGAAAAGAAACTTACGCCTGTAACCTGACCGAGGAAGGGATGGCCGTTCTCCACAGCGATGACTCGTTCGCCATCACTAAGATAATCAACAGCTCCCGTCATTAGAACGACATTTCCTGGACCATGTTAGTAAAGCCACATAGTTATACTCATACAAAAATTTCTTACTTTCGCGTCGGGCTAGGTCTCGAGCCAGACGGGCCTTTTGTTGCCCATCAAGGGTACTCGGTCCGCTATCCACACCACGCTGTTGGACTCCACTGCTGCCCCAGGCCTGGCGGATTTCGCCCTCGTTGCCCTTGATAAGGTCAAAGTAGCCTCCGGCCATGAGATCCGATACTGCATTGCGTCGAATACCAGTTGCACCGGCACCAACTGGGTCGTAGATAACTGGGTTTCCTCGTCCGTTGTATGCTGCGATGGCCTTGAGGTAGTTCGAAACACTCTCGCTGGTCAAGGTCCCCATGTTGATGAGAAGAGCTCCATCGAACTTGCATAGGTCCTTAGCTTCATCCCCGTACGGCGACATGATAGGCGATGCGCCACTACTTGTTGTTAGCCCTGGAGACGCCCCAGACAGCGAGAAAAACACTTACATGGAAAGCACGACGTTGGCAACAAAATTAGCCACGACAAAATTGATCATGTTGTGGACAAGCGGGTGCACTTCGACCATCTTGCGCACAATAGCCGGTACCTCTTGCAGCAAGGCTTCGGCCTCGTTAGTTCGAGGGACCTGACGAGCCAGTGCGAATGCAGGGGGGGTTCTTGATTAGTTTGGCGAGCTCTTCCGCTGCAGCCTTGGAGTCATCGGCAGCCATTATAGCGCTGACAATGGCGACGCCGTCCAGGGCCTTCTTGGGTGACTCTGACTGGTAGATCACGCGCTGCACATTCGAGTGGTTGATACCGCCAATGGCAACAGTGTTCACCGAGGTAGTGCTGATAGCGTCCAAGATTGCTTGAGTGCCGGCAGTTCCGAGAACATATCGAGTATTGGTTTTACTACGGGGTTGTTAGTTTGCAATTTTAGGTAAAGCTGAATGTTGGAACTCACGTTGGAGTGGCGAACATCGTGCCGATGCCTAGGTAATCCGCCCCGTCGGCAATTGCCTTCTGAGCCTCCTCAAGCGTGGAGGCACTGATACCAATGATGGCCTCCTTGGGGAGAATCTTTTTGGCTTCCGCGAATTCTGAAATTTGAAGTCAGCGGTTTGAATCGGGAAGCGAGAATGCTTGCTGCGGGGGTAGCGGAAAACAGTACTCATATCATCTTGACCCAGGTGCACACCCTCAGCACCAACAGCAAGAGCCACATCAACTCGGTCATTGATCAAGAGTGGTACTCCATATTTCTGGCAGATCTGGTGTAGCTTTCTAGCAGTAGCAATCTGCTCTCCAGTGTCGCTCTTTTTGTCACGGTATTGCACCACGGTGACACCTGGTGATGCGGATTAGTCAGTTATATTTCAGGGTAGATTGTTATCGCAGTTTGAGAATACTCCTGACATACCTCCTTTCAAAGCCTCCTCCACGACTGTGCAGATGTCGCGACCCTTGAGGATGGCGGGGGTCGAGTCCGTGACTAGATAGAGGGACAGGTCAACCGCCATGGTGTGTGGAATCTGCACTCAATGCCTTTGAAAATTGATTAGACGGAAGGAGAAGTCACACGAATTAGTCCGCCTATCACACACACACAGAGAGAGACAGAGTTGGTGGGAATAAGAATGCCCAAGCGCAGACGATCGCGAACCAGCATTTCGGCCGTTGGGGAGTGGTGGGGCCATGGTTGACCTCATCGCGCAGTGAGGCTGGTCTGCACCGTGGATGTGGCGTTGATGTGAAGGTTATTGGCCATGATAACATAGGCAGGGCCGATCCTCAATCATCAGTGTATCAATTCTCAATTGATATCATTCTTATATTCACGACAATGACTATGAGTACTAGTATTGCTACAAAAAGGCCCCCGTTAAGTCCGACCCAACGCCGAGACCACGTGCCGGCTGAGTCATCCGATGAATTTTATTAAGCGGGCACTTCCACTGCCACTTCCGACTTGTTTTTCTCTTCTCTTCCATCCACGTTCATCCATCATCTCAGGTTTCCACACAGTGAAACCAACCTGCGTTAACTGTTCCAACAGTTCACGCTTTTTCGACTACACCGTTAGTTAATTTGGTATCGCCAACATCACTCTACTCAACCTCTCATACCAGGGTCTCCGGCCTTTGACTCGGATTCCCTCAAAAACGGTCACTCTCGTTTCAAAGAGAAAACCTCCAAAGAAGTTCACCGCGAACTCGTCTATGTATTCGTCCTCCGTGCAACATTTTGAACACCATCTGCCGCCCAAGCTGCAAAAGTTTCGCCTGTCGAAACTCAGCGGTATACACCTTATATCTTGTGGCTGAACCGCTGCCTGATTCTTCCATCCTCCTTTCGTGAGAAAATCCAATTCACTGTGCACCCGTGCAACAGAATCCATCGAAAATCGAAAAAATCAAACTCGACACGCATGTCTTGTTCCACCGACAAGATTCCCGTCCAAATTTCTTCCCGCTTCCTCTTCCGCAAGCCTACCGTTCCGTTCTCTTGAGCAAACTACCAATCAACCCAATCACCAACCGCAATCATGGCCACCGTCAACATTCGCCGGGATGTCACCGACCCCTTCTATCGTTACAAGATGGAGAAGCTCCAGTCCAAGATCGAGGGCAAGGGTAACGGTATCAAGACCGTTATTGTTAACCTTGACTCTGTCGCCAAATCCCTGAGTCGTCCTCCTGCATACCTGATCAAGTACTTCGGTTTCGAACTGGGTGCTCAGGCCAACGCCAAGCCCACCGACGAACGCTGGATCATCAACGGCGCCCATGACGCTGCTAAGCTCCAGGACTACCTAGATGGCTTCATCTCCAAGTTCGTTCTCTGCAAGAAGTGCAAGAACCCCGAGACCGATGTCCAAATCAAGGACGAGAAGATCACCCTTGACTGCAAGGCCTGTGGTCAGCGTTCTGACGTTGATCCTCGCCTCAAGCTGAGCACCTTCATTGTTCGTAACAACCCCAAGGGTGGCAAGAAGGAGAAGAAGGACAAGAAGGCTCGCCGTGAAGCGAAGAAGGAGAAGGCCGCCAACGGCGAGCAGGACGCTAGCCCCGGTGACAGCAATGGCTCCGAGAACGGTGAAGAAGAGAATGGTGACGTTGGTGTTGAAGCTGGCAGTGACGACGAGTTGACTCGCCGTATCAACTCCGTGGCTAAGGAAATCGATGTCGAGGAAGTTGAGGATGACAGCTGGGCCGTCGATATGTCCGAGGCCGCTATCAAGGCCCGTGCTCGTGACCTGCCCGATGACCTTAAGCGTTCCCTTGTGCTCGAGCACGGCGGCGACGACGAGGCCGATGGCCCCTCCTCTTACGAGCAGCTGGGTAGCTGGATTGTCGATGCCGCCGCCGAGGCTGGTGATGTGACCAAGGTCTCTGACATCGATATCTACAAGAAGGCTCGTGATTTCGGCATCGAGAGCAAGCACAAGACTCTCGCCGTTCTGGCCCAGAGCATCTTCGATGACAAGATCGTTAAGCAGATCGAGGACCGTGCTCCCCTTCTCAAGAAGCTCATCACTTCCGAGCGTCACGAGAAGTCCTTCCTCGGTGGTACCGAACGTTTCGTTGGCCAGGACCGCCCGGCCCTGCTGACCCAGATCCCCGCCATCCTGCTCGGTTACTTCCAGAACGACCTCGTCTCTGAGGAAACCCTCAAGGCTTGGGGCGCCAAGACCAGCAAGAAGTACGTCGACATCTCGACCAGCAAGAAGATCCACAAGGCTGCCCAGCCTTTCATTGAGTGGCTCGAGAACGCCGAGAGTGACGAGGAGAGCGAGGAGGAAAGCGAGTAGATTTTCGAAGTATCTCTACCAGATTGTCTTACTATTATCCCTTTGGATGTTGACTTGATTGCTATGCCTTTGTTAGCTTTGTCTTGAGTCCATATCTGATCAAGGTCTATTCTACATAGACCAAGGTAACTAGTATGTAGCTTAGCCGCCCAATCGCCACTCTTTTATGCTTGAAAACTTTTATACCTTTAGCTCCGGACGAGTAGATAACTGGCTAACGCTGCCTGGGCACCGTCTCCGACGACGGGTATAGCGGGAGTCTCGTTGGGCGCTTTGAATTGAGCATTTCGAGGAGGTAGAGTACTTGATAATGATGTATCGGCGGCTAGCCCACTTAGAATGAGGCTCCCGTCATTCTTCTCACAGCATAACCTTGGAACAGGCTTTTCTTTCAGTGTCGTAACCTATTTTTGCGACACATAAAACATCAATTTCGTATTACCTCGCAGCGGGATGACCGGCCAAATTCATTTTTCCCCATCGTCCAATTATTTATTGATATCCGATGAAGCTCTCGCGTAGCCCTAGAACATACTACTATTATATCTTTCGCATTTGAACATTATATGCACCGATAATTTTAAAATTCTTGTGTCTGTTGCCAATCTTCTCTCAACAATCCTCTTTTGTCATTCAATTCCTTGTGTTCAACTCCGGCACAGTTTGTCGGGATGTGTCGAGTTCCGAGGGCTCAGCAAAAGCTAGCAATAGCATCCATGGATGGTGTCAAAAAGCCATCACCGTTAACATCCATGATCCATTTTCGTCTAGCAGAAAGTTCCTAAGCACTCATGGTTTTTAAAATATATCCAAAAGATTCATCCAATATTTGAAGACCTTCTTCAATCTCTTCAGCTGTCACGGTGACTGCAGGCGCGAGTCGGAAAACACCACCCATCCCCGGCAAATTGACAATGTTGCAAGATAGGCCACGAGCCATGGCACGATCAGATACAAGCTGACCCATTTCAGAGCCCGGAGCCTTAGTCTTAGCATCAGAGATAATCTCAATACCCTGCAGAAGGCCACGGCCGCGAACATCGCCGATGCACCAATACTTCTCCTGGAGCTTGAGAAGGCCTTCACGGAGTTGGGCACCGCGTTCAGTTGCACGTTGACAGATATTATCGCGTTCCACAATCTCGAGCACCTTGTTACCAACAGCCGCAGTAAGAGGATCGTTCAGATGTGTAGTAAGCCACAGGAAACCGGCCTCCTTGCAACCACGCTCGATCTCGACAGTGGTGCTGACGGAGGCGAGAGGAAGACCACAGCCAAGGGTCTTTGACAGAGCGAGAATGTCGGGAACAACGCCATCCTTTTCGAAAGCGAACATCTGCCCCGTGCGTCCAACACCCGTCTGGGCTTCATCCATGATGACAAGCATGCCACGCTTGCGACATTCGGTGAACATACGTTGCAGGTATCCCTCTGGGAGGTCCAGAATACCACCAGTCGACAGGATAGGCTCCATGATAAAGGCTGCAAGAGATCCAACACTCTGGCGGTCAATCATACCCCAGGCAAAGTCGAGTTCGGTCTCCCAGTCATAAGAGCCATCGGGCTTCCGGAAGGGAGAACGGTAGGCATAAGGCGACGGGAAAGCAAGCTGGCCAGGTGTGACAGGACCTCCGTTCTTACGACCGGCCGAGTATGTAGCAGATCCAGAGCCCTGGGTTAGGCCGTGGTAGCTGGCGGCAAAGGCGACAATCTCGAACTTGCCGGTATAGCACTTTGCCATTTTGATAGCGGCCTCGGTCGATTCGGAACCGGTATTTAAGAAGAAGGACTTCTCGAGCGGGGCTGGGAGAAAGCGGGCAAGGCGCTCGGCCAGATCAACCACGGGGTGAGTGATCATGTTGCTGAGAAGATGGTCGAGTTCAGAAACATAGTGCTTGACGACTTCGACAATTTCGGGGTGAGAGTGGCCAAGAAGAGAGCTCATTTGCCCGGAGGTGAAATCGAGAATTGATCGGCCGCTCTCATCATAGAGACGAGTGCCCTTGGCCTTGGTGATTACGACGGGGGAGAAAGGTACACCGGTTGTCATAAGGTACTTGTCAGCCTTTGACCAGAAGGTCGCGGAGGTTTTATCGACGGAGCCCATTTTGAAGGTGGTGAAAGAACCGGACTGGATGCGCTTGGGTAAAGGTACTGATGAACAGGAATAGATGAAAAAGAAGACATCTTAAATAAGGAAGATTGTCCACATGAACCTTCCATGTCAAGGATTGTGGAGGGAGGTATACCCAAGCTGGGTAGTGGTACTTCTACCCGCGGCGAAGTGGTGGGTCTTGACCGCGGCCAGCTTGAACCCATGCAACCCCGCATGAGGATAAGGATGATTTGTTTAATTGGGTGATTTGGCGTCATTCTCACTATTCAGGAAGCTGGTGGGAGGATAAAGTATTATCGACTAGAAAATGAAGTATAGTAGACTCTCAAATGAACGTCCGTGCGTACTATACAAATCCGGGTAGATGTAGATGGAGATGTGGAGATATGTGAGGGAGTCTTGATGTTGTAGAGAGAGAAGATGAGCCAAATAGTGGGTAAAGAATCGATTAAGAATGTCAAACAAGTGTTAGTGTGTTATAAGCCTCCGAATGGTCTAATGGTATTGGCCTTGATCATTTGGGGGGGAAAGAGTGTGGAGGCTTTGAAGAGGCGCAATGGGACCGGTGCATGCCTACCTTATCTTTTTGTCTTTTTTCCAGGTCGCAGGGTAAAAGCCAGGCTAGGGCATTTATTTGGTTTGTTTTCTCTTTCCCTCCTTCTCTTTTTGTTCCATTTGTTGTTGTCGGTTGTTTTTTACAGTTCTACCTAGTCGTAGCCAATGACAACATCATAGCAGCTCCCCCATATTTCATTCTTAATCTTCAATATTGGGCGAGGCCTCAGCCCCAGGCACATCAAGGTCTTAGTGTGGCAGATCTATTCAATATGAAATTAGTGAATGCTGTGCAAGTTTCCGGTAGGAAAATAATGGGCGTATACAGTAAGTAGTTATTGTATAAAGTATAATCACGTGCCCGGAATTTGCCGCGGAGTTGGCCGGTGGAATGAGAGAGAACTAAACTAGTCCGTAGTCATTGCCATTTCCCACAGCACTCCAATATCAACAATTGATCGAGAAATAGAAACGGAAATGCAGGCTGAATCGCATCCCCAAAGCACAAAGAAAAACGAAGGAAGACCATATCGGTCCCACCTACACCCAGCATGTTTCGCGTGCAGAAAGCGCAAATCGCGCTGCAAGACAAGAAACACATCGGCCACATGTATTATGTGTCAGGCGCATGGAACAGACTGCAGATTCCCACGCCCAGACGATCCATTCCAGGCCACACCCCAGAAATCTCCCCCCGCGGAAATCAGCGGCCAATGCTCAAGCTCGTTATATCGGAGATCCACATGGCTCCTCCCTACGGCCCAGATCGTATAAACCACAGGCATTGGGACAGCATGCAGATCTATCGGGCCCTTCTTCGGAGAATTCAATTCAGTTTGACTCGTCGAGAAGCTCCCCAGCGTTTCATGCTGATCGGCACTTATCTGACCCGAGAAATGATGGTGGAGGAGACGGCTTTCCAAATCTTATCGGTATTGTTGCCGAGGCCGGAGATGACAGCTCTCATATTATCAGCCCGGCTGTTGCAGACGATAATGATATTTTGGACAGTTATCTGTCTACGGCACAGACCGAGAAACGAAGATGCTTGGCTCGCTCCAGCTCCACGTCGAATAGGCCCTTGAGACCTGTACGGTTCAATGTCGTCCCTAGGAGACCATTGGGTGTTAGTGTCAAACAGTCTGTTGCAGAGTCGAAACTAGAAGTCATTGAACGATACATGGACCCGCATATTGATGAGTTCTTGAACCTGTGAGCATTGCGTGCAAGATACTCGAAGCCGTCAAGCTTATCAATTGCTAATGAAATGAAAATTAGTTTCTTCCACAAAGCAAATCTCTGCTTTCCTCTGTTCGACGAAGCTTCATTCCGAAATGCTTACTCAAACGACAAGGAAAAGATATCCCCAGCACTATTATGCTGTCTCTACGCCAACTCGCTTATTTATTGGAAAGGCTCATCGAAACTGGTATACGCCGGTCGCGTTCCAGACAGTCGTTTCATTTGGAATCAGGCTAACGAGGCCCTCAATTCCGAGCTGTTCCTCTCCCCGGAATTTCGACGGTTCTTGCTATATTGATAAATGTCTGTGGAAGGCCTAGTACTTCTATGTTTGGCAATGGCGGTATGGTGGGCACGGCAGTTGCTTTATCGAATGCACTTGGTCTGAATCGTGACCCCTCCTGCTGGACGATATCTCCATTAGAGAAAAGCTTGCGCATTAGAATATGGTGGCTTGTGTTAATACATGATCGATGGTATGCTCGAAGTCCAAAGGCTCCCATGGCAATTGACTAACATTCATTTTAGGTGCAGCTTGGCTTACGGGACACCTTTGCAGGTCCACCGAGCCCAGTACGATGTACCATTTCCAACGATAGAAGACCTGTGTCACCCAACAGCCGAGCCATACCAGAAAGGAGCAGCATCAGTGTTCATAGCTTTAACTACCTTGACCGATGTTCTGGCTCGATATCTAGAGCACGTTTACAGTGTGTCTAAAGAATTTCCACATTCGAACGCTCATACTCTGGAACAGATTCTGAGCGACTGGGAGGAATCTTTGAGTGATGACATCCGCCGCATCGTACTGAGGGGTACACATCTTGATATTCCAGGGGCTGCAAATTTTCGCTTGGCATATTTAGCGGTCAAGCTACTGCTGCGTCGAATTCAATTAGACCTCAATAAAGGGTCTAATCTCACAGCCGAAGACGATACAAAGGCCCCATTCTATATGCAAGCACAACGAGCCGCCGAAGACATCGCACACCTGATACAGGAGCTAGACGCTACCCAACTCAACGGCTTTTGGATTCCAGTGCATTCTTTCTCGATAACATCGGCCACGATGTTCCTGCTGCGTAGTGGGCTACGGATGAAAGATCAGGGCCGAAATATGCCCTTGAGTATTGCCAAAGACATGATCAATGTTCTCCTTACGCACCGGCAGAATTTCGGTTGGGATCTTGCCGATAATTGCCTCGAAGATTGCGGGGAGCTGGTTGAAAAGATTGGCATGGCAGTGGCGGATTCTGATTTGCCAGTTGGAACAGCTGGGCCTGATTTTCCGGATTTCTCGGAGGATTTGGACATCAATCCGGCTATTTTGGAGGAGTTATTTTTTGGAATATCGGGGTTTCCACAAGGGTTCGAGATTTGAAATTGTATGATGCGATGCGATGTGAGGGGTGTGATTTGCTCTATTGGGCAATGGCTGTGATATACTAAATTACTCTATGTATCTAGAAGACAACAGCTGCAAACTGCATTTTCTCTCCACGAAATTCTGCAAACATACTAGGTCCAGGCGTTCTTTGCACGGGGACAGAGTTCGCTGGCACTCGATTGAGTTGGCCAACAAAGATAAACCAAGTGAGGTCCGCGTTCCAAGTCTCCATAGCTTGAATCGCAGTCTCAACAGACTGGAGAATACTCTGCTTGGAAGTATCTTCCGAGTGGGCAGTATCTCTCCTGGATGGGAGGAAATAGTACTCGGGTCCAACATATAGTGCAATCCAAGAGCCAAGCATTCCACAGATACGATCACCGACTTCGGGTTGTAAACGCACATGAGACAGGACGGTGAGGAATAAGGATATCAACGCGCGCCAGAGAGCATGGTGAGGCGTAAATGCCCTTGATCCGGAGGACCCGGATGCGGTTGAAGAAAGAGCCAGTGACGATGCGATGGAAAGACTGGACTCGGTTGTTTGGGCAGTCAGCTGGGTATCAAGCTTGCCTTTCTGCTGCTGTGCACGTCGCTCATTAACGTTCTCGGAATCTTGGCGCACCTTGGCCCAGACAGTATTGTATAGCCGTTCCCAGCGGGGAAATTCGGTTTCGATTCGTGAGCCCATGAAGTCACCAGCTCCCTTACACATCGCTTCCATAGCCTGGCAAGCTGTAGTTATGACGAAAGTTTCCTCTTGGAATGCATGAGTGTCAGGTGTTGACGAGCTATCTCCGGTAGATGACCGGGCAATGAGCGAATTTGAAGACGAATCACTTCCCAGCGACGAGGGAAAGATCACTCTTGATGCTACCGAGGTCCAGAGATCGTTGACCAGAGGGAGGAAGCTATTTTCGTTTTGCGAGAGGGTTGGGAGAACATCGATGAGGATAGTAAGGAGGGAGCGTCGGAGATAGGGTGATGGGGAAGATAGATGGGTTGGGATGGATTTCACGATATGTAGAAGAAGAGAATGGGTTTTGCTCAACGGCTTTTCGGTGTCTTCTGGTTCTTTAGGCGGTGGAAGTGGCTCGTCAGATTCGGCCTTGTTGAGAAGCTCTTCGATGGTCTCTGGCTCGGGCTCGGGCTTGTCATACGTCTCTGACCATGGCTTCTTCGGATGCGAAATATTGTCATCAGCTTCCACGTCCTCATTCACAACATTTGAAAGCTTTTCTCTTCGCCTCACAATATCCGCGACAAGAGTGGCAACTGAAAGGTGCTGATGCTGGACCTTGCGAGAGTCAAATGAACCATCCTGTCGACCGTCGTCTATTGTCAGAAGGGATGGCTTCTTGGATCCTTCTTGGACTATAGCCGCCAGGGTCTTGAACATCATTTCGACCAGCTTCGGATAGCCATGATACATATCCAAGATCCCAAAAACGGAATCAACCAAATCATCCAAGTATGGGATAAGGGGCGCACCACACAATTTGACCATCATAAAAAGAACCTGTGGGGGGGTATGGCGATACGTCAAAGGTATTCAGCTTCAGAGCTACCGAGTTCACCAAATAGTCGACATTCTCGATGATCATAGAGCCGGTATTCTGGTAGTTGCAAGCGGTTGTCAAGATTTTTAAACATGTCATGGCGTGGCGTTGCAAGTTGGGATTATTGGACGCAAGAAGTTGCAGTGTTGGATAAAGCGCATCTATAAGTTCCGGTCGGAAGTCTTCTCCAAGCTGCTGTGCTTGAAGAGCCACTGCTTCTAGCGCGAGTGCAGATGTTCGCCAGTCACCGGAGCCATCGGCGGGTATGTCGTTGAGGATTGACAAAGCAACAAAGTAGAGCTCCTCAACCATGCCCGCACGATTGGGGCCCGCAAGGGAGTTTTCCAATTGATCATCAGAGATAAAGTCATCGAATGCACTTGCATGGTGTTTTTGAGCCCGGAGAGAAGTTAGAGCAAGCCAGAATGGGGCAATTATAGTGTTTTCAGCACTAGAATGCAGGCGGTTGACGATGGAACGCGTAATTTCATTACCAGATTCAGAAAGATTTAATCTTGTCATCAAAGCGCGTAGATCCTTTAGGGTTGCTTGTTGACTGCGGTGCTCCAATAACACCGGTGGGAACACCATAGACTCGGCATCCGACCCGAGTATTTCTGAGTTCATATTTCCGACATTGGCCGATGTCAAAGGCTGGAGAGCGGTAGTGTCTTTTTTAACGACAGCGCTCACGCTGTCACAAAGTCCAGTGGCCAGACTCGCCGTCAGCAAGTCCGATTGCGATTGAACTTGGGACAGAATTTGGAAGACAGTCGAAATTTGTCTGATGCCCCATTGTTTAGCCGACTCGTCGTTGCTTTGCATGATTCGTGGAAAGGACGTAAGCCACGTATGCAGTGACTCCTTCAAAGTCTCCAAAACGACTGGGTATGATGTCGCCAGATGATAGACCGTGTTATACGCATGATTAGATCCCTCTTCTTCTTTATCTGCAAGAACCACAGCCGTCTCGATCATGATCTGAAGAGAGTCTTTCAATGTTTCAGGGCAGTCTTCAATGATCATGACACAGAGATCCAGCATTGCTGTTTGAACCTCTAACCGCTGGTGGCGCCTTATCTGAATAATGTTTGCTAATGCCAGCTTGATCTGGGTCGTCGTCGCTTTCAGCCAAGAGTCATCCAAGACCAGGCCATCTTCTTTGGTGAGAGAAGGGCGAGGTTCCTCCGCAATGGCAACGCGATCGTTGAGGACAGACTTTAGTAGGTAGTTGAGAATCTGAATGGAAACTTCCAATAGTTTATAAGATCGTCGGGCTTGTGTTGTCGGCCTCACAACCTTCGCCAAAGCGGAAACAGTGCGTGGCATAATGCTTGCAAGGACCACCCGGTCTGTGATACGGGCATAAAGGGCATTCAAGGCCTTTGCAGCAGCGAGACACACATCGTCTGATCGTTCATCGACCAATCCCTCTAACAACATATAGACCGATTGATCAACAACGGTGGCCGTTCCGATTTCATGAAAGATGGTCTTTTCGGCGACGGGACCCTCGAGCACATTGAATATGGATCGCATGCAGTCAAACCCAGCAATGGCAAGCTCTTCGGATGCCTGTGCTTTGGGTAGATCCTGTTTCCCTTCAACCTTATTCGGAGACCCGGCCACGACTAGCGTCAAAAGTATAATCAATTGTTTTCCCAAAGCCGGCGACAATTGTTTCCGATATCCACTGTCGACGAGTATCTGAAGAGAGTGAACTGCAATTTCGAGACATCTTGCGGGGAGCCGTTGTGTTTGATTGAAGATATGGGTGAGTGGGAAGAAGGCGTATTCGGCAAGCTTCTCGTCCAGTGCATTCTTCCCCGCAAGCAGTTCCAATACATCGTGGAGTGGCTGCACAGCTCGAATGACATCTTGAGCCGAGGCTTGATTACCTCGAAAGCTGAGTCCTATTGAGCTTAGCTCCACACATGGTGGGCGTAGCTTGGTTCGATGTTAGTTTGGAAGATTGTCCTGCCCGCATTATTCAGCCGAACATACCTGTTTAAAGGTTTCTTGCCGTTGGGTTTCCATTGTAGGAAGAACTCAATTATTTGGCGACAAGAGGAAATAAGCCAGCTGAGCCATCAAATGCAAGCTAAGTTATAGAAGTGGCCAAGAAGAGGGCAGTGAAATCATCTTGAGGGAATGACCAATAGCTTGCCAGCGGCGTGATGATAACGAACGGCGGGCACTCCCCAGCTCGAAAACATGCACCGCCTTGGGTTCTGCCAGCAGAAATGAGAAAGCGGTGTCATCTTCCCACTTGAACTTCTGAGCGCCTTCCCGATTGGGATAGATAATTGAATCATGTGACCAGCGCGTCACGTCGCGTCCAGAAAGAGGCAGGTGTGGCAGCGGCAGCCTGGGCAAGTGCGACTGCTGCCTTTGCCTCTTCGTGCCTGCCGAGTTTATTAAGTTGATCCAATTTCCAATTCTGGCAAGGACGAGGATATCTTCTCAGATTCTTATCTTCTCAACTCCTCCTAAATATCACAAGTATTTAGTCGACCTCTTCCCCCTCGCCGATCCACTCGACTTGAGTTGTTTGCCTATGCGCGCCTTGCAGATCGCATCCGCGCCGTCATCACTTTCGCGCCTCCGGTTCAGTACCCGCATTTCAAGGCCAAGATTCATCCTCACCTCACCCAGAACAACCTCTCTCCAAAATTACTCCTGCTCAACCTGCAATTCGAGTCTACCCTTGCGAAACACAAAGGCGTCCCCGTTACGCCCACTTCACAATATCATGTCTGACGACAAAGGCAGGAAGCAAGCTACTCTGGGGTATGTGCCAGACTCTCAATTGACCATTGGGTGCGTCAATGGAATTGCATCTGCCCCTCCCAATGGAAACTAATGATTTGGATTCCACAGGCGATTTTTCGGTGGCAATGCCAATGGCGAGCAAGCTCCAAAGAAGCAGACCACTCTCGCATTCGGCGGGAAGCGACAAAGAGCCAGCAGCGGCGCCGATCCAGAAGCCCAAGAGCAAGAAGCAACGATCTCCAAACCTAAGAACAAAGAAACCGCCAGTGCGAATGAGACCGAGTCAACCAACAATCTGAAACGGGAAAAGACCGATGAGGCCGAGGACAGTGATGGTTCTGATGTGCAGCCGGTGTCAAAGCGGAGGCGCAGAACGGTAAAGAGTGAATCATTAACTCCCAAGAAGACCGAATCTTCGCCGAAGAAATCAAAATCGCCCTCTCCCAAGAAGTCACCAGCGAAACCCAAGGCCAAGTCCTCTTCTCCACGGACGGTTGTGAAGGAGGACAAGGATGGAGAGGAGGAGGAAGATTTGGTGAGCGAAGGCGAAGAAGAGGCAAAGCCCGACGCTAAGAAGAAGACCATGGAAAAGGTCCAAGCGACTCTGAAGGCCAGTGGGAAGGATCCGTATCCAGACTGGAAAGCTGGGGACCCTGTACCTTATGCCGCGATGTGTACGACTTTCTCTCTAGTTGAGATGACTTCAAAGCGCCTGGTGATCATGGCCCATTGCTCTCTTTTCCTTCAACAAGTGATGCGCCTGACCCCCAATGATCTCCTCCCTACTGTTCAGCTTATGATCAACAAGCTTGCGGCAGACTATTCCGGTATTGAACTGGGAATTGGCGAATCATTGATCATGAAGGCCATTGGCGAAACCACCGGTCGCAGTCTTGCTGTCATCAAAACCGATCAACATGAGATCGGTGACCTCGGATTGGTCGCTGCCAAGAGCCGCGGCAATCAGCCAACCATGTTCAAGCCCAAGCCTTTGACTGTTCGTGGAGTACACGAAGGCCTTCTTGGCATTGCTAAGGTCCAAGGACATGGCTCCCAGGACAAGAAAATCTCGGGCATCAAAAAGCTTCTATCAGCGGCTGACTCCGCCACTGCTGGTAAGGGCGGCAAGGGTATTGATATTACCAAAGACAAGGGCGGTCCAAGTGAGGCCAAATTTATTGTCCGCTTTTTGGAGGGAAAGTTGAGACTGGGTCTTGCAGAAAAGACTGTTCTTGTGGCTCTTGCGCAAGCCGTCGTGACACACGAAGCCGCAGTCAAGGGCGAGAAAGCCCCTTCGCCCGAGAAGATGGCGGAGGGTGAGGCTGTCCTGAAGACAGTGTACAGCCAAATGCCTACCTACGAGGAAATTGTTCCCGCAATGATTGAAGGGGGCATTTTCAACCTCCCTGAGGTCTGCAAGCTGTCTCCAGGTATTCCCCTCAAGCCTATGCTGGCCAACCCAACAAAGTCAATCACGGAAGTGCTCGACCGCTTCGAAGGGAAAGAGTTTACCTGCGAATACAAATATGATGGAGAACGCGCCCAGATTCATTTCGTTGCCCCTGATTCTATTCGCAAATACCCGGCAGCTACAGCAACGCTACAAAAGGACAGCAAAGGCCTCAGTGCCATCTTCTCCCGCAATTCGGAAAATTTGTCCAAGAAATACCCCGATGTGCTTGCGAGGCTTGATGGATGGATTAAGGAAGGCGTTGACAGCTTTGTTCTCGACTGTGAGACAGTTGCGTGGGATACCGTAAACAAAAAGGTTCTGCCGTTCCAGCAGCTCATGACCCGGAAGCGCAAGGATGTCAAGGAAGAAGACATCAAAGTCAAGGTTTGCGTGTTCGCATTTGACCTACTGTTTTTCAATGGAGAGGTAAATTTGCAAAAGACTAAAGAAACAACTCGTTTACAAATGCTAACTCGTCCTTCAGCCCGTGGTTAAGAAAAGTCTCCGAGAGCGCCGTCAACTACTGCACGAGTGCTTCCAGCCGGTGGAGGGCGAGTTCCAGTTCGCACAATTCGGCAACACGAATGTTCTCGATGAGATCCAAACCATGTTGGAAGACAGCGTGAAGGCTTCTTGCGAGGGACTGATGGTGAAGATGTTGGATACTGAGCAGAGTGGTTACGAGCCGAGTAAGCGAAGTCGCAACTGGCTTAAGGTACGTGATTCCGTTTTGTGATGCTTTCTGAGTGACGGTCACTGACAATCCGTAGGTTAAGAAGGATTATTTGGCTGGTGTGGGCGATTCCCTTGACCTGGTAGTCCTCGGTGCCTACTACGGCCGTGGTAAGCGTACATCTGTGTATGGCGCTTTCCTTCTGGCCGCCTATAACCCTAATAACGACACCTATGAGACAATTTGCAATATCGGAACGGGCTTTTCCGAGGCAGTGCTAGAGGAAATGCACACGGCGCTCACACCCCTGATCATCGATCGACCCAAGCCATTCTATGCACACTCTAGTGTTCCCAAAGACCAACCGGATGTGTGGTTTGAGCCCCGGCTAGTGTGGGAAGTCAAGACGGCTGATCTAACGCTTAGCCCGCGGTACAAGGCGGCTGCCGATGAGTTCGAAGGTACCACTGGTGGCGGAAAGGGTGTCTCACTCCGATTCCCTCGCTACATCAAATCGCGCGATGATAAGACTCCGGATCAGGCTACGACCACTCGTGCAGTCGCGGAGATGTATCGTAAACAGGAAGCTGTGGCCAAGGAGTCAGCAGGTAAGCGTGGCGTGGATGATGACTTTGAGTACTGAATGATTGAATCATGGTCCTGGTCATGGCGCATTGTGGAGATTTGGTCTGGGCACTATGTTGGATAATTTCTGTGTAATTTAGTTATTACGTTCTTAGCATCACATCATTTGCGGCTAAGCTGCATCATTGAGTTATTAAGATTACTTGTGGCCTACTGGTATGCCTTGCAGTTGGTATTGCAATTCACCAGCATTTTCCCACAACTCCACCAATGCATTCATCCCTATAACTGGATCGTTCTGTACTCGTACTCTAGGTGTTATAATGGAAATTATTCCATTCTCTACCCATTATCTATATCCATTAGTTATCTACCTTATAACCACCTGAAATCTCCGGCTATCAGCGGCCCGCTTAGCCCAGCTTGGCGCTGCAACCCAAGACCGCGGCAGCGTATGAGGCCATTTCTTTGTTTGCATACTCTTTTAGCGGCCTCTTAGTGTCCCCAGTTTCCCCTCAACTTGCTTTGCATCATGGCAACTCACAGCTTCTCCTCCCTGTTTATCACTCTTGGCAGACAGGAATGTAACATTTCCCCCCTTGGGGAAGCTGCGATTGCTCATGGCCCCGCTGTGGACGGCCTGGATTCGGATTCCCTGCAATACAAATACTCCTCCCCGCAACTCTCTTCAGGCATTGATCTGTATCATTGTCTACGGTGGAGTGTGTGTGTATCTCTTTGACACCATGCGGACTTTTCAATGGCTGGCTCTTGGCTCGGTGGTGGGTTCGGCCTTTGCGCTTACTCCGGAGTATGTCTCCTGCTTATCACTGGGCATTCATGTATCTGTTCTACTTGTTGCATGGACTAATTCTGGTATAGAAAGTTGATTACGGCTCCCCGACGTGATAATGCCGTTCCGAATCGTTCGGGCGTAAGTCTTCAAGATCTTTTCTTCCCATTGTTCCTTATATTATATGTGGCAATGGTCGTACGGTGGATTATATTTGCTGACTGCTGCGCAGAAAGTCGCGTTGTTCTCCACTGCACAGTACTCTTTCGATACCCACTCCTCCTCCTCGGCGTGGTGGAGCTTAATTGATCTAAAGAGTGGCAAGGTTTCCCAGCTCACGAATGACAGCAATGTCTCCGAATTGACCTGGTTGGGGCCAACTGACTCCAGTTTGCTCTATATCAATGGGACCAATGCCGATGTTCCCGGCGGTGTTGAACTGTGGATAGCTGATTCTTCCGACTTTACCAATTCGTAAGCCTTCCCCAAATGCTGAAGCTGATTTTGATCTTGACTGACACATTTTTAAGCCGGTACAAGGCTGCTTCTCTACCAGCCTCTTTCTCCGGGCTCAAGACCGCTGTGACCAAGTCTGGCGACATCAATTTTCTTGTCTATGGCCAGTCCTACGGCAATGGTACAGCATACAATGAAGAGCTGGCCGTCACCCCTCTAAGCTCTGCTCGCATCTACGACAGCATCTACGTCCGGCATTGGGACAGCTGGCTGAGCACCAACTTCAATGCCGTCTTCTCAGGAACCCTCAAGAAGAAGGGCTCAAAGTCAGGCTCTCACTATGCCCTCGACGGCTCGCTCAAGAACCTCGTCGCGGGTACCAAGAATCTCGAGTCTCCATACCCCCCATTCGGCGACTCGGGTGACTACGACATCTCACCAAATGGAAAATGGGTCGCCTTCAAGAGCAAGGCCCCTGAGCTGCCCCGTGCAAATCACACTGCTTCGTACATTTATCTTGTTCCCCACGATGGTTCCAAGAAGGCCGAGGCAATCAATGGCCCCGATAGCCCGGGCACGCCGAAGGACGTCAAGGGTGACTCTAGTGCCCCTGCCTTTTCTCCCGATAGCAAGAAGCTTGCGTATTTCCAGATGACGGATATCTCGTATGAAGCAGACCGACGTACCCTATATGTTTATACCCTTGGGTCGGAAAAGACAATTGCGACTTTGGCTAGGGATTGGGATCGTTCCCCTGATGCCGTGAAGTGGAATGCTAAGGGCAACAGCCTCATCTTGGGCACTGAGGATCATGGCCGCGAGAAGCTCTTTACTCTCCCGGCTGATGCGGGTGATGACTACAAGCCTAAGAATTTCACTGATGGCGGTTCTGTCAAGGGATTCTATAATCTTCCCGGTGGAGAGGTTCTTGTCACTGGATCTGCTATCTGGACGAGTTGGGCTGTGTATACGGCTAGTCCAGAGAAGGGTGTTATTGATACTCTCTTCTCCGCGAATGAAGTGGACCCTGGTCTAAAGGGACTTGGCCCAGATGATTTTGATGAGTTTACTTATAAAGGAAACTGGACTGACGTGAGTATTTCCCTTGGCCATTCTTGAAATAACGCGCCTGCTAATTCAACTCAGATCCACTCTTGGATCATTTATCCAACCGGCTTTGATAAGTCCAAGACTTACCCGCTCCTATTCTATATCCACGGTGGACCTCAGAGCGCGTGGACGGATTCCTGGAGTAGCCGATGGAACTACAAGGTCTGGGCCGACCAGGGTTATGTGGTCGTTGCTCCGAACCCGACCGGCAGCTCTGGATATGGTGACAAATTGACCGATGCTATTCAGAACAACTGGGGTATGTCGTTAGCCTCGCTTTGAACTAGCAGCTCTAACCTTTTTGCAGGAAGCTACCCCTACGACGATCTCGTCAAGGGCTGGGAATACGTGCGTGATAACTTTGACTTCATTGATACCGATAATGGTGTTGCTGCTGGAGCCAGTTATGGTGGCTTCATGGTCAACTGGATCCAGGGTAACCCATTGGGTCGGGAGTTCAAGGCACTCGTCAGCCACGATGGCACCTTTGTGGCCGATTCGAAGGTCGCCACTGAAGAGCTGTGGTTTATCGAACATGACGTAGGTGCCTCGTGCTGATTCCTTCTTGCTTCTTTGCTAACACTTTGCGCAGTTCAACGGCACATTCTGGGCCAACCGGGATAACTATCGTCGTTGGGACCCATCCGCTCCGGAGCACATCCTGCAATTTGATACCCCGATGCTGCTTGTCCATAGTTCCAAGGACTACCGTCTTCCTGTCTCGGATGGACTCGCTCTTTTCAACATTCTTCAGGAACGGGGCGTTCCGAGCCGCTTGTTGAACTTCCCGGATGAGAACCACTGGTCAGTTTTTCTTTTGAATGTCTAGCATCAAGACCTTACTAACATTCCGACAGGGTTCTCAAACAGGAGAATAGTTTGGTGTGGCATCAGCAGGTTCTTGGCTGGATCAACCGTTATTCTGGCGTTGGGAAGAAGAACCCTGATGCTGTTAGTCTGGACGACACGACAGTGCCGGTTGTAGATTTCAACCCCTGAACACGGGCATAGACAGTTGTTCGGCTAGTTGCAGAAGAATGAACAAATTTTGACTCGGATTTATCTTCTTGCTTTCACTCTTTGTTCCCACTCGTATTGTGAATTGTAAGTTCCTGGTGAGACATTGGCTTTGTCCTACTAGTAGACATACATTACCTAGAATGGTTCAGGTTCTTTATTCTCACCTTCTAGGGCCAGCAGGGCGATATATTCCCTAACGGAATCAACCTACTAAATCGAAAGACCCTGGAAATAATAATAAAAAAACAAGTTCCACTGTGAATTTGCTTGTCAATGTGGTTTATAGATTGCTATCTGTTTCCGCTGGGTGTTAGCCCTCATTGTGTGCGTCCCGCGCAACAACGTCGGAGAATGAGATTTGACTGTGACAAGTATTTTATCGTTATGCTCAAATGAGTCTCAGATTTCAGAGGGTTCTAACAAGTTTGTCTTAAAATCAATGGCAAGGGAAGTGCCAATTGTGTGGACGTTTGCCTTTCACTGCTGCATAAAAAGGGTAGCCTCCTCCTCCTTCCTACCATCCTTCACTTCCTTCACACCTCCCACTTCCTTAACCATCTTTCACCCCACACACAATCAACTCACACAACTAATTCATTCAATCCCTCAATTGACATTTTGCCATCACTTTCACTATGTCGGCTTCAACCTCGACCGCGAGTTCGAAGGGGAGCAGCACCCCAACTGCGACTGCTGACAAGTCTGCCATTGACACAAAGGCACACAGCACTCCTGCCACGTCCGAAGGTACACTTAAATTATCCCATTAATCTCTCACCTATCTTAAACTAACATGTTCATTCATTCACAGATGAGGATGAGGACATGGACTCCGGCTCAGAGACCCAGTTCGTCCCTGCGGTTTACCTCGCCGACAGCGACGACGAAGAAGACGACGGCCACAGATACCCCGCCATCAACGACACTATACGTGCAATCGCGGCATTTAAGAATACCGACTTATCCAAGTACCCGATCGACGTGAAGATCAAGCCGCTCCGAGATGAGCCCTACGGCTACGGGGAACACGAGCAATTCGACACCTGGAAAGTCGGTATTGAAGTCATTCTCCGACTCTACATGGTTTGGCCGGTGGTTACCTTTAACATAAGACGGCTTCCCAGGAAGGGAGAGGCTTGTATTCACATTCGTGATTCCTACCCCCGTCTCCCTCAATGGCGGGTACATGAGGAACGCATGCTCAATGTGGCTACGGCCCTGATCTATGCGAATCTCGACGAGGAGGTCCGCGCTAATGAGTATGTTATTAAGGAACTTGAGTACCGTGATCCTCACTCTTTGATGATTGGACTTGTTGACTCGTATGGGCCTAATCTTGATGATATGGAAGATGACAGTGAGGATGACAGCGAGGATGAGACTGGAGATACAGTGAAGACTGACTCCAAGTGAGACTGTTTGTTTGTGGATGTTGATTGTATCTGCTGGGCTGGCGAAATTGTTCTTTTCTTTTCTTCTGGTGACGATGTGAAATCCGTCAACTACTGGGTGCAAGAACTTGTTGTTGATTTCATTGTTAGCTTTGAGGGGGAACGGGCGTGGACTCCATGTTTTATGTATGGCATTAGGTTAAGCATGGGAGTTATGAGAAGGTTCTGACCATTATGCATTTCCACACAGAGTAATAAACTTGTTTGAGAGAGTTATCCATTCATTGTTCAAGGCTATTCATCACATGAAGGTATTGGCATAGCTACGAAATGGCCCTTTCAGAAAACTTCTATCTAGATTGAACCTACCTTGATATCCCGACCACCCATTTCCGAAATCGAGAAATGAGTTCCTCTAGGTCTGGCTGGGTGAATTGAGGAAGCATCCACAGCCAGAAGAGCCAGCAGCTTCTTGTCTTACGGATACGCTTGTTCTCCATCTCCTCCGAATCTACAAAGTGTTAGCTTCCACAAAAGCACTTGGATAGAATGTAGAAACACTTACCCCAAAGCCTCCGTGGCGTCCTTTTTTAACTGGGCCCGTCGCCGAATATCAATTCGAGCCTGGAAGGCACTGTCGATAGCATTCAGCCTCGCCCCCAGCCTCTCAGCGAGGGTCATTTCCTGATCGCCGGCGAAAGGCATGTTAGGTAAAAGGCTTTTGACCTGGCTGAAATGAATGGAAATCTCCCGGAAGAGTTTCTCAAACTGCAAGATCTTCAGCCTATCGGCCTGCGCCTCTTGCTCGATTTCAAACACTCTTGCTTGCAGTCGGTCGATCTCTCGGCGAGCTTGGACCTTCTCTTCGAGAAGTTTGGAGTTTTCCCGCTGCAGTGCATCGATCTTGACTTGCTGTCCTGCTTCGATCATCTTTGATCTCAGGAACGACGCGGTTCGGAGGTCCCATATCTTACCAATGAGTTCTTCGATTAGTGCCATTTTCCGGAAGCTCATCTCGTTGTTCTCAGCGCTCGAGGCCTGGAGATGCTCGTCTGGAGTAGTCTGCGCACTGCTGTTCGATAGATTCACGGCCAGGCTGTCTGGGGTTTGTGCACTCAATGGGGTTTCAATGGGAGTGCTGATCGAGGGGCTCTGGAGGGGAGATCTGCGATATTCGCTGTCTTTGCTGGCCACCATTTCCTTGGTATTGGCCGCAGCCTCATTACCGGCGGCTGTGACAACTGGTTCGTTGGAAGGGTTGATTTGGGGAGTTGTTCCGGTTGGATCAATTGTCGTGGTGGGCTTGGCAAATGGGGAAATTGGGGAGAAGTCTGCCCATGATAAAGTCGAGGAGAGATTTCCCGCAGGGAGATATTTGGTCAAGCCATCTGTGAAGGTGGCTTTGGCAAATGGATTGTCCACGAAATCCTCAAAACTCGACTTGGCTTGAACTTTTGCGCCGTGAATGCTGGGCGAGCTGACTGAGAGGGTCGATTCCGTTAGATCGAATTTCACAGCTTGCGGGTGAAGAGGCTGGACCGGAATGGCCGTCTCGGTTGAAACAAGCGTGGTCTTGGAATCATGAAAGATTTCCTGCTCCGAGTCTGGATCTTCAATCTTGACGTTAGATTGATCCTCTTCTTGACTCACGTCGAGTAGTCGTCTCTTGGGGACGATGTTAGCTTCGGAATAGTTGCAGGAATTTGTCTCTTCTCTGGGCACTCACCACGTGCATCAGTCTTAACTTGGCCCGTCTTTTCACTCGGGAATCCACTCTGGAAAGACCATCGTAATTCATCGGTTTTTCCTTTGCGGCAAATCCGCGCTGATCATTTTCATGATGACCGGGGGTGCTCATCGTGCCAGTTCCTACGTTGAGTGTGTTGGATGGCAGAGGGCTGAGACCAAGGTTCGATAGGTCTTCCGGGAGAATCCAGAACAGACTTCTGTGATGTGGTTAGTCAGGCACGAGGAAGAGAAAGAAATATTGTGAGAACTCACTCGATCTCCGAGTTCTGGATCCGATTTCTGAATGCATTCAGCGCGTTCTCGAAGGGAATGAGGCTGGGGTCGGTGGTAGGGGAGGCATCGCTTGGTGCAACATCAACATTAGCAGAGACTATTTTGGCTCTAGCAGACCTTCTGGCAGATCTAGGAGTGGATTCATGGCTCTGGCCGTCCGACAAGGCACCGGGGGCTGAGCTTGTCGATGCCATGGAGAGCTGCAGCTTTCCCTTGGCCTCGGTAGGTGGGTGGATGGGGGAACCGAGGTAGTCGAAGAGAAGCTGGTCAAGTTCGTCACCCGAGTCTATTTCAGAAACTGGCACTTCGAATCGCATACTGATTGATGGTGGAGTGGGAGTGGTAGTGTAATAGAGGGAGATGGTAGATGGGGTTGGCAGAGGTTGAAGTAGACGGGGACCATCAGGCTCCAAAGAGGCAAACAATAAAGTCGAGACTGGGTCAAGGTGAATTTTATTTTTCTGAACTGGGTTTTTGAGATAGTTTAAGCTAGGTAGCTGCCAGAGCTGATTATCATCGGATACCAAGTGTACTCTTCGGCGCCGAGACTCTTCAGTGTTGTCTACAACAGTTTTCCAAGCAGTGCATTATACTTGCACTATGCTTCGATTTCTCCCTACAGGCCTCCCTACAGGCGGTACGTGCATAGGTGCACGAAAGATCAATGGTGCAAAATATTTGAAATTCTCAGAAAACACCCGCCAAATATCAGAACAATTAACCGGATGAAACCTCGAAATAACTCCTCGTTCGCCCTGAGGCACCTACAATGCAAGATCGAACTTGAATATGACACAGATTTGGTAGCTTCCTCGGAACTGTCCCGGTGCTCCATAGATAAATTCAGCAAAAAAGACCACGCATATGGAAACTGCATTCGCCGGCATACAACGAGACATCGATGCAATGCCGGCAACGCCATCCGCTCAATAACTCAACAAACCACAGATTCACAAATAGCCACGAGAATTTCCCCGAGATCCATTCCCTTCTTGTACAGCATTCCCTCGATTGAACGTCAAATAGATCATTTATTCTCTTGTCTTTCGCGTCTGAGTTTGTCCAAAAACATATGCATCATGTTCAGCGAGGACTGGAGGCAGGCGAGCAATGATTCTATCATGCTCCGGAGCTTCGCGTTTGAGGCACGCTCCTTGGCCAACTTTGCCTTCATCTCTTCATAGTCTGAACTCAATTGGTTTACACTGTGAACAATTCAATCAGCACGGTCCTTCATGTGGGTGTCGGAGCGAGTGACCGAGATATATACTAGTACCGTTTGGAGAGCGAAGCAAAAACATTTCCATCGCTCGAATAGCTGCCTTTTGATTCGGTCCCCATCGTCTCGCTGGAGGAATTGTACGTGGTAGGCAGTGGGGACGACGAGAATCGCTTCAGGCGCTTTGGACGCGGGTGGCCATCCATGGTGTTCTCGTAGTCCATTTCGTCGGAAGGTGTGGACACTTGGGAGCGATGACGTTTCGGCATGCTTGTCGTCTTTGAGTGATGGTTTTGGTAAATTTAGTATTCGGAGTGGGGAGATGTAGGCGAAAGATGGGATGTTGTGGTGGTGGGACAAATTGTAAACGGCAACCGCAGGGCCAACCGCCACAACACGGAGAACCCGGGCATTGAACACCAGCGCGAGCTGTAAATCATAGAATATCTTCTTTTGTCTTTCTTAGGCATACTCGGAAACAGTCTAGCTGGGAAATAATTTAAGTCTGGCATGGTAAATATAATAACATTCGAAACTAATTTGACCTTGTTATTTATCCCCGTTGAGTAACTCCATGCGTTGGTAAATCATACAAGCTTGAGCCGACGTCCGCCACCGACTACAATAATACCTTTGAAAACCAGGTGGAAACGAAAGAAGCACCATGCCATATTCCCATCCCTCACATTCCATCCGGTTAAGTGGTCAATAAAATCCCAGCATCCCTAACCATTCACAATACAACCATCCATATCTTCCTGGGGTTGAAAGGTCAGAATATCCATTCCAAAGCGCCACAGCCGCCATTCCCAATCATGATAGATGAAAGACTGACCTTGGTTATAGTTGTAAACTTTTCTGGGGAACGAAAGACGTCAACATAAGCGGAATCAATGATGGCAGATTCCACTGTTGTTCCATATATTCGTTGTCCATTTGGTCACCTGGAATCTCGACCCATTTATTTTCCAGCTCAAAAAGGTCGATCGAGATCATGTTTTCCGTGATTGTCTCGCTGGTGGTTTCAGATTGGGCAGCGCTTCGCTCGACTTGCAGCGCGGCATTCTCAGAAAGAAGAAGGTCTCGCTGATTCTGGATCCCGATGTTCTCCTCTAAGACATCCCGCTCACACTTCAACCCGGCGATCTCGACTTCACGGGCTTTCAGTTCTGTGTTCTTTGCCTCTGATGTCTTCAACTCCGCATTCAGCTTGGTCTTGAAGGCTTCCCGCTCCGTTCTCAACTCAGTGATCTTGTCTTCGAGATATTTCAATTTTTGGTTGTATTGATTCTTCCACTGGGCCGCCGTAGCCTTGTGAGATGCGGATACATGTTCGAGCGCTGCTTTTTCTTGCTGGCAGCATGCAAGGCTTTGCTGGGCAATCGCTAGACTTGCGGTAAGTGAGGCATTCTTCTGTTGCTCGGCCTCGATGGTCTGCCGGCGTTTGCTCAGACATGATTCCAGGTGTAGTTTTTCCTGGACCAGGCTATCACATCTGTCGCAGTAGTCATCGTCGTCATCATCTTCGTCCGAGTCATCGTACAGTTCTGCTTCAAGGTTGGAGATTCTGTTCTCGTAGTTCACGAGTGTTCTCTGGAGCTTTTTGAATCTGTAGATTTCTCTCATTAGTTCAATTAAGTTGGTGAGAAATTCGGGTTCGGGTCGTCACCCACTGAGGATGGTTGGTGACATCCAGACCACCGTTCTGCTTCACTAGCGCCATGGCGAGGTTGGGATGATTTGTGCACGAATGATCACAACAAAAAAGAGAATGAAGTGAGCGAAGATTTGAGGTGAAGGAATTGATCAGATGAAAAGGAAATACATATGCGAGGTGAAAGGAGAGAGAGGTGACGGTGGGAAGTGGTGGGAGGTGAAGGGAAATGTAGAAGTGGGAAGGAGGAAGGAAGTGCGCTGCCGCGCCTTTTATAGCGGCAACTTTCAGTAGGTCTGCAAGGTACTGTAGACTACACAGTATTGCCAGGGATGATTTGAAAACTGGATGAATATTGTAATGAGATGTGTAATGATATTTGTAGGGAGATGGTACCCTATGTCATAAAGCCTTTGCTTGAATACGGTGACTACTGCTAAGCTGGTTGCCGCTATGGAGCATACGCTATCCTTCATATTCCATTAAGTAGGGTGGTCCAAAGTCTCAGCATCACAGGAAATTCGAGGTACAGTCATCCATATCGCATGCGATTCACAGGTCACAGTCTCTGCGTCACAAGTATCATTGCCCTATTAGCAGTGGTCGAAGAGAGGCCCAGGTTAATCAAATAAGAGTTCTTTCCGGGTCTACGAGGTCATCATCATGGGTATAATGGAATGACTTGTTGTGCAGTGCCTGGAAGTCCACGATGTCTGGCATCGGCGAGTCAAATTCCCCGTCCGAGAGTTGCTCAGCTTTGATCCATGTGTTCTCCAAGTCGAAAAGGTTAATTGGAATGTTTTCAAGCTTGGGAATAGGATTGGAGATCTCGACTGGACGTGTGTCCTGCTCACGTTGATGTTGAGCAATCCGGTCTCGAAGGATGTCCCTCTCACGCCTGTATCCGGTGATTTGGTCTCGAAGTATGTCCAGCTCACGCTTCTGTTCGGCGATCCGGTCTCGCAATTCCTCTCGCTCGAGCTTTAGCGCCGCATTGTTGCCTCGGAGGTTGTGCACCTCATTTTTCAGTTCGATTTCCCACTGAGATGATCGATCCAGGGCGAATTGGTGACGAAGTGCTTCGGCTTTCGTCCTCTCTTCCTGTCGCTTTTCAAAGGTTTCTTGGGCCTCTCGATACTTCTTGGCGGTGGCAGCGCGTTCGCCTAAGATTCCCTCTCGCATTTTGGCTAGCTGAGAGTTCAATTGACCCTTTTCACACAACAGGGATTGAACTTTTTCGTAGTTCCGGGTGTTTTCCTTTCTCTCGTTTTCGCGGATCTTGCGCTCGGTGTTGAGGGTTTCTTCGAGTTTCTTGGTTTTCTGCACCCATTCGTTGAGGTGTTGCTGTAAGCTGTTTGCCCTGGGGGAAGATTTCCTGTTAGAATCATCAAGGAAGTGAGAATTATCGGCTGGGGCTTTCTCTCGTACTGAGATGGGGCTTTGGCGCCAGAACCACTCCTAGTGCTTTTGAAGCCAGGGCCACTGCTGTTCTTGGCGTTCTTGGGAGGCACCATATTGAGGTTGGAATGGCTTGTTCACGAATGATAACAGGAACGAATGGGCGAATTTCACAAGGCTAACTTGATTGAATCAGTTGAATGAAATAAATTGAACGATTCAAATGTAGAGGAGAGATGAAGGTGGGAAGGGAAGTGCAGAAGGCAGACGAAAAGCTGCTTGGGAAGGCACGCCCACTTGACTACCAAGAACAGCAATAGTAGTACGATTAGCAAGAGGAGGGGATAGACTGGAATCTTGAGATAAATCATACAGGTGACCAGTCACCTAATGGCAGTAACAGAGAAAGAAACCCTCAAAACAACCGACTTGTAGCTGTACATAGCTGTACATAATGAACCCAATGCACCTCAACCCCATGAACAACAGATGCCCAGCATCACACCTCCTTCATATCCTCACATTCTCTCTTCAGGCTCTCACAATCTCTCTTCAGCCTCTCCCACTCGTCTTTCAGTAGCACACAGAACTTCACAACGTCCTGGAACATCGGCTCAACTACTGAAGCCGGGAGCATGTCCTCCATGGGGTGGTGCTGTGCATTCAACGCGGCGAGCTCGGCGCGAAGCATATCTCGTTCATTCGTCAATGTGACATTTTCGGCGTGGATGGCATCGTAGGTGTTTCTCAGTTGATGCTCCGTCTCGATTATCATGCCGCTGGGCGTGGAGGTGAGTTTCATTTGCGCGGTCGATATGTATATGGCGCGGAGGATGAATTCGATCTCGGTGTCGAGCGGTGCGAGGGTGAGCCCTTGCTGGGTCAGGATCTCGGCGAATGTTTTGGCTTCGCGGAGCCAGGTATCGCATCCGGCGAGGAGTTTGTTGGTTCTGGGGGGGTTGGTGGTTAGTTTGGTCCCATCGCAATGGTGCTAAGCTTTCTAGCCCGGGGTAGGACTGTTGTTGCTTACAGAGTCGCATGCTCGTTTGTCAGGTCAATTGTGGTTGCCATGGCGGTTCGTGTGAAGGAAAGAATATCGGGCTTGCAGCAGTGTAGTGGCAAAGATATTTTCAAAGAATACTAGGTTTGCAGAGGTTCAGGTAGGCATGAAGGAGTGGAAAGGGCGACACCACTGGGACCTACCCCGTCCCTCGAGAACGACAACAACCTATAATTCAAATCAGCCGCTCTTCATCTATAGTATACGGATGGTGATTATTGGAGACCGTAGGTCTGGATGATGACCCCGTACGGCGCCCCATGGCTGCGATGGGCCCAGTGTTAGCAGCCCTTGAAGTGTTCCAAAATTACTACCAAAGCTATTCACACAATACAATTATGTGTCCAAATTGTATAAGGAATACTAGTAATTCTAGGACACTGCTGCCATGGTGGACCTACACTATGAAGCGCAGTGGCTGCCTGGCCACGTCTGGCCGTTTGACAGTCTGGCAGTCTGGCCGTTTGGCTCTCCGTCTGGCTCTCCGTCCCTCTCCCACCTCTACTCCCACACTTTCGCTCTCATCACCACATATTCTACTTTCACTCCGCCTGTTCCCCCCTCTTTTGATTTGTTTCATCTATTCATCGGCAAAAATGGCAGCTCCAACTGACCCAAACTCAGCCCCTGAGGCAACTTCCCCCAAAGGAACTTCTCCCCGAGCCGTTGTAGAGCGGGTGGGCTACATCGAATATGAACTTTGTGAGCTGGATTATGTGGGAGCATTTCTCTAGGTATGACTGTTCCTTGTCTGACTGAGATATCATTTATCTAGGTTGTGGCTGTTTAAGTACTAACTCTGCTCTATAGGTGGCCAATGGACATCAAATTCTCTTTTATTAGGGATTGTTGTCTAGAGGTTTGGGTTGATTTCTGCGCATACCTTTGCGTTGCATACTAGTTCCGCGGATTGAATTTTCGCTTCGGCTTGGTCACGCTCCGTATACATTTCATTGAACAGTCGGTCGATTTCATCCTTGATTTCAGCGAGTCTAGCCTCAAGTTTGTCTCGGGTTATCTCTTCTGCTGAACATTGGAAGAAAGACTCAGGATTGTTGGCTCTAGGTCAAAGTCAGTCAGTGTTTCTTAATGGTCTGGGTAACTTGATGAGTAGGAGTGTCTTACTGGAATGAACGATCTGGCGCTGGGGTATCGCTCAGTGCCTCATGGGTTGAAGTAGCTCCCCAGGCTAGAGTTCCCTTGAGGGGTTGACCATCTTTGTGGATTGGTAGATTAAACGGAGAAGGTTGCCAGTTGGGTGATGGTACCAGTGGTATGCAGTAAAAGAATCCTTTTTGGAAGAAATGAACTTCGAGCCGATATGAAGTTGGGTTTTGATGAGAAGATCCAGAAGCCTGAGAGAGGTGAACAGGTGAAGCAAACGCAGACTCGGAGTAAACACCTAGGCAGTCGTGGAAGGCCGCCCAGGTGGAGAACCAGACTGAAGAACGACCAGATGGCCAACTGTGCAGACAACCAAACAACCAAACCTTCGGCGGGAACCTTGGAAGGTCTCAGCTTGGAAACAGTGGGCAACTTGAAGCTCCAAAATTCAAGCATACTCTCTCCAACTACTAGTACTACTGCAGATTTCAAAAGCCCATAGATAGACACGCCAATATATATTCAACTATACAGCCAACTCCTCTAGAACGCCTATACAAAAGACGTGGCTAACAATATCAAGATCCAACCTCCGCCAGAAGATAAACAGCAAAGATAAATCCAAGCTAGATGGGCAAATTCAAATTCAGCCCCCGTGGACGGTAGGTGATCAAAGGAACAAAGTGAAAAGCGTAAGAGGGGAAATCAAAAAAGAGATGAAAGAGAAAACCACACGCTTCATGCATGAACACAATCTTACAATTCATCACCATGCTTCATCGTTCCATTCCCATTACCGGGGATAGGAAGAGGACCACCACTAATGGGGTCCTTGGCAGTAAATCCACCCTTGTGAATACGCATACCGAAATTAACCAGTACGACAACGACAAGACCAACAGAGACGATGGTCGGTCCCCACTTCTCGTAATACACACGCTTGACATCGCGGCGTTTCCGAATCTTGTCCACGCGCCAGATATACAGGAAGAGACTGTAGATCAGAGCGCCAGCGGCCAAGATGGTAAATGCCCACGAGGAAGCCAGGGCGACGTAGTCAGCGCCAAAGTTGAGTAGTGTCGCCGCGATACCGCCGAGAATGATGGAGAATTCGAGCCAGGAGAGGAATGTGCGCTCCGCGGCGAAGTAGACCTTTGGCTCGACGCGGACGGGGACGAAGATTCGCTTGCCGGGGGGGTGCTTGGAAGCGTTTGAAGGTGCGTTGAGTGCCCTGGAGGACGGCGATGCCGCGCTGTTCGGGCGGGGGCATTGGGGTGGAGCGGGGTCGGGGGATGATGGCAAGTAGGCCCTGGGCGAGGAGATGGCCGGTCTTTTGGAGGTAGTATTTTGACAGCTGTTTGGCGTAGTATGTGCCGCCGACGCGTCGGGCTTCTTCGAGTTCGTCAGAGTAGACGGATTCATCGTCTGAGTCGTAGAGTGGGTAGTCCTCGTCGCCGGCGATAGGCTGTGCGGCGATACGTTCTTCGATGTCGAGCTCATTGCCGTTTGTCTCGGTGAAGAGGCGACTATCGTCGCCGATGTGATGAGCAAACCCATTCTCGTGGTTTTGGGCGGATTGCGGGGAATCTTCGTCGTCTGAGTCGTCCTCGTCATTGGCAGACAATGATGTGCTGGCTAACGGCCGTTGAATACCGTAGTGCCGGTTAACGGGCTTGCGAATGTCGACATCCATCTGTGGGTACCAGAAAGGAAGCAGGTTGATCCGGGTAGGGAATAGGGTGGCAGTTCCGTGAATGAACTTGCTGAACTTCGGCACAGCTTCAACCAAGTGACTCGCGGTCAATTCACGAATCCATTGCGGGGGTTCCTGGCCAGCCTGGGTCTGCAGCTTCACCTCCAGCACGGCGTAGGGGAAGCGATCGATATCCTCCGGAGGCAGTTGTGAGAATGGGAAGTCCACGCCGATATCCATGCGGCGCCAGTTGTTGCCGGCCCGCCGGCGGCCATCCATATTGTCCTCTCGAATCATGGTAAGCTCCGTATCAAGAGAAATACGGACACGGGCATCCCCCGGAAGCTGGAAGGCCGTTCGGTGGTAGAAAGTGCGAGTAACCGGGACCAGACGGCGGGTGATGACTCGGTATTGGATCTCCCGGGCCAGCTGCTCGAGGTCGGCAATCTCCTCGGGGCTCTTCTTGCCCTCCTTGCGCATCTTGTCGAATGCCTGCTCCACGGTCATACGGCCCTCCAGGAACGCATTGACATTCTTCTCCTTCAGGGAGAAACGAGCCTTGACGGATTTCTCTCCAGTCCAGTCCTCGCGGTGAGTCTTCCGCTCCAAGAAGATCTGGTCGCTTTCCATGCCTCCATACCAACGGAGACGGATGGCCTCGGCACCCTCAGTCTTCTTCAGACGGCCTTGGTACAACTCCCAAGTATCGGTGTTATCGTAATAAATGGACGAAATCGCGGTATCTTTCTCCTCGAATTCCTTATTGGCATTGAAGACCAAGACCGGCAGGTGCTTCAGGATGACCAGCTTCAATTCGGTGATGTTATCCCGGTGAACCCAGTATTTGGTTGTTTGACGAACAAAGTTTTGCTGGTTTCCACCAGCGGACGCATCGCCCTTGACCGGGTTACCCTTAGTACGGACAAGGTCATACAGCTTGGAGAGATTGATCACGAAGGCATCGTAGTTGTCCTTGAAAAAAGGCTTGGCATTGAGTCGGGCAGCAAAGACCGGCTTGAGGTACCATTGGGTTTGTTTCTATTTCTCTGCGGTTAGTTGATGGTCGAGCTCCATTGTGAATCCTCTGGTGAATATTGCAACATACGTCGTGCTTCTTAATAATCTTCTGGAACCCAGTGTAGTTCAGCTGGGTGAATTTGGCGAGATCGTGGACGTCGGCAATGATATCGCTGAGAATCTCTTCGAGCTGCAAGAAATCCTCGTCGTCGGGCGGGGGCATACGAACGCTATCCCGGCGATTGCCAGCGGAGCGCTCGAGGCGAGACACGACATCACTGACTTCGAGCTCACTAGCCTGGATGCGCTCGACAATCTCCTCACTCTTCCGCTTCTGGAAAGTAAAGACCTTCTCCAACTCGCTCTCGAGCAGAGTGACGAAATTCTTCTCGTCATCCTCGGTCCATTCGCGACGAGGGGGTTTGGCGTTTTCGGGGGTCGGCGGAGTCACGTAATCGGTCTTGAGACTTTTCTTCAGCTCGTCGTAGGCGATATAGAAGGGGTGGTAGTCCCGGATCATGGACGAGCGGAGGTGTTCACCGAACCTGAAGTCATTGGGAGGAGGTCGTCAGTATCATGCGGGGAAGCATTCCTCGCGACGATGGGGGGAATCGATAGGGAGGGCAGAAGCTCCAGCAGGAATGCAGGGACTCACCTCATGTTGGGCGGTTGTTATTAGACAGGGACGAGCAGAGGAGGTCAATTGCTCATGTCGGAGAGAAGAGGCGAAAAAGTGCAGGATGCAAGAGAGAGGCTTGGGATGCTTTATCGGTCGCCCGAGAACGGCTAGACTGGGGCGGGTCCGATCCGGCGCCAGTGCAACAACGGGTACCGTGGAAGAGTGGAACTGTCGCAGAGATTGAACGTATAGCAACAGGGTATGAACATCAAAATTTACCGGTAGGGTGTAACAAAGTCGAGGGAGATATGGAGCTCGGGTTTCATTGTGCAACCAGAAGGAAACTCGCAGAGAGTGGCAGGGATTGGCAGGAACTAGCAGAACTAACAGAACTAACAGATGTACACTCTGCCGATGCGGACTTGTGATTGGTTCCCATCCGGTGGATCCCTGCTAGCTGTTGGCTGACTCATCCAACCCCACTGACGTCGATTGCCAGTCACAACGGCACGTGCTGCACTTGTTGACGACGGTGGAGTCTAGATTTACTTTAGTATTATCGCTAGGATTAGTTAGTGGTTCAAAGTTACAAGGAAGAGTACTCCGTAGGTGAATACTCGTATGAGTATGCGAGAACTCTCGCAAGTGGTGGTATGGTGTGTATACTCCACCCAGCTGTGCCTGTCCCAGCTCACAGATTTTGTGTAACAGGCTAACAGCCAGCCATGTGCACGTCGTACCCAATCCAGTCCTCCGTCCTCCGCACTCCCTGCCCTAATTGATATTGCTTATTTCACACAGCCCAGGTTGATATTTTTTTTAATTTTTATCAAAGTGTGGACAAGGCTCGTGGTATTTACTCTAAAATGAACACTACGAGTACCATTTGGACCCAACATCCAAACGAGTATATACGGTGGAGTCCTATCTACACAGCCTAAACACCTTCCTCCCAATCCAACTGCCACATCCGGGAAAGCTTAGATGCCGGCTCGCCACCCTCCACCCGTCTCGCTAATCTTAGTGCGAAATCCGAAATGCATCTCGAACATGTGCCGGCCGGGGAGAAATGAAAAAAAGAAATTATTGACGTGATAACCGTATCAGATTGTTCAATGTTTTTACATTATGCAGCCAAATGACGACGGCGCCGCCGATCCCTCCCACTCCGGAAGGACCTCACGCGACCACCGCATAGCTCAGGATGTACTCTTTAGAAACATGCAGCAACACCCCCAATGAACGCCGAATTACTTGCAAAAACCGGGTCGGTTCGTAACAGTTCCGCGCACTGGAGAGGGCAAGCAGGAAAGAAAATAGAAAACAACCCAGAGAAGAAGAGGGGGCGAAGGAAGAAAGAAGAGAAGAAAAATAAAAATAAAACAAATATGCTACCCGGTCGATCATTTCATCGTAGATCTCACTCAGATCATCGCTGTATCCTCTTAAGACAACCCCATGGCCGCCCGGCGAATACTTCGGCGTGGGCCTTCTCCAGAGACGTGTACGGCACCCTCTTGTTCCAGGGATCGCACCGCATCACCAAACTGGTTGTGGTCTATAGGCACATCGCTCTGTTCACCCATGTCGCGGAACAAGTCAGTCCAGCGAACGGCTGCACCACCAACCCCACCGCGGTCGTCAATTCGAGCGAGCACTGCCTTCTTGAGATCCTCGCGCATGCGTCGCTCGCTGGCACTGGTACCCTCTGTGAGAAGACCCATGTCGATCAGACCCGTGCGCGCGTCTGTCGCAGCCTGCTTGATGGCCGAGCGAATCAGTCGCACGGCTTCGTCGACATCGCCTGCCGTCACCTCGGGAGAGAGGCGCATACGGGCGTGTGCTTCAGACAGACGGATCATCGACTCCAGTTGACGGGTCGTGGCGGTGATGCGGCGCTCCGTGGCCCGGATGTCATCACCCAGTTGGCGCATGGCAACGTAGGCGTCTGCGAGGGCGGTACCCGCGGCCGGGGTCAGGACGGGGTGAACCTGAGTCTTCGCGTAGGTGATATAGGCTGTGAGGAACTCGACTGGCAGAATCTCCTGCGAGCTGGCGTTGTCGGGGGTATCTTCGAGATACATGTTAACCAAGTGCTTCGCCATGCGGCGATCCTCGGTTTCGTCGACACGGTCGAGAACCAGGTAGACCAGGTCGAAACGGGAGAGCAGGGTTGGGGGGAGGTCGATGTTCTGAGGCACGGGAAGACGGGGGTTGTAGCGACTGCCGATTGGGTTGGCGGAAGCCAGAATGGATGTGCGAGCGTTGAGGGTGGTGATGATACCGGCCTTGGCGATGGACACAGTCTGTTGTTCCATGACTTCGTGAAGGACGGAGCGGGTGGCTTCGTTCATCTTGTCGAACTCATCAATACAGCAAGTACCGCCATCGGACAAAACCAAAGCACCAGACTCGAGAACCATCTGCTTGGTTTCGGGATCGCGAGTCACGTAGGCTGTCAGACCGACTGCTGAAGAACCCTTACCGCTGGTATAAACACCACGCGGCGCGATCTTGTGAACGTAGCGCAGCAGTTGAGATTTGGCGGTAGATGGGTCACCACAGAGGAGAATGTTGATATCTCCACGGTACCGGGGGTTACCACCCTTCTGGAAAGTCTTGTTGGTACCGCCAAACATCTGCAACAAGATACCCTTCTTCACATCGTCCATCTCATAGATACTCGGTGCGAGAGAGCGAGAAAGTAGTTCGTAAAGATCAGGGCGCGAGGCAGTGCGCTTGATCTTCTCCTCCTCCTCCGCGGAGATCTTGCGGGCTTGGTCAGCTTCAGCTGCCTGCTCGGACATTTCCTGCTCAACGGTGGACACATCGATGCCCATCTTCTTCTTATCGACCTTTTGCACATGCAGAACATCCACGTAGGTCTTGAAAAGAGCCTTCTGAGAACGCTGGCGGGCGCTCACTCGCATGGGGTTGCAACGGAAGATACCAGTCACCTCGACGCGGTCACCAGCCTTGCAAATGTCGACCAGTTCATCGTAGACGCAGAGAGACACTGAGTGAGGTGTCTGGCCATCGGGGACGTTGTCGGGGGTTTCTTGTAGCTTAATGACTTGTTTGTCGGAAAATGAGCAACGGTTGTGGATGAGTTGCATAGAATTCTTCTCCTTGCACGAATCGCGCGGGCAAACAGTAGGCTCAGCGATGCGGCCACGGTCAATGTCAACCTGAACACCGTAGCTGCAGACGTGGCAGCGGAAGAATGCTTCCTTCATATCCGGAATGATAGGGGTGGTACGGATGACGAGACCCTTTATGCTAACCAATTTATCCATATCTATCACGATGTTAGTATCTCTCTGAAATGAGCGTATGCTAATATCAACGTACCAGCTGGGTCGAGATCTCTCATGTTCACAGTCTTGTCAAGTCCGAATGGAAGCACCTTGTATGCCATAGCCTCAACTTCACCCACGAGGTCGGGTACTTCCGTGTTGGGAGCAACACCATCCGATGTAAGAATAGACTGGCCACGACGATCACGGGATGGAATACCACGCTGGTTCTCAGAACGCAGGACGTCCATTTCCTTCAGAGCCAAGTCCACCATAACATCCTTCACGGTCTGATCCATCAACGGAATAATTTCCTGAGGGTACGCAAGCAATTGGTGCCATAACTTCTGGGTCAGGGGGTATGACTTCAGGTTGCGAGCATCCAAGTTGAAAGTTGTCATACCAAGTCGGCGCATATCGTTAAGCATGGTAATATACTCGCGCTTCTCAGCGGCATCTCCAAGGAATCGGGTTTCGTTCTCTGAGGCACCATCTGCCCACAAACGGTACTTGGTAGCGAAATTGTAGAGGAAGTTCTTGAAAGCAGACATGGAGTCCTGGATCGAAATGTTGGTACCCCAAATGACGCGCGAGGAGTTACCAGCCATCGCCTCCGCCTCAGAAGTTCCGGGGTTGATGTTTGAGAAAGTGGCATCCGATCGGGCCACATTATCACCAGAGGGCATGCCATTGGCGTCAACGAAAAGTCTGGCTCGGCGGGCAGGAGTCGATCCAAATACGCCCGAGTGGAGGTCACTACGACGGGGGTCCTGTGCGACCTTGGCGGTTTGGGGAGACAAACAAGCCGCTGCTTATACTGTTGGCATCTGAGCGGATGTCGGAACGAATATCGTTGCGGGCGAAGCCCCGGGTCGGGGAGGAGCTGGGGATATAATTGATGGGGGAAGAGTCTGGACAAGTTAGCTTGATCGATAATACGAATCGACCGTGTCGGGATAGTCGAATTTTGGATTTTGGATTTTTTTTTTCACATACCTCTAATACCGCCATTGTTGGCCCTTGGTGTCCTCTCGCCATCATCGACTGTCGAACTAGCCTCGGCCATGCGGACATCGGGAGTTTCAGCGCCTCTGTTTGACCTGGTAGGTGATGATTGGAAGAACATTGGGGATGATGATGGGACAGCTCGTTCGGCAGCAAGGCGTCGGGCGGCGCGGGGGGTAGTCTGTTGTTGACTTGGGCTGCTGGGAGGCTCACGAGCGGACGAGGCAGGCGATGCGGTCCCTTTCTTTGCGGAGCGACCCCTCCGACTGGCCGGTGAAGACATGATGAATGTGTATGACTTCGGGTGGGATGGGGGGTTGGATGGGTGATGGTGGGTGAAGACGGGGCGGACCTGGACTTGGAGAAAGGGAGGAACACGAATCGTCCCTAGCACTTTTTCCTGGAACACGAATCGTCCCTGCGACGCGCTGCGACGCGCCCACGCGTTAAGTGGTTCCCTTTTGGGCTAGCGTGTTTAGGGGTAGTCATGTGATACGTTGAGCTGTAGGATACGGTCACGTGCTACCAAGCAGAAAAGCTGACCCACGCGGGAGCGGAACCTCCCGATGGTACAGAGCAGAGTACAGAACTGTCTACTTCATCATTGCAGGGTGTGGCGTTGTACAATATCCACGACCGTGCTTATACCATATATGCTGGACTTTTAAACATGAAGAGCCGCAGACTCACACCTACAATGTCAAGATCTAGAGCAGAAGGGTGATGAATCTGAAGTCTCTTGGATGCCCGGACTCGAGCTGAGAAGTTCTAAGCTCAACTGAGCAGCCCTATCCTACTGCGCAGGCAGGTTTAGAGTATATAATAATAATACTAGTACTGGTCCTAATACTTAACTTGAATTGAGCGAGGTCATGAATCAAATTAAAGGAGCCCTGGAGGTTACTGCTACCTAGTACCTTAGGTAATAGTTAGTTTCTGGGTCTCTCGCTGCCTTCCACGGGGAGGGCCTTCAAGTTTCGTCTGGGCCGTAGATCACTGGTACTACTTTCAAGTTATTTATTGCTTTTGAATCCTAGGAATCATGCTGGGATGGATAGTAACTCATTACTATAGGGCGTTTACTCTAGTACCTCATAATTGCCACTGGTTGAATGATATATATCTGCGCACCCAAGCGACAGTCATCAACACTGAGATAATTCCGGCTCTCATCCAGGGATGTTCCATCGGCTATTCAAATACTAGTCCAGATGACCCAGTATGCAGTGCCTACTCGTGAAAGCGGAGTATAAACCAGCTCCGAGCAACGTGACAATGAGACGTCCCGATTGGGAGTGAAGAGTGGCTTGTGTCCCTGAAAGACACATGCCACCGCCACCGCCACTCCAGGTCAACCAATCACAATCGTCCAATCGTCCAATCATTCAATGGCGCCTTCCCCTTTCCGATGTGTTTACCCATTTAAGTGCTGAGGGTCCACAAAGTAGAGCGCAACAGGAGAATCTTCGGGGTTCAAGTTCGGATCGAACTTGGAAGAGTTCTTTCCACTTACTATTAAGCGATGCACCAAGTGGGAACCTTCATATTTGTCTGCCTTCACAACCTGATCTCCTTGGCTGATCGCTCCCGGGAAAAAAGAAACAAGCCAACGCTACTGCAATCTCGCTGAAGCCGCCGGGATCTGCTTGGCTGTTTCACCAGGCGCCTGATGTCATCCCACATCCGATCGGCGCATCCACGATTCCTCCAATCATCCCTGTCCTCGCTTTGGCAGACAAACTTGGCAGGCTGCTATCAGTCCGTTGGGCGCCAGCTCAAACACCAATACACCACCAGCCACTGTTGTCATTGTGTCACGGACAAAGACCGCGCTTTTGAACCATAGGGCCACTCCACCGCCGATCACCCCCCTTCCCCGTTCATCCATTGGCGCCTTTGTTTTTCCATGCTCTTTTCTCTTGTTTCTTGTTTCTGCTCCCTCAACACTTGCTTCCTCCCCAGATCATGCTGAACCCCTCGAATCTCCCGAAAGTACGATTTGACCTGGGAGACACCTGCTAAGGAGTACGCCAGATGCTCCTGGGGACGACCCCATAAAAACACATCCTCTCACGTTTTTCTACCCCGGCATCAAATTCACCGCCGATCATCATGACCCTGAGCTCCGAGCTTGAACAGGCTCTGGAGCATACGGGCGGCCATGGCAAAACGGGCTCCGGGGTCTCGATTCAGACATTTCTGGCCTCGCTGGCGACGGCCATGGTCGTCTTTGCGGTCGAAGTCTTATGCTTCATGCTGCTGAAAGGGAAACTGACCCGCATTTAGTATGTGTTGGCCGGTGAAGAAATTATGGAACCATTAAGCTAATCCTCTCCTGCGCAGCCAACCCCGTACTTACCTAGTTCCTGATCGTGAACGAACATCGCCATCACCACCGGGTCTCTTTCGCTGGATTGGCCCGGTGTTTCGAACCTCCAGCTCCGAATTCATTCAGAAATGTGGGCTCGATGCTTACTTCTTCCTCCGATATTTACGAATGCTGCTGAAAATATTCTTCCCTCTCGGAGTTTTGATTTTACCGGTGCTGCTTCCTCTGAACCGTGTCGGTGGAAAGGGCAAGACTTCTATGAATGGCACCGAGAATGGCAATCACTGGGATGTGTCTGGTCTGGATCAACTCGCCTGGGGCAATGTGAAACCCGAGCACACCAATCGATATTGGGCACACCTAGTCATGGCCGTCATCGTGGTTTTCTACGTTTGCGCAATCTTTTTTCGACGAACTTCGCGGGTATATTCGCATGCGACAGGCCTATATGACCTCCCCACAGCACCGACTACGTGCCTCAGCAACCACCGTTCTGGTAACCGCTATCCCACCAAGCTGGCTCAATATCGAATCACTGGATAACCTGTTCGATGTTTTCCCAGGCGGTGTTCGAAATATATGGATCAATCGCAACTTTGATGACTTAAATGAGAAAGTGAAAGAACGGAATGAACTCGCCTTGAAACTCGAAGCGGGAGAAACGGATCTTATTGTCAAATGCAAGAAGGCCGCGCTCAAAAAAGCCAAGGCTGAAGCCAAACGCGCTGGCAAGAGCAAATCGAAGGTGGTGGATCGCGAGAAGGAAGCCACAGACCAACGCGCATCCCAGATGGCCATGGGGCCTGGTGTCAGTTCTGGTAACCCTCACCAAGCTCATACACTCAGTGAAATTCTGCACCGAAAACCAGAAGGTGCAGAAGGTCATTCGAGAAACGAGTCGGCAGAAAGTGCACGAGTTGGTGGTGTCTTCAATCCTGCCCTTGCAGCAGCTGGGGCTGTCGGGTTAGGTGTTGAGAAGCTGGGCAAGACTGTCCTGGGCGGTTTCAAGAAGGTCGAGAATGGTCTGGATGGCAAATTGACTCGGACTGGGGGCTTTGTAGCCACTGACGATGATACGGGAGCAGGGGGAAGAAATGCGCCCTCCATAAACGAGGAGGATTCCCCAACCGATCAGGTCATGGCCGGGCCCATGCACTCCGTTCCTGCCCCCCGAACCCCCGAAGATCAGACATCGCAATCCACATTCCCCGAACGCACAGCACCACCGAAGCGACCCTCCTGGAAATCCCGTGTCTCCTCCCATCGATCTAAAGGCTCTGTGCCGGAGCCTGATGAATATCCACTCACAGCCCCGGATACGCCCGCCGAGGATTCCCATCGGCGCGGCTCTGCGAAAACCAAAGGTAGCAAAGACAAGAGCAAGCGCAAGAGCCTCAAAGAAGGAGAGAAAGTTGAGGGCGAAGAATATCCGGTTGCTTATAACGAAGATTTCGAGAACGAGGACTATGGAGAACCAGTCTGGGAAAAGTACATTCGAGCAAAGGACCGAGACACTATGCGCCTTCCCATCTTCGGGTGGAAGTGGATGCCATCTCTCTGGTTGCTTGGTAAGAAGGTCGACACCATTGATCATTGTCGAAAGGAGCTGGCTCGTTTGAATCTGGAGATCGAAGTTGATCAGCAAAATCCGGAGCGATTCCCGCTGATGAACTCGGCATTCATTCAATTCAACCACCAAGTTGCTGCGCATATGGCCTGTCAAGCAGTTGCTCACCACGTGCCCAAACAGATGGCACCCCGTGTCGTGGAGATTTCTCCCGACGATGTCATCTGGGATAACATGTCTATCAAGTGGTGGGAGCGGTACCTGCGCACATTCGGAATCGTCATTCTGGTTTGTGCTATGGTTGTTGGCTGGGCCTTCCCCGTTGCCTTTACCGGTCTCCTCTCACAATTGTCATATCTCAAGAACACATTCACATGGTTAGAGTGGCTGAGCAAACTCCCAGACTGGTTCATTTCTGCCATTCAGGGTATCCTCCCGGCCCTCTTCTTGGCCATTCTCATGGCACTCCTTCCCTTGATTCTTCGATTCCTCAGTCGCACCCAGGGTCTCCACACGGGCATGGCTATTGAGTTGACTGTACAAAACTATTTCTTCGCATTCCTGTTCGTGCAGCTTTTCTTGGTTGTCACCATCGCCTCCAGTTTTTCCGCGATTCTCGAAAACATCACCAACGTGACCAGCTGGCCCGAGCTCTTGGCTCAGAATATTCCCAAGTCTAGCAACTACTTTTTCTCCTACATGATTCTTCAAGCGATGTCTGTGAGCGCTGGTGCGCTTGTCCAAATCTTCGGTTTGATCAGCTGGTTCATCCTCGCTCCCATCCTGGACTCCACCGCTAGAAAGAAGTGGGCTCGAACGACCAACTTGAATCAAATGCAATGGGGTACATTTTTCCCGGTTTATACCACATTAGCATCTATCGGTAAGTCAACCTGCTATATAGAGAATAACATGACCGACTAACGTTTCTTTTAGGACTGATTTATTGCGTTGTTGCCCCTCTTATTTTGGTTTTCAACATTATCACATTCAGCCTTTTCTGGTTCGTCTATCGGTATAACACTTTGTATGTCACAAAGTTCCGCTTCGATACCGGTGGTCTTCTTTTCCCTCGTGCCATTAACCAGCTCTTCACCGGCCTTTACGTGATGGAGGTGTGCCTGATTGGATTATTCTTCCTCGTCCGAGACGACAAGGGCGACGTTGCTTGCGAAGGCCAGGCTATTTGCATGATTATCGTCCTCATCCTGACTGCCGGGTATCAAATTCTTCTCAATGAGGCGTTTGGTCCTCTCCTTAGATACCTGCCTATCACGCTAGAAGATGCGGCGATTAAACGTGATGAGGAGTTCGAGCGTGCCCAGCATGCCCGCCTAGGCTTGACTGTTGATGATGATGATGACGACGAGGATGAAGAAAACGATGTCAAGAGTCTCGAGCGTCGTCTATCCGAGCATGAACGCCAAGAACGTCACGAGGGTCAAAATGAGAAGGATATTGAGCTGAAGAGCCTTGATACCGACAGAGATGGTCGCAAAAACAAACTCGCGGGGGGCCTACTATCCACACCTAAGCTCGGCAAAAAGCGGCCATCCTGGGCGGACCGTTCCCCGAAGGCCAATCGGAGGTCTAAATACTTTGGCGTCAATTCAGCCACCGCAAGCCCGACTATCAAGAATCTCCGAGAAAAGATGGCACAGGATGCCGAGTCCCAAGGGCCGGAAGCCAACAAGATGGGCCAGGCTCTGTTCGCCGGTATTCACGACGAATTGGAAGATCTCACCCCCGATGAACGTGATCAGCTAGTACAACGCGCTTTCCAACACGAGGCTCTCCGTGCTAAACGGCCCGTGATCTGGATTCCTCGTGATGACACTGGAGTCAGCAATGACGAGGTGTATCGAACACAGCGATTCAGCAAACATATCTGGATCAGCAATGAATACCAAGCACTTGATGGGAAGTGCCGGACGATATTCAGTCGCAGTCCGCCCGACTTTTCCGAGGTGGACTTGATCCAGTTGTAATTTATTGCATTCCATGAGCGTTTGTTTTACTTGGAGGACTTTCTTGTTTTCTTCTTTTCTTCTTGCATAGCATATTTTGAGCGTCACATACTTTGTCTCATAAAAACAATCATTTCCCTGGTGGGAATCTATACCATGGCAACACTGCCCAGGCTTTAAACCTCTCGTAACTCGTAGATCAAACTTCCTTCAGCGCACACCCCCTCAATCCCTCAATCCATGAATCGACACAGCGGCAGACGATAGTTGTCGACCACCCAGTAAGCCCGCTTCACACCTTTCCACTCACCATCCAACTTAGGCACAGGAATATCCTCCCAATCAACATCAAACCCAGCCTCAAACAAATCCATCTCAGCAACCTTCTGATAGACATCATAGGAGATCTGGCGATCCGCGCCCATCCCATTGAAGAACCCCCACTTACCTCCCTCCTGCTCAAGCAACCCAATGACCTGCTCAGAAAAGAAGCCCCGGAAATCCGCATAAGACTCGGCAAAGGTATCATAGTAGATCGCATCAAAGGTAACACCCTCACCCACAAGCCCAGGCAGAATATCCTGCCACCTACCCTCGTGAATAGTGACACCGGGCTTAGAATCCCAACCACGCTTCTTCATCTCAGCGACAACATCCGCATGCGCCTCGATAATATGGTGCTCGGAGGGTTCCCTTTCCTGGAAAAACCCATCCACAATCCCCATACCGTGCCCAATATTAAGCACCTTCAACCCAGGCCGCGGGAGCAGCGCGACGGCAGATTTCTTCATGATATCACTCTCCCACTCCATCATGACGCCATTCTGATCCGAGTCCAGAATCTTGTCCTCTTGGATATTCAAGTTCGAGTCGAGGTATCGCGCATTCGTGACGCCGGGGTTGGCCTCTTCGGCTTCGGCTTCGGTCGTTGCGAGAATTGATGCTGCTTGTTCGGCGGATACTTCGACTAACTCGGGCGCTGTTTCGTCGTCGGCTTGAGCCCCGCTCTCTTTCACGTCGTCTTCTTCGTCGTCCTCGTCTTCTGAGAGCTCCTCGTACCCGTCTAATCGGTTGAGAAGCATTTCCGCACGCACGCCTGCGTCAACGATTAGGTCATATAACTCTGTTGCGCCGATGCGACGCGCAAGACAGCCGGGCGTTTCGTCATTGTTGTCTCAGGTCGTTCCAAATAGCGCCTTCCTCGAGCAAGAGCTTGACAGTGTTGACGCCGGACTTGATAGTCTCGGGGTCGATTGGTGGTTTAGCTGCGCCATTGGTGTCGGTCTCTGTCTCGTCGGTTTCGGGTTCGCAGGCCGCAATTGCGGAGTGGAGGGGTGTGTAGCCTGTCTCGGGGTCTTTAACGTTTGCGGCGTCCGGGAGAGCGGATTGTGTGCGGGTGAGACGGCGGAGTTTTGCGAAATCGTGCTGTGAGGAGGCGAGGAGGATTTCTTGGACATCTAGGTCGACGTCGATTTGGCCGAAGGTTATCTCGGGTCCTTCTGCGTCAGTCATTTTGGTGGTGGGGTTCTGGGGGGTTGGGTGTTAGTTTAGCGGGGAATTGGACGTGGAAGCGATGAAAGGGTGTCAATTATGTTCTTGGTTTACTAGTACTCACCGAGTGGTCCTCGAATTAGGTATATTTAAGACCTTGGGAATGTATGTGACTGAATATCAAAAAGTGGCGGGCGATCAAAAAAAGTTGGTGGAGACCTGCTCGCCGCCTTCGTCCCCGCGTCAGATGGAATGCGTGCATGAGAATATGCTTGGATTATCTATCTCTACGGCATTGGAGGGGTTTGGAGCTTGGAATAATACAAGAATAATGCATACCTAATTCGAACTTGAAGAAAAATGAGAGAAGAATCAAATGGAAGAGAAGAGACCGTGTCCCGATGCTCTGATAAAGCTATTTGTACATGATTTGACGATTTGACCACTCCGGCGCCCAATTAATGTGATTTATTTGTTCTCATCGCTCCCCGAGTTGACGTTCAGGCCGAGACCCTCGTTATCCAGGTACAGCTTGTTCTTGCCGCCGTTCTCCTGGATGATCTGGGCGATCTGGCGGGCGTTCTCGATCTTGCGCAGCTCAATATAACTCTTGCTCTTCTTGATAGCGTCACCAATCAGCTCGGCGGAGCGGGCCTCACCCTGGGCGCGGACAATGAAGGCCTGCTTCTCTTGGCGGGCCTTGTCGACCAGGAAGGCGGCACGCTGGGCGTCCTGCTGGGCCACTTGCTTGGCCTCGACAGCGGCGGTGAATTCGGGGGAGAAGGTCAGGTGCTGTGGAGCGCATACATGTTAGCTAAATTCCATCTCCATTTGGAAGCACAGGGTATTTCATACAGTCAGGGAGACATCGTCCAGAGCGATGTTGAAGCGAGCGGCACGGCGAGCCAAGTTCTCGCGGACCAGACGGGCGACGTTCTCACGTTGGGTAATCAGCTGGCTGGCGTTGAACTGAGCCACAACGCTCTTCAGGACCTCGTTAACAATTGAGGGAAGCACACGCTCGTCAAAGTCTTGACCGAGGGTACGGCAGATCTGGCAGTGCGTCCACACGGGGTCTGGACAGAACACGGCAGGTGATGTTGACCATCTGCAAATCCTTGGTGCCGGTCAAGGAGGCAATGTTGCGCGGTTTCGCGCGGACATCGTAGATGATGGGGGTCTCGAGCCAGGGAATCTGAATGTGGGTTCCTGTGATAATGCCGAGATGTTAGACCAGCTCGTCGTGCTAGCTTTCCCGGGGAATCGGCTTACCTTCGGCGTAGATCTCCTTCCGCACACCACTTACTCGCGAGTACTTGATAGCACGGTGACCACCATCAACTGTGAATTTTGTCAAAAGCTGAATCGATCGAGCATGGTATAGATTGCATACCGTTGAAAAGAGAGTTGGAAGCTGCCCAGGTACCGACACCAAGCAGGATGAGAGTACCGGCCAGACCAAAGCTGCCACGACCACCACCTCCGGGGAAACCGCCCTTGCGCTTTTGCAACATGAGCTGCACGCGCTCCCAAGCCTCTCGTTGATTCTGAGACATGATGTGTGAGTGTGAATAGAGACGGGGTGTTGGTTGAGTGGATGCGTCCGGGAAGGTTGCAGAGCAAAGGTCAGCAGTAGGCGGTGAGATATAAAGTCCGGCAGAATCATCTTTCACAAGTTAGCTGGGCGAGACTCGTCCTTCCTTCTTCAATCACTCGACCCTGTCGCCATCATCTAACAAACATGGCGCCAGATCGCTCAGGAAAGAGTGTGTTCCTGGGGAATATCCCCTACAGTGCGTACAATCCACAGGAATTTGGAACCTTTGTTGCCTATGCTAACTCAATGTGCTTTAGACCTCACCGAGGAGCAAGTCAAAGACATCCTCACCACAGCAGGCACTGTCACAAAGTTTCGCCTTATGATGAACCCCGAGACCGGAAAACCAAAAGGATATGGATTCGCCGACTTCGCCGACGCCGACGCTGCAGCTTCAGCCGTGCGCAACCTAAACGACTACGAGATCATGGGCCGCAAGATTCGGGTCGACTGGCCGCATAACAATGAAAAAGACTCAGTACCTACAGACTATCCGGAAGATTCGCAACCCATGGCACAAGACCCATCGCAACAGATGCAACAAATCCCCGGATCTGTACCCCTCCCTCCTCTTCCGCCAGGAGTTGAAGTCCCGGCCCATCTCGAAACCCCAGGTGTCATTTCTCACACCCTTGCAACTCTTTCACCAGACCGTCTCCTCGATGTCCTCACCCAAATGAAGGCTCTCGCAGTGGCTGACCCTGCTCGCGCAACAGAGCTCCTGCGCCAAGCTCCCCAGCTCGCGTTTGCGATCTTCCAGGCCATGCTGCTGATGAACCTGGTGGAATATCAACTCCTGGGATCAATTGTGGAACAAGCATCCCAGCCAGCGCCGCCTCCTCAAGCTGCACCACAGTACCAAGGATACGGAGCTATGCCAGGTCAAATTGGGACTCCCCCTGTGGCTGGCGGACCTTTCGCCCCGCCTCCACCGCAGCAACAAGCTGCTCCTCAGATCCCAAACCAAGATGAACTTCTGCAGCAGGTTCTTAGCATGCCACAGGCTGCAATTGATGCCCTGCCTCCAAACGAGAGGAATCAGATTATGATCCTCCGCCAGCAGTTGATGCAGGGCGGTATGCGGTAATCGCAACTGAGCTTCGACAATAGGAGCGCGAGGAGAACCAATCGAAATATAATCACCAAATACCCGAAAATTCCTCAGAAACCTGAAAGACAGAACGAAACCATCCTTCATTTTCCGCTACTCCATTCCTCCACCGAACCTGGCCCCGAAAAACCTATCTCGCCTCCCCCTCAATGCATCCATCGGAGAGCTGTCTTCCTATTTGAATGACGTCTGGACCTATCTTGCTTTTTCTCCACTGGATAACTTTTGCCACGGCGAAGGACGGCGCAACTGGAGTTGTCTGTTTCAATCATAACATTCCGCATATCAGCTATTTTACTGTCCGAATACTTTACAATATGAAATCTACAATTTAAATGTTAACTCCGAGGATTAAACCCTTTATCCATGTATTGCTGATCATTATGCGGCGTCCCGTCTTTGCCGTTCAAATGCTTGACTTCAGAAACGACTGTTTGTGATTGACAATGCATAGTCCTGACAAACAGTTAAATGCAATCATAGTAGGTTTGTGTGTGCATGATTATTTCGAATATTCATTCTCCCAAGATAATTGATTACTGCACTCTCTTATTAAAATGCATGATACTGGTTTTCTAGATCAAAGGTCACAGATAAGTTATAACTAGTGAAGGAAGAAGGTGTTTTGTGACCAAAGGAACACACATCATGGAGAAAAGGAAAATATTTTGTGATTAATCAAAAGATGGCCATAAACTGCAAGAATACAATAGTTACGATGCCCGCCAACCTTTCAGCACACTGTTGCGGAGACGGGGCGTCACGTCACGTACTATGATTAAATACACGCACCCTTACCCCGGGACATTAACTGCCACGCCCCACTTCCCTCACCTTCTCACTTTCCACGCACATTTGAATCTTGACCACGCACACCTACCTACCAACACACTACACGTGACCAGTAGTGCCCTCAAAGGCATCTATCCCAGGTATGACCAACATAAGAGAACTGAAAGCCATATGAGACAGAAAAAGAGGATCAGACCGAGGGCTCAGTCCCTTTGGTCTTGAGTCTCTCTTTCAATTCTGTCTTCAGAGCAAAGGAGGTCGCAGTTGGATCTTGTCGCTGACGCTACTATACTAGACCTCCGAGAATTTGCAAAGAACAGGCAAAGAGTTTCTTGCTAGAGGCTCTAGCCTGTGTACCCGCCGCGCAAAGATGGCGCACCGCGAAGAGGCTATGTATCCGGAGGAGATGAGAGGGTCATCCTCTTCGGACAAAACCTACTTCGACTACGACCTGCCTCCCCTGTATCACATCGAAGACATCTTCGTAGACTTGACTCAAAATGCATTGTCGCATGATCTTGGAGATGCTTTGAGAATTCTGAAGGATCGACCTTTGCGTGTTGCAACCGTGTGTTCGGGTACTGAGAGCCCGCTGTTGGCTATGAACATGGTCAAGAAAGGCGAGTATCAAGTCATCCCTAATATTGTTCCCTGCCTTGCGAGATGTACATAGTTCTGACCACGCTCGGTGCAGCCCTTGAGAAGCTCCAAACTGGCTTGGACCTGGAATATGAACATGTCTTCAGTTGTGAGATTGTTGCTTACCGACAAGCGTACATTGAACGCACCTGCCGCCCCCCACTCCTCTTCCGAGATGTTCAAGATCTGGCAGAGCCAAAGGCGTAGGCAGTCCAAAGCCTTGAATTGATCTTGTGAAGATTTCTCACATCTTATAGATACACGGCCTATGGGTCCCTCGCGGAAGTACCCGGTAACGTTGATCTTTTGATCGCCGGTACTTCCTGCGTGGACTTTTCGACCCTGAACAATAGCAAAAAGGACCTCACTAAAACAGGCGAAAAAAGGCGAATCCTCAAAAACATTCTTCGGCCTTTTGGACTACGTGGCAGAGCACAAGCCTTCAATTCTTATCTTGGAGAATGTGAAAGCCAAGCAGCAGATTTGGGACGCCATGGCGGACTGCTACAACGACCTTGGTTATGCAACAGAGATCATCGATGTTGACACCAAGAACTTCTATCTACCTCAAACACGCCAGCGGAAGTACATGGTGTGCATCAGGAAGGAGAATGATCCCAAGGGAATAGTTGAGCAGAAACTTACCCAGGTAAAGGCCCTGGTCAACAGTCTGAAGCGACAAGCAAGTTGCCCGGGCGGATTCTTCTTGCTCGACGAGAACAGCAAACAGATGAACCAGATCGTTAACGATCGCGACCTTGTGACGAAAAAGAAAAACGGCCATTCCGACTGGGGCAAAGCACAGGAATTGCACCGAAAACAGCGTCAGGTGTATCATCTCGGTCAGAAAAAGCCCATTAGCAATACCGGGTCAAAAATGAATGCCCCAAAAGGACCCGACTTTTACATGCATACGTGGTTCAATTCACGAGGTGAACGAGAAAAGGACCTCCTTGATATCATATTCTTGAAAGGCATAACACCCATCGGCCGTGATAGCATTTCATTTGACATGAACTTCAAGGAGAGATGGATGAATATCTCACAAGCTGTCGATCGACAGAGAGAGGGGAACAAAGGATTCGGCATTGTGGCATGCATAACACCGAAGGGCATTCCTTTCTGCTCTACTCGTGGTGGTCCACTTACAGGACAAGAGGCGCTTGCAATGCAAGGGCTGCCACTTTCGCAAATGATCTTCACTCGAGAGACACAAGAACAACTTCAAGAGCTGGCCGGAAATGCAATGACTTCGACTGTTGTCTGCGCAGTCACATTGGCGACGCTTATCCATGGCCATCATTTTTTGAAGGAGAGAGAAACAATCGATCCTGAAAACAAAGAGAAGACGAATGCTTTAGACCCTGAAACAGAGCTCAAGAAAGCAAAGTTTGACCAGGAAGAAATGTTTTTCAGTGAGGTTGCAAAGCCCGAAGAGGTTGCAGACCCCGCAGAACAGGTGTCTAACCTGTGCAATGATATCGAAAAGCTGCGAAGGTGGGCATGTAGTAGTTCCCGATACTGCTATTGTGAAAAGCAATCAGAGACGCAGTCAAAAATCTTCATGTGTGATCTTTGTGGACACACCACATGCGACTCCTGTAACAGGGACCCTCCTCATGGTCCAACGACCATGGCCTCAATCCAGCGCCTTGAACCACTTGAATTCATCAAGAACTTGCGAAGAGACCTCCCGATGAGACTCTGCCTGCAGGGGCTCGATGGAAGTATGTTTGATCAATTTCTCGAATCGACCCCGAGTGAGCACGGCAGTATCGACATCAATGATGGCGCAAGCGAAGGCGAAGAAAGCAACGGAGAAAAATATGGCAAGACGGTACCCGGCAGAAAGACAGGAAAATGCAAAAGAAGCAACACCAAAAAAGCCACCGTCGGAAAGGGCGTCGCCAGGAAGACCGTTGGCAACGAGACCACTAGCACCAGAAACAGCAATATTATCCCCCGACCCGATGATCGCCAGAAATACAGAAGTGTGATTGGAGCTGCTGTCACAGACACCGTTCACTTTGTTAACATTGAGCGTGCTGAATCCTGGACTGTCTTTTACGAAGGACCTAATAGCACGCTGCAGCTAGTAATCGGCAGACAATCAATCCAGTGGCTTTTCTTCGCTAAGCCGCCAGCCGACTACCCTGCCCGATGCTTGCTCCGAGAGATATTTGCAAAACCGATTGCAAAAATGACACCAAAAATGATACCAGATCGAACGATTCTTCAAGGTCGGTGGAAGATTAGCCAACCAATCAGTACTCAATCGTCGGTCACGATCAGTCGTTATGAGACGCAAAGCGGATTGAGCACTCAGCTTCCTGTATACCCTGTACGCTGTGGAGTTTCTGAAAAATCCGTTGCCGACGAAAAGGTTTGTGAAAGGATCTCGGTGAAGTCAAATGGAAATGAAAATTTGACGGATCTATGTGGCGCCTACGAGCTTTTGCCTAACTGCGGAACGGCTTTTGGCTCCCTTTACAAGAAGATAGAGACCAAGGCGAGAACAGATGGATACGAGGATAGACCGATCTTCCTCTTCTTTGATCCCTTGAAATGCAGCGACACTAAACATGATTCGTTTGTATTTGCGTTTGAGCATAATCGCATTTCTGGATATGCGCCTCGCATTACAATTGCCGAATTATCTCATGAATGGAGACCAGAGAGTGTCACAGCTACCGACAAGCCTGTCAACCTTTTCTATCGATCATGGCTAGCTAAGCCAGAGGTTAGCCTGATAGATATCATCGACTCCGAAGTGTCATGTCAACCATTGATTCCTCGGCCGACTGTGAATTTTGGTGGTGGAGAAAACAGCCATGATTACAGCCGTCTACTGATTGCCAGCGGTCCCACGGCAGTTCTTAATATTCCGCACCTGGACTCCATAGTATGGAAACACCATAATATTGAAAGATTCCCTGAGATACTGAAAGAAGCTGCCTGGGCTTTTGAAAGATCCTCTTTACAGATGGGGCTTGAGGGATGGAGAGACGTCACTGTCGATGGAGATATTCAGCACCAACACGGTACGATCTGCGAAATTTGCCATCCTAAAATGCCTGAGCCCGGAAACAATCAAGAAGCAATTGCATACGAGCGCCTAATCAAGACCAAGTGGCCAAAATGGATTATTCGAACTCGCGAGCTCGAAAATGGCAAGCGAGAACTCCAATTCGCTCTCAACATTCGGGCCATGGCTCACACAGCCTGTCAAAATATGCTTCCTTTGCTGAAAGGCAAGACCCCTCAGATCAGCTGGCGCCTCGAGCCGAACTACTTCGACGTGGGCAGAAAATACCATGGGAAGTTCCGGCTCAAGAATACCGAGGAGGTCTCTCCTCGCAGGGGTCTTCCGGCTTTTCTTCGCAAAGAGCAACAAAGATCGTTGGATTGGATGATTGACCAGGAAAGACCAAACATTGACCCGTTCGTCGAGATGGAAGTGAATGAAGCCCCATTTCCCGCACTCGCCTGGCGTGCTGAAGTCAAAGTTACTGTTGAGACGGTTATTCGAGGCGGTCTCTGCGCCGATGAGGTCGGCTTCGGTAAAACGGCGCTCATCCTTGGATTGATTTCCAGCCAGTGGGATAATGGGTGGAATGTCAGAATTCCCAATGCACAGCCTGGACTGAAGAAAACCAATGCAACTATCATCATCGCCCCGTCGAACATAATCGGGCAGTGGTTAGAAGAGACCGAGAAATTTCTCACAAAGGACTATCGGATAAAGAACTTTGTTGTTGATATTCGAACGAGTGCCGACTTCAAAAATCCGAAGGGTCAAAGGAAGAGAATGTCCCAGATTGAAGGGGCCAGAATCGTTCTTGTGAGCCTCGGTGCTCTGAAGGAACCTAAATCTGTCGAGTTTCTGAAGAAATACAGGTGGGTTCGGCTTGTCATCGATGAATACCATCTTCTATGGGGCAACCAGAAGGAATCCCAATCGGAAGCCATACTTTGTCTACAAGCCTACTCGAAATGGATTTTGTCAGGTACACCAGGGCTCGAGGACTTTGCTGATATCAAGACAATTGCGAGGCTACTTGGGGCACACCTGGGGATTGACGACGATGGTGATATCAAATCAACCAACAAGCGATTGGTTTACACCCGAGACCAGTACTCCCACTTGCAAAAACTTGAGAAGTTCCAACCCATTCACAGCGAGTTCTGGTACAAGAACCGACGGAGCCATGCCCAAGGGTTTCTTGATCGATTTGCGCGCCAGAATCATGTCGAGGAAAGGATTGAATTTGATACCTTCTATGACGGCTTCCCGCAATCTACAGATGAACGACATGTGTATCAGATCCTTGAAAAACATCTTAAGGATCTGGAAAGTGGCAATCTTTCCGACAAGAGCAACCAGTTACCTCCTAGCCTACGAGATTGTTTGGAAGAACTCAAGAAGTGTGCCGGAGAGGCAGGCGGATACGAGCATGCACCTTTGCTCTGCTCTCTCTCAGCCACATTCACAAGCTCGCCCTACAGGTTTGAAATCTGCCAATACAGAAGGAAAGAGTCCGAAGACAGGTTTAAGATGAACTGGAAAGAATTGCGGGAGGAGTGCAAAGACTTCATGAAAAGGTACGACAAGTTTCACAAGGGCTTATCCAAGGACTTTTCCCAGTTGGTCATGGCGAAATTACAAGATAAAGATGGAATTTGTGGATTCGGGGATCCAGAACTCTCAATTCGCGTGACTGGGATCCTTGGGTATCTGCTGAAGTCAATCCACGACATCCAGCATGGAGGTAAAGTCGTGGCGATGGAAGATGAGAATGAAGAGAATCAACAGAATGAACAGGTCGGTCAGGTTGAACTTGCAGATGGGGAAAATGAGGCAGAAGATGAGGAAGAACGCCCGGTCGATGATGAGAGACATGACGAGGAAGAAAATTCTCGCGAGGGCAAGCAAGGCCCTCCTCGCATTCCTTTTCCCAAAGAAGTCACTGATCAAATTGTACGTCGGTTTGAGCATTTGGCCAACATTAACCAAGATATCCGATTCTGGACCACAGCTTGTCGACTACACCCCAACCAAGATGGGCCAGTTGAGGAAACCTGCCAGTGCGCATCTTGTCCGGAAATGATCAAAAAATCGGCAATCATCATCTTGCGATCATGCGGACATATTCTTTGCGAGACGTGCTTGGGTAAGGTCCAACATGGGACGTGCCGGGTCAGTCGATGCTCAGGGTCAGCAGCATTATCCGACCAGTGTCGACTAGAGGACTTCCGAGTCGGAAAGAACAAGAAAGACAAAGAAGTTGTGTCGAAGTACAGTTCGAAGTTGCGAAAGCTCACCCAGATCATTGAGGAGTCCCCTCCGGATGATCAGGTGTTGGTGTTCTGCCAATATGAGCCTATGTTCGAGATGATCAAAAGCTTGCTCCAGGACAAATTGAAAGACAACTTTGAGTGTATCTGTGCAAAGGGTAAAACAGTGGTCAGCTCGATTGAGACATTCAAGAAGAAGCAGGGCAAAGCGAAGGACTTCAAATTCAACAAAGTTCTTATTTTGCTTCTTGGGGGTGAGGACATGGCTGGGCAGTAAGTGAATTCGGAAGTGAAGAAGCATTGAAATGAAGTTGAACTAACAGAAGATGTTTTCCAGGAATCTCCAGTGCGCAAATCATGTTATTTTTGTCAATCCTCGCCTGGCCGAAACCCATGTCCAGTGGAAAGATGATATGGAACAAGCCATCGGTCGTGTCCGTCGTCCCGGACAGACTAAGCAAGTCTACGTGCATCACTTGATAGCTGAGGAAACTGCAGATGTTACCGTCCTCGAGAAGTGGGAAGGCCACGTCGTACGCAGAAAGGACCCCATCTTCGCGCCAGTGAAGAGACCAAGCGACGACTGGTTGGGAGAAGGGCGGCGTGTCCGTCAAAGAACCAGCTAAGACGCGACCAAGCTGCTATCCTATGGCGATCCTTGAGCGTACATGATGAGAAGTTCATCGAGAATGGTGTAGTGTTTAGGTAGTATCATTTTGAAAGCGGAGAAAGGTCTGAAGAGTCTGGAAGCAGTGATTAGTACAAAGTATGTTGTGAGATGAATCGAACTGTGAAATAAATCGAGTTGAAGTATCTTGTCGCTTTCAGTTTCCCACAAACCGTAATCTCATTAGACAATGGCCTCGCCTTACCTTTGAAACCATTACAAGCTTAGAACAAATATCCCATGGAAGAAAAATTAAAGAGATTGAACTGCATTGATGCCTATAGTGACTCAACAGATCTGCTCCCAAAAAGCAGGAGCCACGTACTGTACATGGTAAAAGAACAAAGGGGCGCTTGGTAGGAAACCCGACTTGTCTTCTATCCTTTTCGCTCCGCATCGAAAGCGCCGGGCCCGACCAAAGTAGAAGCCCTCATTATGAGAAAAAAAAAGGAAACTCATTCCGTCAGGAAAATAAAAAACAAATAACAGTGGGGCGTTGCTTAGATGGCCCCTCTATTGCTGCGGTTGCTCGTCCAGGGCGTTGTCCTTGCGCATCATCGTCTCCGGGTTCCAGACAGGGGGCTCGGCCAGGTTGGTCAGGCCGGCGCTGTTCTCGCAGGTGCCGCGGCCGCTCAGAGGGCCGGGGGCTGGGACCTTGGTGCCGGTGGTGGAGGCGGAGTCCTTGAGCGCGGTCAAGAGGGTCTTGATGGACTCGGGGGTCAGGTCCTCGTAGTAATCATCGTTGATCTGGACCATGGGGGCGTTGACGCAGGCGCCGAGGCACTCGACCTCAATGTAGGTGAAGAGACCGTCCTCGGTGGTATGGCCTGGGGTGATGCCGAGGTGCTCGTTGATGGCCTTGACGATGGCGTCGCTGCCGCAGCCGCCGAGTTGGCAGGGAGTCTGTTGTGAGGAAGCCAATTGTTAGATTCTGGTGACCGGAAGTGACGGGGAGGTAGATGTGAGGTTCCTGGGACTTACGGTTGTGCAGATCTGCAAGAAGTACTTGCCGACGGGGTCGCGGTTGTACATGGTGTAGAAAGTTGCAACCTCGTAAACACGCATGGGGGGCATCTCGAGCATGCGGGCAACCTCGTTCATGACGCTGATGCTGGTGAAGCCGTGTTGACGCTGGCCGAGATCCAGGAGGGGCATGACGGCGGCTTTCTTGTACTGGGGAGGGTAGCGCTTGAGGATCTCATCGGCAAGCGTGAGGTTCTGGTCGGAAAACTTGAAGGGAAGGGAAGGGTTGTTGGTCGGCTTGTTGCGGTGCTGTTCAATTGAGTTGAGATTAGTCGATTGGCCTTCTTGGGACAATGTTCGAAGGGGGTCTGGAGTAGCCCATGCTAGCCAGAACGGAGGGGTTTCGAAAGATCACGTACGATCATCAGGACATCGCTGCACCGTTGGGGAGCGGCGGAAAAGGATCTGTAGGGGGTAGGAGTAGGGAATTGGCGCAGGGCGCGAGTGGCGCGCGAAACGGGGAACAGTTTCGAGGCCATTGTGGGAGAGGATTGGGGGGGTTAGAGGTAGTAGAGTGACGGAGTGAAGATGGAAGAAGAAGCGGATGAAGTTGGAGTTGGGCTTTGCGGGTGGCTGACCAATCAGCGTCGACAGATTACTTCCACCTTGACCCTCCACTCTTTTCCCCTACACTCTACACTCCTCACATTATCACAATGTTATGATACCATTGGTATTGACCGCAACTAAATGCAGTGCTTCTATTACACATTCTCCATTCGATACACCTCATAGGCGACTTCCTCATACGGGTGCGCATCGACTAGGGCATCCACTGCGCTAAGCATCACCTCACGTCCCAAACACATCACCTCGATCCGAGCCTCCTCGCACTTCTCCACGATGCCCACTGCCCCGATCGCCGGATTTGCACCATCATTGGGAAGGAACTGGCCTGTTCCGATGGTCTGGAAGCAGCATTTGGTATATTTTCCACCTGGGAATGAGCCCGCGCCCGTCGCGAAGATAGCCTCTTTGCAGGTCTCCGCGTTCTCGGTCGGCACGAAGAAAACGAGTTTGTAGCGATCTGCAGGAGCACCTGAGTCCTTTCCGGTCTCGCCAGAGTGAGGCGTAGATGTAGACATCTTTCGGTCGGACACCACGGCAAGGCCTGTGCTGCGTAGTGCAGATGTTCTAGTAGACGTAGCACCCGATCGGCTCGGTGGAATGTGAGCTTTGCGCAATGGATATGAGGCGTAGTGGACGAGCTGATGCCGATTGGGAGCTCTGGCGATAGGCCAGGTCGAGAGGAGAAGCCGGGACATGCGGGGTGGTCCAACCTGCCTGGTCGGTTGCAGGGATTGTGGTTGTCGTCTTGGTTCAAACTTGCTGACCTATAGTTATGTTCTCGGTGCCAGATTCCCGAGGCATCAATATGAAACTTGGTGAACAAGACACTTTTACTGAGAATGTAATGGAAAATATAATGATATATTCATTGAATTCGCCAATCGACACCTTTCTATCTCGAATGTATAGGTTGAAAATATGGAATAAGGGTGGTATATACATAAAATGTTGAATCACCGGGTATCAGATATGTCAATCACCATCACAATCATATCACATAGTAGCTCTGCCAGTACGCACTTATACCTCCGCGAACATGTGCTGCTTCACATGGCTCTCAATCTTCTCCAGCAGCTCCGCCTTGCGTGAATCCTCAATCCAGCTCTGCTGCACGCTGTTCTCCGCAATGATCCGCCACTCCAGAACCGACAACTTATGAGCCTCTTGCACCGCGCAGTAATTATCCAGGATATACCCGCCAAAGTAAGCCGGATCATCACTGTTAATTGAAAACTTGACTCCAGCCTCCAGGAAGCGACGGATAGGAACATGTTCCACCGATGGAACGCAGCGCAGCCGCACATTCGACAGCGGACACACAGTCAACAAAGTCCCCTCCCTCGCAACACGCTTCATCAATTCCGGATCCTCAATCAGGCGAATCCCATGATCGATACGGGTAGCGCCGAGTTCCAGTGCTGTGCTAATATAGGTCGGGTCACCCTCTTCACCAGCATGCGCAGTGAGTGGAATACCCTTCTGCACGGCATCGGCATATTGGGCCCGGAACATGTCCTTGGGCGGACCAACCTCGGTAGAAGACCAACCAAGACCATGCACGGCACCCGCTTCAAAGTGGCCGCTAGAAATGAACTTCTCGTAGACATCCGCGGCAGAGGAAACAGGCAGATGGCGCACGAAACAGAGGATCAGCCGCGTGCTGACACCCAATTCGCTTTCGGCGCGCTTGCAGCCCTGGGAGAACCCGTTGACGACGGTCTCGTAGGGGATACCCCGGTCAATGTGGACCTGCGGGTCGAAGAAGACTTCAGCGTGGTGGACGCCGTCTGCGTGGGCTTTGCTGAAATACCACCAGGCGAGATCGGCGAAGTCGGCCTCGTTCATCAGGACAGCCATTCCTTGAAAGTAGAAGGCAAGGAAGTCGTCCAGGGAGCTGAAGTGGTCATATCGGGCTGTCAGGGCGGCGATGGAGCCGTAGGCTGGGTTTGTTGCTGGGTCTGGGAGAGTGATGTTGTTGCGCTCGGCCAGGGTGAAGATCAACTCTGGTGACATGCAGCCTTCCAGATGAACGTGGTGTTCACATTTGGGAAGGCCATGGAGGAAGTCGTGGAGCGGAGATCTGCACATTGTGAAATATGAAGTAGATTGAAACTTGAGAGATGAAAAAGCAGCCCAAGGGTAGAATATTTGGATTTGGATTTGGATTTGAACTTGTACGTGTACTTATGGGGCGGGTGGGTTTGCCTATTTGGTCCGCCGCCGAGATGAGGATTTGAATGCCCCCGAGATATTCAGTTTTAGGTGGCATGTGGGTAATTTGTTCTCGTAATTGGGCGGGGCCGTGGCTCTGGTTTCTTATCTCGACATCCACTTGTTTCCCCGCCCAAACCCAGTGAATACTGGCTCAGGCACGTCGATAAGCTTTGTCTTAGTTGGCTCGGAGGTCTCCGAATGACCTCCACGGTTGCAGACCGGCTGCATTAGCTGGGTCTACTCCGCATAGACTGAACTGGAAAGTCCAGGAGAGTATGCAGGGTATTGAAGCTATTTATTTACAATCAGATTCTCCATCATTAAACACTATGGCAGCCAATCTGATAGGTATCACAACGTCCTATTAGATCAGGTGCCGATACCGATTCGATGATTCTGTATTTCTGAGAAGACTGGACCTGTGTCAGAATTCTACATCCGCCTCCCTTGATAAAGGTCCTGTTCTAGTACAGCAGACGACATGACAAAATTCGGTGGGTTTGCTCTTCGAAGGTGTATCGAAGCAACCCCGTGGGATCCCATGACAGTTCGCTATGATAAGTCGCAACATGGGACTTTTTGCATCGATCTGTTGGTGTAATTATTTGAGTGCCCGGGCGGCCGTTTTCAATAGCATTGCCTCTATGATGGCAGTACTACTTGGATAGTATCGATGAATATATCATTTACGTGGTTTTTGAAGAATTTTCTTACGCCGCTGCTGCCCATTTATTTTTTCTTCTTATACAATTCTTTTACTCTTTTCTTCGGAAGGATGGATATGGAAAAGAGGGAAAGGGAGAGATAAAGCCAAAGGGTGTAGAGCGAAGGACTAATATAAAGGCTGGTAACAAGCGCCCAGGCCAGCAACCCCAACTTTGAAGGTATTCTGAAAATAGAAGGCGAGGTTGCGATTTTACTGCGGGCTCAGTATATGGTGGGGGAGAAAACTAGTCCGTTAAATGATGATCTTCACCAAGTTTCAACAGCACTTGAACATGACTAATTCTCAAGGATAATTGGGCGCTTAAATCAAACCCTGAACCTTGTCCAATCAGCATTTGTCTTCCAATAAATTTTTAGCTGTTCCTGAATTGCTATGGTTATAAAGTCATATATTTCGTCACAACCATGAGTTGCACACTCATACTTGTAAATTTAGTTCATACTACCAGTATTTATCACTTATGAAGGTGTTTTTTTGAGTGTTCCTATGCTGTTTGGCAAAGATAATGGTGTCTTAGAATCCAAAGTTTGTATCACATGACCACCTTAGAGAATGGTTCTCCCAGTAGATCGGGTAGGCCACGGCAGTCCAGATTTATGCCACTGACGCGCTGACCTTCGAATTTCCACCCGCGCCTTCGGAAGGTGGAAAGCTTCCAGCGGAATGTGGGGGATTCGCCCCTTGAGAGCCCACACCATAAACTCTGGGGAGAGCTTAAATTCCCAGTAGAAAAGGGTCTCATAATTTCACTTCATGGGCTTCTTCAACTTGAATAAACCGCAGAAACTATCACGATTTTTTTTTCAGGCTAGTTATAAAATTACAGATAAAACTACAGATAAAACTACAGATCCGCATCTTCTGACAAACAACTTATCTCAACGTTACCAACGTTGCCAACACATCGAGTCTCCGGGGGGAAATCTGATTCCCCAGTTCGAATACCCGGAAGTGCCCATCGCCAGTGCTCGATGCCGCCGCTGTGCCCCGCCACGCTGCTAAAAAAAAGGCAAAAATCGATATTAGGCTAACAACTATTCAATTGTGTACATTTTTGATTAGGGTCTACGCTGGTAGACGATCAAATGCAACACAATACGATATCTTCGATCCCTCTAGAGGGATCGAAAGTGGCGAGTATCATCAGCTGCAACATAGCTTGCATTTCGCTGGCTACTTCTGGCGTTTGTGCTCGGGTGATAGCCCAGATATACGCACATCGTTTTGATGTCGATGACGGTACGTTGCTCCGGTATTGAAACGGGTTATGGTTTCCTTAGGCTCATCTTCCATGATCCAGGTTTTTTACTACTAAGCTGGGTAAGCAATGCCAGCAAAACAACGAACATTCATACCGGACACTTCTAATGTGGCCATTGTCGATAACCCACTAGATATTTGCCTTTGTTTTATGTTTTATCTCCATGTGGAGTGAGTCATGGATTTCCTATCTAAGCCTCCCAGTTAATCACGTATCTCATCGCTGTATAGTGACTCGCTACGGCTATGGAAGGCAATTTGCACTTATCGAGGATGACCTGGCGAAGGTGACTATGATATTGAAGGTATTGAATCAAATCGAGCTCGCATAGTCCTTTCTATAGCTGACAAATGCTATATAGCTTGATTTCGTTCTCGAAATCTCTTATCTCATCTCCTTAGCGTCGATAAAGATCTCTTTCTGTCTTTTATACTTCAAGGTATTCTCGATTACCAAATTCAGGTGGTTATACTACTTGGTCATTGCGATCGTGACCTGCCAATTTATCGAAGAATTATTTGTTGTTATTTTTCAATGTTCACCGGTCAGCAAGCTTTTCCACCCTACAACAGTAGCGGGCAGCTGTATCGATCTTTATGTTTTCTTCTACATCTCCTTCGGTACGAGGCTGGCTACTGACGCCCTTCTTTTTATTTTACCTATCCCCCATGTGCTAAGGCTTCAAATGCCTATCGGTGTAAAAGCTGGCCTGGTAGTGATGTTCGGTTTGGGATTGCTGTAAGTTATTACCTATCCTCTCTTGGTTTTTCTCTTTGTGGGATCTGCTCTAAGTATGATACAGGGTTTGTGTAACGAGCATAGTTCGCGTCACCTATATACGACATTTTGCGGTGGATCTTACTTGTTAGCTTTCCTCCCCCTTGCATCCTTTCTCTCTCTATTCTCTGACTAATTCTCGCCAGGGAACCTTGTAGAGGCCTTGAATTGGTCGTCCGTCGAGGTTTGCGTTGCCATCTTTATCGCATGCATTCCATCCCTCCGATATCTCGTTGCTCGAACCTGTCCTATACTTCAAAAGACATTAGGTCTAGGGAGCAGCCATAAGCCAACCCAAGAGACGGATACTCTAAAAGCCAGTCCAGTGGACCAGAATTATTTCACTCTTCCTATAGCAGTGAAACCCTCAGGGCCCCGTGACTGCTTCCCTTTGCCATCGCCGTTAGTAGAGGATGGCATCACTCCGATGATTGATATGAGTGGCGGCCTGGAGCCGGACGTAACAGAGCCGGTAGTCAGCATATCTCAGCCAGCTGAGCCACATCTACGGACGATGGATTATGTGGGACTTACAGAGCTTTCTTTGGCCATCAAGCGCCCTGTTAGAGGGGAAGGTCAACTTTAAAGCGTTGCGAGGAGTATGATGGATCGGGAGAGAAGAACAATCAAACTGGGAATGTCATGGGATCTTCCACTAGGAGAAAGATGGAAAATTGCAGAATATCTTGTGCAGGAGCGTCAGATGGACGCTCAGATGTTGATTAACATCGGTTTTGTTTATGCCGATAAATACGCTGGGCACCTGTATGGATGAAAGTAAGAATCGACTGGCACATTTTGGCTCATGCAAGCTAGTAGGCCTAGTGTGTTCACCCCATGGAGATGTGTATTTGGAATTTCCATGACTTCCTGTCTATTGGGATTGATATCAACGCTGAAAAATGTACAAGAAATCCATATTTCTCCTTCTATCTGCAACCCAAGTAGTCATGTATGTAGAAATCCGGAAAGCCAAAGTCATTCCATTTAAATCTTCAATTCAGACCCTGCCGCCTTGCGAAGTCTATTCATAACGGCAGCAGCAAGATCTCCATCCCGATCGTTAATGCCTTCCACATAGATCACATCAACGTCGAATTCATCCAACTCCCGCAGCGCAGCAAATAGACCATGAGCAATAGACTCCGTCTCCGAGCCAAGGTGGTAATCATACGCCATCTTGGTCCGACTATTCGAGCTACCGGTCTGCTGCACGGGTATAGGGAAACTAGTCAAGTTATCAATGGCCGCACCATCAACCGGTTTCACCGTGCTAGCAATCACATCATCCGGAGCAAGACCAAGGCCCTTTTTCCAGTTTCTCGTGCGCACAATACCGATGGTGTGCGCGCCGACAGCCGAGTCGGACAGATCTTTCCGAACACGTTTCGTGACGCCCTCTTCCTTGGACTCGCTTCCGAAGAGAATGACTCGCGCCTTTGGCGAGTAGTGTCGATATTTCATGCCGGGGGCCCGAGGAATGTCCTTGATATCCAGTGTGCCGTCCTTGTACGCAACGGTGACATTTTCCCACCCCGCGCACTGGCGCAGCTCGTCGATACCTATTCCGCCTGGTCGAAGGATAGCGGGTGGAGAGCAGAGACCGTCGACGACGGTGCTTTCGACTCCGACGCCTGAGGCCCCGCCGTCGAGAATTAGGTCGATGCGGCTCTTCAGGTCGTGGTGGACGTGCTGCGCTGTTGTGGGCGAGGGCTTTGTCGAGGCATTGGCTGAGGGTGCGGCGAGGGGCCGGTCCGTTGCATGAATTAGGAGGCGGGCTAGTGGGGATGAGGGCATGCGTGCGCCAAAGGTTGTTAGTTTGGAGGTTACCTCCGGCGCGAGTTCGGAGCCTGACGGGTTAGGCAAGATGATTGTTAGGGGACCGGGCCAGAAGCGGTCGATGAGGGGCTTGTAGATTTCTGGAATCGAGATGCGGGGAGTCTTTGCAGTGCTGGGACTGCTTGAGGCTGGGTTGAGTAGGCGGTCCAGCATCTCTAGTGAGTCGATGTGGATGATCAGCGGGTTATCAGATGGTCGTTGCTTGGCTTTATAGATGCCCTGGACGGCGGTGCTGCGTGTCGCATCGGCACCTGAGACCGTAGACGGTCTCCGTGGGAAATGCGACGGGGATATCGCTGGTGCGGAGGAGGTTGGCGGCTTCTTCGACGGCTTTGGATTCGGGCGTGGAGTTCTTGCGCTCGTCGGCCCACCATTCTGATAGTGAACGTGAGCCCGGGCCGGAGTTTAGTCGCTGCACGGAGACGACTCTTGTGTCGGAGGTGGCCATTGTGGTAAAGTTGAGACGGCTGGCTAGTCTGCACTGACTGCTGCCAGCGAGGATTCGGGAAAACAGCAGTTTGATATGTAGTATGATGTATTTGAGGGAGAGGAACCGAGGAGGGGGGTCAATGACGCAGTTGGGTGGTTGCGCACACGCAAAATGACGAGGGGCGAAAAGAGTGATCCCTTTGGGAGGCCTGAGTCACCACAGATGTTGGATGGATGATGCCAATTAGGTGTGTCTGCACGCGTGGTCTGCTCTTCGTCCAATGCCGATCTTCCTGCTCAACTCTTTTTCTTTTCTTTTCTTGAAGTCGCAAAAAAGAAGAAAAAAATCGCGCGCCATGACGTCGGATGACTCAGCATTTCAGGCACGAACGTCGCCCTACGACAGTTTAAGTTGACTTTGAACTAGGATTTAATATTTAATACTGGTGGTCAGTGGTTAGTGTAGGAAGGATGGAAAGGGATAAAGAACAATCCAACTCGAAGCGATTTGAGTGCAGCTTGGACCTTTCAGTGGGGGTTTGCGCTTTAGTATGTACAAGTAGTAGTAGAGCTTTTGAGGAATATACTGCGAGTACTATACTACTATACAACCTAACTTGAATGGATAACCCTTTGAAATAGGTCAATTTGTACATCTAAAGTTCGCGTACCTATAGAAGTCTGTCTATTTCTTCTTGCCACCCTTTCCTCCCTTCGCACCACCACCACCACCTCCACCCTTGCCCTTCCCCTTATCACCACCACCCCCAGCACTACCAGGTGTCATAATGCGCACCTTACCAACGACCATCGTATTGATAATTTCAGACTCCTTCCACCCCTTAATAAGCTCTCCCTCCTTAGCCCGAAGTTCCTCAGCCACAGCACGCGGAACGCCCGCATCCTCCGCATGATCCTTCTTAACCTTGCCGGTCGTCGTCTCAGAAACCCACCGATGATGAATCTCCTTGACAGCCTTCCCCTTCTTAACCGTACCCGGCTGCAGCTTAACCTTGTACTTATACCGCGTCAAAGCCGCCCAGGGCGCGCAAACCGGAAGTGCACCTAGAAGATCATCCTCTGGCGTCGGCGTGCCGATGAGTGCGGGCAACCAACTCAGATCAGCAGCTTCAGCTGCGGCAGTCTCCTCATTATAGTCGTCTGCGCCTTCGGCGAATTGGGCTTGGCGCTTGCGTTCTGCCTCGGCGGCTCGTTCGTGCTGTGCGCGGCGGCGGGCTCTTTGTTGTTCTGCTTCACGTTCACGCTGCTCTTTGGATTCGGCGGCTTTGACGGCCTTTGCTGCTTTGCCTTTGTTGGATCCCAGGAGGCGGAGGGCAAGCTCGCGCTCTTCGTCGTCTTGGTGGGCGTATTTGGCGGCCGCTCGCTTCTCCTTGGCCTTCTTGCCTCGGGTGGGTGCGATTCGTGCGGGTGCGGGCTCTGCCTTGCCGGGTAGATCGACGGGCTTGCCCTGGCGTAGAGCGCGTCTCTCTCGCGCTGTCAATTGTTTCCGTGCATCCTCGGGGATGTAGGTTCTTGGTTCGCGGTTGCTTGTTGTGCCTTCTCGTCTCCTTCGGGTTCGTCACCGGGTTGCTCGAGTTCTTGGTCTTCTTGGACGGTGTCGGGCTCTGACTTTGTCTCTTCTTCGGATTCGCTTTCAGGAGATTGCTCCCCTTGTCAACAGGGCCCTCGGAGTCACCTCGTTGCAGGGGATTCCCGGCAGGCTTTGTGTCTTCATCGTCCTCTTGGTCGGATGCGTTGCCTTCTTGTGGGGTCTCGACTGCGGGCTCCTCGGTTGACTTTTCTTCCACAGCTTCCTCAGTGGCCTCTGCAGGCTTCGAGGTATCTTGCTCGGCAGCAGACTGTGTAACCGGCGCAATACTACCGACCTCGTCAGGAGCATCCCCCTCAAATCGCTGCTTGTGGTTCCGAACACTCTCCTGGCTAACCTGGAACAGTATAGCAAACCCAAGCACCAATTGCGACGGGGCTAAGAAATTTTTCTCGCCTTTGACTTCAAAGCTACCTGTAGGCAGAATTCCACCACCATTTGCCGCAGTCTTGGTCACTTGGTTCGCATGCACCCACCAGGCAGACATAACAGCTTTGGAGTCCCATGCCGCCGAAGTTGAGACACACATAGTACCGGCTTGAGAAAGTGTACTGGGGGGAATGGGCGCATCGGGATTGCCGGGTCGGTTCTTGACAACGATGGGAAGTGCACCCTCGAGGTTGGCGTGGATGAAGATGTCGCCCTTGTTCAAGTAGCGTCGATAGAGCTGCTCGCTTTGCATGGCATCACGGGCACTAGGAGCGAAAATTAGTTTAAACCACACATGAAAAATGAAGAGCTATGACACCTACCCCAGAACCAGATATCCCTCGGAGGAAATAAAAAACACAAATTTTTCAAACCAAAATGGCACACGAGCCTGTCGCAAGACCTGTTTCTCTTGCTTGAGACCTTTCTTGAGATCGGCCGTAACCTTCTTCTCGTGGCTCTTCAGCGCCTTGGTAGAAGACTGGACAGTTCTCTGCTGCTTCTCCGAGGCAGTCTTCTTCTGGTCATAGTACTGAGAGGCATTAGCCCAAGGTGTAAGACCGAGATCGATATCAATCTTAAGCATGCGTGAAGCAGCATCTGTACGTCTTTGTTGCTCTTGGCGCTCATCCTCGGAATCCGAGTCCGACTCCGACTCCGACTCATCGGTAGACTCGGCGTCCTCTTCCTCCTCCTCCTCCTCTTCCTCCTCCCCAAGGATCAGCGTGACGGTATTCTCGTAGAGCTTGAGAGGAAGCTTGATGATCTGCGCCACGGGGTTTCCTCGAGCTTGTTCCATCTCAATTAGACGGGCAATCTCACCCCAATCCATTCCCTGAGCCACAAGACCATTCACAGCGTCCATGGCCTCTTGAACGCGGTACACATTGTCTTGAATAGCAGCAGCCTTGCGAATGTGGATTTCCTGCGCATCTTTCAAGGCATCGATGCGCTTTCTATGCTCCTCTCGGACAGAGTCCAACTTGCGCTTGGCCGCATCTTCACGTTCCGTGAGTCGGGACTCTAGGCGTTGGGACTCCAGGGAAGAGAAATATTCGTCAACGGTGGCATTAAACCGCTCGAATTCAAGAATAGAGACTCCGGGCTTCCCTTCAAACTGGCGTGGTCTGAAAGGGTGGAAATCCTCATACAAAAGACCCGGGGTCTTTGATGTACTGTCCTCCTCTTTCGAGGCTCGTTCGTCCTTCTTCGCCACGATATATCCCTTGTGACTTTCGCCGACATTGAAACTATCCGACACCGAAGCGGCCTCTCGCAAGGTCTCCTCCACTCGCTTCAAGAGAGACTCGTCTCCGAGAACCTGGTCAAGCGGGGTGGTAGGATCGAACTCCTTGACAGCAAAAGCATGATCCAGCAATAGTGGCGGATACTCAGGAAACCCCTGAGACAAAGCCTTCCGCAAGATATCCGTAGCCTTCTTCTTGGACTTTTTCGGCGCCCCGCCCTCCTGCGAGAACGATGCTTGCGCCTTCTCAATCACACTCTTCACCCGCTCTGGGGTGATATCTGGAATTCCCGCATAATTCTGCTTGTTGGTAACGTTATATTGGAGGCCGAGTTTCATTTCCTCCTCGCCGGCGCTGGCGGGGACATTTCGGAACAATGCGATCACGGTATACTCGCGGTCGGTGACGATGATGTTGCCGCCGGCGAAGAACTCGAGGAACATGTGGTAGGCGCCATCGCTGAAGGAGATGTCGATGATTCGATCTGTGCCGACCTGCGCGATGCCAGTGATACGGCGCGATTTGAGGAATTTGCGCAGGCGTGTCACGAATGGTGAGGGGGCGGTCGCGGCTGTGCGGGAGTATTGCGTTACATGGGTGCGGAAGCCGGAGTCGACGATGAGTTGGCGCCGGTGGTCTGGTTTGGCAAGTTTGAAGAGGAAGATTCGCTGGAAGAAGAGATGCTATTTTAGCATAGGTCCTTAGGTAGGGTAGAGTATAGGGTAGGGCGTACGGATGATAGGTCGTAGATGTTGGAGACTCGCAGGTTGACTAGCTCCGAGGCCAGCTCCTGGGTGATGACCTGGGGGAATTTGTTAGGAACATTCTCTTTAGATAGTCTGAGATCATAGTTCCGGGTTATACCTTGACATCTATGGACGAGAATCTCTGCTTCATCGTGGGCTGATGTTGGAGAAGAAAGGAATTTTCGAGCGTGACGTATGCGGGGCAGGAACCGAAGTCGGGCTCCTTTCTAGGAAGTTCCATACAAAGCTATACTATGAGTATACACTAGTAGTTATAGCTAGTGGGCATTACATTACAGGAATGTTAGCACTAGTGATTCTTTAAATGTATCTTTCATGGTAGCCATCATCGTTTCAGTTTCAGCCACAGAATATCACAGGCTTTTGGCAAAATGCAGAGAGAAACACAAAGGATCTATGATATGATGCCCCCAACCCGACATTGGGAAACAGTCAAACTGGAACCAACAAGGAAAAGATTATAAGAAAATGAAATGAACCGTATCACGCCATGGCCAGCCAGGAACGATTAAAGGAGAAAAGAAAAAGGAAATAAAAATCAAAAGCAGAAAGCACGGGCATGCTGATGATAAAGACAACAATCAATCACAATTCAGCCCTCCACCCAACCCCTCCCCTCGCAAACATTCGCAAAAGAGAGTCTGCAGCTTCAGCCCTACATCTGCCGCAGACTATCAGCAAGTCGGCGCTTGCCAAACTCCCACGCATTCATCAGACCCTGCTCTGACAGATCGATGTTCTTCATGTTGGGCGCATCCTGGGCGGGAGCACGGCTAACCCGCGAGGCGATGAGTACGGGGTCGGTCTCAAGGATGATACCGTCGTCGATGATCTCATCAATGGTGAGGGAAACAAGGTCGTAGTTCTCAACGATAGTGCGCTTGTCGGTGGCACCCCTGTAAAAAGGATCTAGATTAGTTTTCTCTTCTCTCAACCAATTTTCCCTCGCAGCCCCAATTCCGATTCCAAAAAGGGCAAGGAGAATAATCGAACATACTTGAACAAGATTCCGAGAGCATCGCGCAGCGACAGAACAACGTTGTACAGCAAGACCTCGTTCTCATCGGCGCTGCCCACCACGTAGAGCATCACATCGCTCTCCATCTTGAACACGACAATGCGGTTGTCGTAGAGGATCACATCGCCGGTCGACTTGTTGGTCTTTTCTAGGAGACCCTTTTCAAAAGCTCGCTGCTCCTTCACGGTAGGGTAGGGGTTGGCACCGGGGTAATCGGTCGAGTTGGGCGCTGTGCCCGCGGGGGCATGTGGTGCTGAGTAGTATTTCGCGAAGATGCGGGATCCGTCGTCGGCGGACATGACGAGGACCGCGTTGACGGAAAAGAGAGATAGAGGACCAGGCATGGTGAATTGGATTGTTATTGGAGGACTCGGAGCAATGCAATTATGAGAATGCGAACTCGAGTTGGTTGTTGATTGTAGGAGCCAGTCTGGCCGCTCGCCGCAGGCGGAGACGCACTAATGTTATTCCGTTGCTCCGCCCTACTATGTACATGTAGTGTGTATAGAGTCAATTAGTTCTAGGATCGTACCTTGATTATGGTTAGGATTCTTTTATTATGCAAGCCAGCTTATAAATGGCGTAAGTTATAATTCAAGTACCAGAAAGATGGGGTATAAATCATCTACAGATCATTTGGGTACAACCACAAGCGCATAAGGGGGAATACATTGACGGGCATCAGTTCAATAGGGTAGTCTCTGGTCCAAAGAAATAACAAAATAAAATCCAAACGAGAAATACAAAAAAAACCACGCCGATAAGAGGCTCCGCCAATATTCATCACGTATTCAGGGAAAAGGGGGCAAAAAAGAAGAAGAGAAAATGCAGTTCAAATTGTGCAGCACAACACCGCGGTATCCTCGCTCGATCCTGAGCCATACGTTCCATGACATGAGTCGCGTTATGTGCATCACAAAAAGGGGTATGAAAAAATATGGTAAAGACGGTTCCAATATTACATCAAATCATGCAGTAGCGTGGGGGCAACCCAGTTTAGAGCTGCGAAGGCTGGGAGGTCGGAGCAGATGGAGGAGGTGATTGCTGCTGGGGCTGAGACTGGGGTTCTTCAGCATTGGCAGGGCGGTTGAACCAACCGGGAATCCAGCTCGCGCGGTTCGCTTTCTTCCGAGCAGCCTCTTCTTCTTCCTGTTTGGCAGCATCACTAACTAGTCGCAAGGGGCGCAGCTTATTCTGTGTCATCACTGCTCCAGTATAGTTGTTCATGCCGCTGCTTGACCGGGGCGGGCTGGAAGTCGCCCCAGTAGAGCTGGTATCGGGGTGAATATCACTGGTGACACTCGGGGAGCTGCTGCGATTGGCACGATCCGTTTGGCTGGACATGGAAGGAGCCCGGCTCACTCCAGAAATATAACTAGCTGCCCCAGAGAACATGCTTTGTCGTGAGCCTGGGACCATACCAGTTGGACTCATGGGCCCGCCTCCAGAGTTGCGGCCACGGTACATCGCTCCAACAACGGAAGCAGCGTTCGGGTCAACTTGTTCCGAGCGGGTACGGCGGTGGCTAGCTCGGACAGATTGAGTTCTGAACGGAATGCTGGGGGCGGTCTCTGGGTTCTCATTGACGATGCTGTGGGGAAGTGGCGGGGGCATCATGCTGGTTGGGCGAGATCGAGGCTGGCCTGGGGGCCGAGCAGGCCCCGAAACCACGGATTTGGCTCGCTGCAAGAGGGTTTGACTCGGTGCATCGTCCTTCTCGGGAGGTGTGGGGGGCAGGTCCTTTTCATTACCACCGGTGGACTGGGTTGCGCTGGCTTCATCATCATTGCGATCCAGAACGTGTTCGAATCCGTCGTGTTGAAGAACACGGCTAATGATGCGTTCGATGTAGAGAGTCAGGGCCTTATTTTGATCCCTGAGGCCCTTAAGTTCACCACCATCTGGCTTGCCGGTCGAATCCGACTCTGGTGCTTCATCCACAGACTCAAGCTCATCTGCCAAGGATCCTAGACCACTGCTGGACTGCTTATCAGGATGGACGTGCTGCATGAAGTCGCCTTTAGTGAAGTCGCCAGTGAGCGTCTTTTCACTGAGAAGGAGCTGGTAGCTCTCGTTGTCCTCCATGAGGCGGGCATTGGCCATGCGAGCCTCCAGCAAGTCTTTCTCCAACTCGCGTTGCCGACCACCACCTGCGTTCTCCATCTCGACAAGTTTGATCTGATGTTCGGCCAACTCCAGACGAAGGGACTCGATGACCTTATCTTTCTGAAGCAAGAGGTTCGAGTTATTGCGAGAGGGGCTGCGTTCAAGGTGCGAGGATGGCGCAAACTGGGCATCCAGATCGGGAGAAGCTCGATTGCGGAAACTGGCTGTAGGAGTAGTTAGCATCACGGAAAATATTGGTTTAGACTAGACGAAATCATACAAGATCGGGAGACCTGATGGCGTTCACCGTCGGCAGTGATTCGATCCTTCTGGGCAGCGGATTCCTTCAAACGATGGATGGTCGCCTGCAACTCTTCTTCCCGGCTGTTCTGTTGTTCCTTCTGTTGCAGCATGGCATTGCGTTCTAGTTCATGGTTTTGCTCAAGGTCACGGATCTGACGTGCCTGTTCTCGAATCTCACCACTGAGCGTTTCAATCCGGTTGTCTCGCTCGTGGGCTTGATCCTCCAACTTTCCTTGTTCGCTGACGGATTCATCGAGGCGCATCTGCAGCACGCCTAGTTGTTTCTGATATTGTTCAGAGGCAGTTTCGGCCTTCTGAAGCTGTTCTCGCAACTCCTCGATGAGAGCGGCACTTTGGGCCCGCGCCTCCTCCTCGGAGGGGTCATTCGAGATGCGCGGGACGTTGGACATGCTCAGGTTGGAACGACCGGGTTTTCTGGCAGCGGCGCGCGCGGAGACGGGGGTTGAACCTCGGAGGGAGGGAGAACGGTTGAGACCGTTGGTAGCAGTACTGGGCGAACGTGCATGTCCTCGTGTGGTGGAACCGTTGGTCGAGGGCGGATCTGCGGTCGATGATTTGCTGGAATTGCCGGGGGTTCCAGGCTTGCGAGGCGTCGTTGCTGACATCGTGCAGGTTCCCAAGGCCCGTGGACTCGGCGTGGGAGGGGAAGTGCGAAGTATATAATAGGGGATGGGAGGAGTCGAAATTCAAATAGCGGAGTGTCCACTCTAGGGTCAAGAGAAGGTTGGGGGAAGAGAGTCCAGCTGTGAAATCAGTGGCGGTCAGAAAGCGGAAATTGGTGGACACGGGTGGAGATGGGGTGAGGAAGTATGTAATGAAGGTTGTCAGAGGTTGAGTGATCGCCACATGGCTAATAGAAGCGTGGAACAATCATCGAAGACGAGAACAGACTGGAATGGAGGAAAGAGGAATGAAAATGGCCGATTGCAAAAGGAGAGCGCGCCGGGAGCGAGTCTTATTTTTGTGAGGAATGCGGGCGGACACTCGCACTCCCTTACTCTAATCTAAAAATACGCTGGGCAGACTCGGTGGTCTTGGGGGCCAACACTTAAGGACACGAGACACGAGACTTATAGTTAAGGCCGAGTAATAATAGCACATGAACCATATAAATAAACTCCTGTAGAACAAAGCAAACACGAGGGAGATACGAAGCAATGCAATGCGATGCGAAACAGGGTGAAGTGATGCCTGAGGTTTGACTGTTTACCGTTTCAGATACATGTCAGGTGATATCTCATCAGGTGATGTCAGTGATCTGGCAACGGATCTGGTAGGCGGTGAGTACCGACAGTACAGAGCATGGAGGAGCCCACCGCAACGGGAAACAACGAGCAACCGCCAATGAATCGACCAGGACTCAACTTGAAGTCTCCGCTCTATCCACATCCACCGGAACGCATTCCAGTCTACCCCACCAGTTGAACTCAAGTCGACTTGCTTCACAATGGCTGGCAAGAAGAACAAGAAAGGTGCCGATAATGTGAGTCTACTCGAATTTACCCTATACATTATGGAGATAATTTCCACTAACATATAATCTTCTAGATCAATGCCCGGCTCGCCCTCGTCATGAAATCCGGAAAGGTCACTTTGGGCACAAAGTCGACTATGAAATCACTCCGTTCGGGCAAAGCTAAGCTGGTCATTATTGCGGGAAATGCTCCTCCTCTGCGCAAGTCGGAGCTTGAGTACTATGCCATGCTGGCCAAGACTCCTGTCCACCACTTCGCGGGAAATAATGTGAGTCATATGAGTACATCTATGTACTTACAAATCAACTTGGAATCAACAAGAAACCAACCATGAAATACACTGGACGGATGCTGATGCTGATTACAAATAGATCGAGCTGGGAACTGCTTGTGGCAAGCTCTTCCGCTGTTCCACGATGGCCATTCTCGATGCTGGTGACTCGGATATCCTGGCTGACCAGTGAACAAAGCAGGGGATGTACGAGTAGCAGGATACAGCAGGGCGGAATATGTACTCCGTGATGATATGCATGACGATCCTCTCTGAATGAAATATGGACCAAATGGACCCAATTGACCCAATCAGTCCCACTTTTCTACTTCGTTCAGTACTGCCACCTTGTATTTCAGGCTCCCATCGCTAGGCGATGACTCAGCTGATCAGCTCGCCTCGGAACGTGGTTGGCCCGATTGCTAGGGCTTAGGGCTTTTTGCCACTGAACTGCTTGGAAATCAAACAATCCCGTGACCCGCTGGCCCTTTTCTTTTCTTTCCCTTCGATCCCTCGACACCAACCGACATCCAACAACTAGTTCGCAGGAAGTGCCCGTCACCTCATTTCCGCACTCAAAATGGCTCGCCGTCCCGCACGTTGCTACCGTTACTGCAAGAACAAGGTGCGTTGCGACTTTTCGTACCCCCGGAGGATTTTGTGTGCGCAAGCTCGGTTGTGGGGGAAATCTGGGAATCACCACCACGCCCGCCACCCTCGTTATCGATCAAATCTCGTCTGCCAAGAAAGGGAAAACTGTGAACGACTCGAATATACCATCACCATGCTCGCCGGTCCCGTTGACGCGCAGGTTGCGCCACGGCGAGACGTCACCTCGCTAGTTTTGCGGTCCGAGTCGTTCACAAGTTTTCTTTCTTTGGAAGGGGACTTTCAGTCGATAATGAAATGGAAAAATCCCGGCATACATCCAAGTTCAATATACTGACTTATTCTCCTTTAGCCGTACCCCAAGTCGCGCTTCAACCGTGGTGTCCCCGATGCCAAGATCCGCATCTTCGACCTCGGTCGCAAGAAGGCTTCCGTCGATGACTTCCCCGCTTGCATTCACCTTGTCTCCAACGAGTACGAGCAGCTGTCCTCCGAGGCTCTTGAGGCCGCCCGTATCTGTGCCAACAAGTATGTTCCGCCACTATGCGCTTGAACCATCCCGCGCCATCGACGAGTCAATCCGCAATATACTAACGTTCTTCCTTTCTCCAGGTACCTCGTGAAGACCGCCGGTAAGGAAGGTTTCCACCTCCGTGTCCGTGTCCACCCCTTCCACGTCGTCCGTATCAACAAGATGCTGTCGTGCGCTGGTGCCGATCGTCTGCAGACCGGTATGCGTGGTGCCTTCGGAAAGCCCCAGGGTCTCGTCGCCCGTGTGAACATTGGCCAGATTCTTCTGTCCGTCCGCACCCGTGACTCCAACCGGGCCAACGCCATCGAGGCTCTCCGCCGCTCCATGTACAAGTTCCCCGGCCGCCAAAAGATCATCGAGTCCAAGAACTGGGGTTTCACCCCCGTTCGTCGCGAGGAGTACGCCGAGCTCCGCCAGGCTGGCAAGCTCCGCCAGGACGGTGCCTACGTTCAGTTCCTCCGTGGTCACGGTACCATCGCTGAGAACATGAAGCGTTTCCCCGAGGCCTATGAGAACGTCTCTCAGGCTTAGATGGTTATGGGTTGAATCCAGAATACGAATTCAAGAACGAAAAAATTACATGGATGTTCTCTTAACTGTCTTTCTGTTCCTCCCAGCTTGATATCTCGTGTGCAATCTTAAATGGAGTTATTCCATGGGTATAATTTGTTCTTTCGTACTAGTAATCTTGTCCGGGCTACCCCAGTAGATTTGGACATTGATACTCATCTCTATCTGACATGTCCGTATTTCTAATAAGGATAAGTATTCCGATATCTTCGGTGACGTATGCCTCAGTTGCCCAAGCGTCCAAATTGAATTTACCCCCCAGTGGAGTGGACGGTAGAGATGAGCTCCATTGACAGCTTCCAGCTGGGAACGCGGATGGCTACCTGATACTTAAAATCCAACAAAATTCTGCTTTGCTTTTACTACTACGCCAAAATAAAAAGATTGATACGGTGAGGATGAAATTCCTAAGTGAGAGCAGCTGGTCTAGTATTGGTAGGTAGTCTTCGTGAGTTGAACTTAGTCCAGAAATATATATGCCGACTCGGAAGGGGCAAAAATTGCACATTGAAGCACTCAATTTCAAGTTCGGAATTACTCAAGTTCAAGTTGAAAAGACTGGAACTTGAAAGAAATATGGAATTCAATGAATGACAAATTGCGTATTATTTCTCGATTATTACAGTGAAAATTAAGTAGTACTAGCACCTCAACTAGATATAAACAGCGAGAGCTACAATTGAGGCGCGGGTGTTCCACATCGTTCCACATGTAGTTCTCCAGCGACTGGGGAGCACAATTAGTCCAACTCCCGACAAGAGAGGGGTACAGTAAAACTTCAAAAAACTTAGACTTACCTTGTGCATCTTCCGGAGTACAAGCGTCCTTTAGACAGATCGTCAATGTGTCCTTGAAAGCCGGGCTTGGACAGGTGCATTTATTATCGTAGGCCGAGATACAGCCTGCGACAGAAGCAGCTTCCGACAGACATCGAAACTTCAGACAAGAAATAGTAATAAGTATCATTCTGGACACAGAGGAAATATACTCATGCAAGGAACATGGCACTTTGAGATGCGTAGCTTACCAGGCAGTTGCTGATCTTGTCAGGGTCCACGGTAGAACCGCTTGCTTCGGCGGCCACAAAGGACAGGAAAGCTGCAAGAGGGACGAAGATTGAAAGCTTCATTTTGGAAGATGGATTCAAGGTTTGAATTCGAGACTAGGATGTGGGGGTGGTTGTGTATAGGGAGGAAGTGTGGAGGTAGGAGGTGACTTCATGAAGACCTTGTCGACACTCCTAGATAATAAATCATTCTCTCAGGGCTACATTCTTTGTTGCCGATGATGTTGTTGTAAACAATTCTGCCACTAGGGTGATCTCCGGTATGGGGGGTTGATCTGCAGGAATGTGAAGCATCAACAACTGGCCGCGGCTTATGGAACGCCAAAAAAGGATTTCATAGGACAGTCGGCAGGGAAATATAATTGATTTCAATTAAATTGCCATATGCTGGCTATAAACTCTTCGATGAAGCAGTCTATTAATTGTATATCTCAATCTTTCAAAGCATCTAGGACCCTTCGTCCCCAAGATCTTGGTTTTGTTGACGTTTCATCAAGGGTCCAGTGGCGTCTGCCCGAGAAGTCAATCTCATCGAGTGACACCCTAAGAAAATGTGAGCCAAGTTAACCCCTGAGAATCAATAAATAGAAGTTCGTAGTATGACTCGGACTCACCACTTTGTTTTAAACCACCACTTATAGCCGAAGAAGAGGGCGAAGAAAACCGGAATACTGATATATGAAGCGATGAATGACTGGTAGTTGAACGGGGTTTCAAAGACAGTGAATCCCTGGATCAAGAGCAGGAAAATATTAAAGAAGAAGTTCCCCCAATAAACTAGAGTGTGTCCAGGGGCAGTAAACGGGAATGTTTGGATATCAATATTCTGCTTCTTGGCGGCGGCGCGAACTCTTAATTGGACGAAGGTGATTGTCGCCCACGCAATGTAGGCTGCTGTACCACCGAAGGAGGTGAAATACGAAAAAGAGGCTCCCGGCGGTCGTTGTTAGGGACATCAAGCCTAGGAAACCCCACATGTTGGAAAATATGATCGCAGGATATGGGACTAGATGATCGTTAGCTCACTGGCAAACCTGATTTTTCGTCTTGGTAAACTCACCTCCCCTTGAGCTCGTGATCGCAAAAAGCGAGGGTGCTTTTTGTTTCAGAGCTAGAGAGTAAAGAGTGCGAGATTGAATGTAGACTACTCCATTGGCGGCTGAAACAAATGCAATCAATATGATGGTGTTGACAAAATGACCGGATGATTTCCATCCTGCGAGCGTGAAGCCGATCGTGAATGGAGAAGACGCTGTTTTGGAGTCCGGGTGTACTAGGTCATCTGAAGTCGAGGGGCAAATCAAGCCTTGGAAGAAGGACATGCCAATGAAGACAACTAAGATTCGATACAGAATGGACTTAGTAGCCTTTGGAGAGAGTCAGCTTTTACCTTTGAAGTAAATTCAGTGACTTACGCGAGGGACGTCACGCTGGGGATTTTTCGACTCTCCAGCTGCAACTGAGACAATTTCTGTACCGACATAGTACGCTGCTGCAAGAACAAAAACTTGGCCAAATCCATTGATCCCATTTTGGATTGGACCTGTGATTATTTGCAAGACGTCAGTTGAGAGTAGAGGAAGGAAGCTTCACGGAAAACACTGACCATAAGGTGGTGTCCAGTACCTGAATCCGATATAGCCATTGCCAAAGGCACCGACATCGGCAAGAATGCAGATAAAAAATAGGACAATGAGGGATATGAATTTGAACATGCCAAAGTAGTACTCCGTCTCCCCGTAGAAGTTGACACCGAGGGTGGTCAAGATATTGAAAAAGACGAAGAACAGGATGTACCACGCCCAGACAGGAAATTTAGTGTCAGGGATCCAAAATTGCAGGAACACCGTCGCATTATTCCAGTCTAATACCATGTCAGCCAACGGCTAAGCGAAGCCAGATAACAGCACATTTACCAGAAGCTAAGAAAACGCTCCACATGAAGTAGTAAAGCCATGACATAGAAAAACTGAGCGCTGGATCCACAAATCGATCGCAATGCTATGTCCGGGGATGAGAATGATAGAATGGCCATTTGAGAACGGAAATATTTACCTCGACAAAACCTCCATGGACTGGGAATAAGGTAGCTACCTCGCCCACGCTTTGCATGAGAATCCACACAGAAGCACCTTTCATTCCAAGGCTGGTCAGTTCGAACATTCGATAGATATCTTCACGTCGATTGATAAGCATACCAACTACGGAGAAACCAATCAACAGGCCTAGAGAACCAGCCTCGTATATACCATATCCAAGTCCGTAAAAACAGCCAGGTCCAATGATGCTGCCCAAAGCAATGATCATAAACTGGCGACCCTTTAGACCTCGACGAAGACCATCGTCGATAACATCCCCGGAAACGTCACGGGTCGGTTCATCATAGCCATGAGTCTCGGTCACAGTCGTACCATTTTTGGACGACGATGGCACTTCAATAGAAGAATCTGGACTTGCAACCATCTTGTTCGTACAATATCCCACCTTGAGGGAAGCGATACCGGGAGGCGCAAATTTTATACCAATGCGTCCAAACTATGAGAAAGAACATCTGCCAAGCACGTCATGAAGCATGTTTAATTACACTGGGTTAGTTGGTATTCTTTGAATAGAGGCTTGTACTAGCTGTCAGGATGGATCTATCGGAGGATTTCCAGGCCGTTGGATTGGCAGTCTCTGGGGCGTCGCGGTTGTTAGCACGCCATAGAGGAGTTCAATTCGTGAAAAATAGGCCGAAGCATCGGGGCTAGAAATCGAGGTAGAGGGAATATCTTCTAAATATTAATAGTAATGGCTATTTCCTGCTGCATTAGGAAGGTGGATATCCATGATTATTGCTTACGCTGTAATTCTTTGGGTGGATGCACGAAGTCTATATTCGAAGAGCCAGTGACGCATAAAAATGGTGTGCGTTATCCACCAATTGAAGTTCGATAGTAAAGAACAGCTGATTATTTCGTCATAAAGATTGGGCAAATATAGTAAAACTATTGCTGATTGTTGATTAAGAAATATCGGTCAAATAGACTAAGACCTATCGTTCTGAAACACGCGCATTCTGATTCTCATGCTTTAGCAGTTCAAACTTTCGCACCACCTGCAATGTTGCATAAAAACTGAAAGGCAATGCCAGGAACCATAAGCCGAAATTGATACCAGCAGTGATGATTAATGCCGTGGGCACAGCTTGCACACCAAATCCTACAGCCACTCCAGCCGTCTCGATGCCCCGTAACAACGAACTATATCGAATCTGGTCACCAGGAGAGTCCGAAAGATTTCCAATGCACCAGTATATATAGTTCTCGACTATACCCAGACTAATGCGTTCAAACAGGAAGAGACCGAATCCGCGACCGAATGCACGTTGGTCGGACCAATCTAAGACAGGCTTAGTGCGCCTGTACTCATTCTGAATGATAACTGCCCAGATCCAGGTTGCACTGTTAAGCACCGCAATCAGAATAAAGGTGGTAATAGCTCGTACTTTGCGGCTCTTGTGCCATGGCAGGTCAACAAGTGAGCCGCCAAGCCACGTCGCGAACGTGCCTACTACGGCATTCATGAAGCTTCCCAGTGATCGCGACCTCACTGTGAAATAGGTCGCCAGATATGTACCAGGATATGCCTGAATCCACCCAAAGTACCAGAATAATGGAACCAGGAGAAGAATTGACTTGCTAGTACCCAGTCGCCACATTGCTTTCATCTCATCCCGCCAATGGATATTGCGAGGTGCTTCGATTTTAGTATGATCATCTCGTTGGACCTTGTCAGGGTTTGAAAGGAGTAGACCAATGAATAAACCCAAGCATTGAATCGCGATGAAAGCAAGATAGGTTTGGTAGCCGACTTGTCCACGCTGATTGACTTTATGGTTGATCCCAAGGGCAACAGCGCCCCCGATAATATTGCCAAAGTTGCGGAATGTAAACCATGTAGCAATGTAGCGACCCCGCTTGTGTTGCTCTGGATACCCTGTCGCGACGGCCCCTTCAACACTCCAGAAGAAACCAGCACTAATACCGCATGTGACAGAGCCGAGATAGACAAGCCACGTAGCACCAGTTCGATTGTTCAGATATAGACCAGCGGGGTAAAGTGGATAGCCTATTGAACCTAGAGAGAGGGTCCAACGGAAGCCAATGGCATTTGTTATCCAAGGGCCAGCAAAGCAGGTGATGGTCATGAATGCGTAGAGAAGGGCGTTGGCGGCGTTAACTAGGTCGGGGCTCTGGGAACCGCCGACGCCGAGTCCATTCATTGCGCTCCATATTCCCGGTGCACAAAAGGCACATAGCCCGACAACTAAAATTTGGAAAAGAGTACTGCGAAAAAAGGGTGGTCGGTCTTTATACTCTATCGGCGTTTCTGATACCGGTTGAATATCAGTTTCGATATCAACAATTCCTTCTGATTTTGATGCAGTCACCATCGTGAGGAGGATATGTCGAAAATAACCCGGAGAAAAGTAGACTAGAAGTTAGAATTTCGTGAATGGATATGGAATGGCTAATATAGCTTCATAATTATCTTGGCGTCAGATCCCAAGGTCTTGTATCCCCGCAAGCACGTATGCGCATGGTAAAATGACACAATATTATGTTGCCTCGGATTGAATTTGCACGACAGCCGCCCCCAAGAATATTATTACGGAAGGCTGTATTTAACTGGTCCATTATCGCCATCCAATAGTATTTTTTGGATATCGTCATTTTGGTGTGAATGAGGAGGTTCTCCTCACTTTGGCTGGAACATGCGTCTCGGCTATTTAATAGCAGAGCCCGGATCAAATGCCCAGGTGATAACTAACCCCTCTCCATACTACCGCATACTACAAGTCTATGAAAAAGATTCATTATGGCCACAGTTACAGAGCAGATAAAGCTTGAAAAGCTGCACCTCAGTGATACAGAAGCCACCGCAGTATCTTTCGAGCCCTTTGAGCTTCCCTCCTCTAACCAGCGTGTGCTTGGGCCTCCACACCCCCCTAACACAGTGATCCCTCTCGCCCTGCGTCTCACAAACGAATATTCTCCACCAAAGCTAGACGCTATTGTGGATACTATCAAGAATCTTCAAGAACGGGACGGAATTTTCACCAAAAAGCTTGCGCGCCACGGCACGTTACTGTTTCGAGGCCTCCCCATTCACAATGCCGAAGACTTTAGCAAGTTTGCCCTTGCCTTTGGGTACAAGCCACACGAGATCATTGGAATAGTTGTCGACAGACCTTTAGTGGCACCTAATGTCGCACCGGCGAACGAAGCACCGAAAGAAGTACTCATTTACAACCACAATGAGTCTCCACAAGTTCCTCACGCACCGGAGTACATATTTTTCTATGGCCATCACGCTCCCAATAGTGGAGGCGAATCGCCTATTTCATCTTCGCTTGAGCTATTTAATCGCGCTCAGCAAGAAATCCCGGACTTCATCGCAGAGATAGCAGAGAAAGGCATCCTCAGCAGGGTGACTTACAAGACTGAAAAGCAATACGAGGGAGGCTCGACTCTTCGCCAAGCTTTCGGTAAGGAAATTGTGGAAGGAGACGACGAGGAGACCAAAAGGCGAAAAATAGAAGCGCAGATTGAACGATATGGACGCGGAAAATATACGACCTGGGAGTGGACAGATGATGGGTTGGTGCTCACACATCGCCTACCTGTGATCCGTACTCAACCTGGAACCAACTTGCCCACTTTATTCACAGGACTGGCATCCTATTGGAAGAGAGCGCAGGTTGATCTTGACGCGCGACGAAACGTTACACAGCAACTGTACGGTGATGGGTCGGTGATTCCGGAGAAGTATCTTGCGCATCTGGCCAAGATCACAGATGAGATTCGAGTGTTGCATCGTTGGCAGGAGGGTGATGTGCTGGTCTACGATAACATTATTGCTCAACATGGTAGGGAGCCGTGGCAAGGAGATCAGAGTGATCGGGTTGTTCTGGCTAGCTTGTTTGATGGCGAGAATGTTCCTGGTCCATATGGATTTGGTGACTGGGCTCGGGTTGTGCAGGCTTCCGTGTGATGTTTCTCATGGTATATTATAGCATTTGAGTTAAATAGCTAGTTTTATGATTGTTCGATAAATCCAGCCAGCTTCCATATTATAGACCGCTTCAATTATAAAACGCACTTTCATTTGCTGTATCGGCTGGACCACCTTCCGGGATTCTCACCCTAGAGTATTGGCGTACTAACCAAATCTGTAGACAAATATCAGTACAACTTTTGCTCTCCTTCAACGCGATGCGTCAAAATTTGACAGCTAAGTTGAAGCCTGACGTCTCATCGCGCCCGATATGCTGACAGCGCTATCTAGCTTCTTTGGCTGCTCGCAGGCATGCAGGGACCCGGTATACACTTGTTGACGATGAAACACATAGTTATGTCGATTGTGTTGGTGACTTGACGTTGGATTTCGGAGAGTCTTCATTGATCAGGCAAAAGCCCAATCGATTTTTGCGAGCCTGGAGGTAGCTTCATTCTAGTGGGTCTCATTGACGTTGGCCTCGCTCGTGCAGCGGCGATTGTGATGTGTCATGAGAAAAGGAAAAGTTGGCTGGTTGAATTGGAAATTCAAGTACTAGTGGATATGTTTGACACTCGTCACTCTGTCATGATAATTGCCGATATCGGTGCAAAGGATTCTGGAAGACTAGAAATTATTATTCAATTCTGCTAGATAGAGGAGATCCAGATAGAATCTCTATCTATCAATACCCCGCGGCCTTGCGGGGAGATCGACATGCCTGGTCATGTGTATAGATACAAGGCGAGCAAGTCTCGACGAAGAGGCAAGTATCCGCGCACCAATTATCTCATCAGCACTGACTGGCAAAAGAGGCAAGCATTGCCTATCGCCCCACATGATCTGAATCCCCCGCAAACTCAACCGCAAACCTGCTCGGAGACATCCCGATGATATTCTGCAGCTTGTACAATGCATCTCAACACCTGAATTGACCATGTCGAATGGTCTTGGTCGTGCAGAGCTGGGATCGCACACGCGTTCGTTTACAGGATGTTCAACGGTATGGCACCCACGAGTAAACAGGAATCATCGCTCTAACTTATCCAGTGCCGAAGCCGCCATGTCAAATGCGACGAAGGCCGACCGACCTGTTCTATGTGCACATACTTCGGCTTGAAATGTGCTGGCTATAAAAAAGATATCTTCTTTGACTCCAAAAACCCTGACAGCCGGATTCGCTTTCGCCGACCATTGTTTACGGAGGAGGAACGCATTCATATGAGCGAGTGGCTGGTATCAGCCGCGCCGCCGAAATCGACGCATAAGCTTTTAGCACAAATCGACGAAGAGTGCGAGAATGCAGCCGTGTCGGAGGAAGTTGAAATATCCTATGGACCGTTTGGGGCATTTCGAGCGCAACCGCCTCAAACAGTCCAAGTTGCCTCTCCATCTCCGTGCGACCGACCACCACCTGCCGAGGGATCAGATACAACGACAGAATTGAGTCCCCCAGAAGATGTGATACCGATGATAGATCCGTTTCCGGCTGCATCTGGCATTTCGGCGTGGTCTCCAGGCTTTATGCAATCGATTCTGGGGCAGCCTGACGGAGATCCGAGCTCCTCGTCCCCAGATCTTTTGGATATGATCATGGACCAAGTTCCTTTTGATAACCACACTATAGATCCAGCCGACTGTCAACTAACTTCCATAATATCAGACTCATATTGCAATCCTCCCATCTCTCCTCCTTCTCTTATTCATGTGCCGGGTGGGACCGGTGCCCTTCCACAAGACGCGGTTTTTCTCCTAAAACATTATTCTTCCACCGTTATCAGTCTGATGACACCCGTCAGACATAAGAAGACACCATGGCATGTCCTTTTCATCCCGCATGCGAAAGACTGCCTTGCCGCACTCGCACTGGGCGAGGAACTAAATCATGCCAGTCTATGCGCATTCTATGGCACACTGGCTACCAGTGCTTTTAGCCTCGGTGGTGTCTCCCGATCTCAGTCATGGCTTGATCAAGGACATCAATATCTGCGTCAAGCACAGGAGCATGCCCGAAAGATGCTTATGGCTGCCTACAACATCCCCAAGCCGGCCAAATACAAGTCGACATTAATGGCTCTACTTACTATGGTGCAGCTGTCAAATTTCTGTGGAAATCGAAACGAAGCGGAAGGGTACTTCTTGGAAGCGGAAAAATTCATTCGCTTGAAGGGGCTGAAGCGGAAGAAGTCGCGAAAAGTGCGACTTCTACATCACTGCTACGTCTTTGAGCGGATGTTCCACGAGAGCATCTTTCTTGGTGGGGCAAATTCAAATCAACGAAGACACATACGTCGAGCTATTGAGTCTAGTGGACTTGCTCCGGCAAGTGTTGATGGATTGTCTTTCCGTCTCTATAAGTACAATAATTTGCACCAAGAGATGTTGCGCGTCAGAGGCAGGGAAGAGGGAGAAAATGATCTCCACCTCGAGCGACCTGGAACATTCTCAGCAACACTATACCCAGAGATATTTGGAATTCCAGAAACTTGGATGATTCTCTTATCGATGATTATTCGACTCGGAACCGAGAAAGATGCCGCAGAACAGCAGAACAATCCGAACGAGTTAAACCTCAAAGATTTCATCGGTCGTGCAAAGGCACTTGAAGACTATATTAATCACCTTGAAAGGCCAAGCCAAATTGCACCTGGTCTTGGCACCCATCAGTCGTCCGTCGATCAGCATATTCTGGAAAATATGCTCGAGGCCATGCGGCAGGCCTTGGCTATTTACTTCTATCGCCGAATTTACGATCTGGATGCATCGATGCTGCAAAAAAAAGTAGCTGATGTACGTGACTGCCTACTCCAATGTGAATATGCCGATTCGAGCGTGGTGCACGGCTCCGCTGGCTTCATCTGGCCAGCATTTATTGCAGCCTGCGAAGCAGAAGATCCCAAGGTACAGGAATCGTTTTCTGCTTGGTTTGAGGTTTCAGCACAGCGCAGTGGGCTTTCATCCTTTGCTCAAACCCAGGCTTCGATTGAAAAAGTATGGGAGGAGAAACGCAGCTCAAATGGTAGTAGCACGACTTGGGTCGATTTAATGAAGAGGTCGGTAGCTTTACAACAATGATAGTGGTTACTAGGGATTAGAACTCTTCCTACACTTAGAATTGTAAATTTATTTGATACTTAAATTGAACTCAAAACCAATGATCGTGTTCCACGAAATATGCCCAGGTTATACGTCAAAAATTTGTTTGTCTTCTCTCAGTCCAGTAATGTGACTACCATCCTAACCGCGCTTCCCCGCAGTATTTACTTTTTTTTTAAGACCTTTTTCGAGCGAACGGCGTGTCACCTGGTACACCTGCCGACTGCCTAATTTATTGGATCCCGATAAAGCAATGATAGGTGGAGATAGGCCAAGATTCCACGGCCCTGTGGTGGCTGCAAATTAAGGAAGGCTTCCCCGACAAACCCCACATTGGAGTAGAGGAGTATGGGAGCTCTCCTCATTACTTATTATCAGCAGCCCACCAGAAATTAAGAGAGGAAAAAGATTTATCTCGTCCAAATCTTCTCGTTTCTTCTCAATTATCCCTCTTCTTCATCCTCACACCTAAAATGGATGTTCCCGGCATCGCGTTGGTCACAGGCAGTGCCTCTGGTATTGGTCGTGCCTGTGCACTCGGACTGATTAGAGATGGAGTTTCTGGAATTGCCCTCCTAGACCTGAACCAACAAGCATTGGAGCAAATCAAGACCGAAATTGAAGCAAAGCAACAAGAACTCCGCCACACTCGCCCTGCCCGAGTCGAAATCTTCCCTACAGACGTCGGAAATGAAGCACGCGTGAATGAGGTCGTCGAGACCGTCGCAAGAACATTCGGACGTATTGACTACGTCGTAAATGCTGCTGGAGTTGCCATGAAACACCCCGGAGGCACAGCGTTTGTGGAAACCGCCGACTGGGACCGTATCCTGAACATCAACCTGAATGGCACATTCTTTATCCTCCGAGCTGCCGCCAAGATCATGCTGAAGCAAGAGCCTATCCGATCAACCATTGATGGTCGAGCTCTGTCGAGGGGCTCGATTGTCAACTTCTCCTCTATTCAGGGTGTGGTTGGAATCCCGTTGTCAACGGCCTACACAGTTTCGAAGCATGCCATTATTGGTCTCACAAGGACGGCCTCTGAGGACTATGCAAAGGATGGACTACGGATCAACGCAGTCTGCCCCGGTTATACAGAAACACCTCTGACTACGAAGTCTCCTCAGATCCTCCAGGCGATGATGGAGAGAATTGGGACAGCGGTGCCGATGGAGCGGATGGGCCGACCGGAGGAGATCGCAGATGGTGTGATTTACCTATGTGGTGGAAGGAGCTCCTTTGTGACTGGAACTGCCTTGATGGTGGATGGCGGATATACACAGCGCTAAAGATTCAATGTCAGATTGCTAGATTCGAATGATTAAATGACCGTGTCAAATTGAATATACTATCTTCACTTGGTTTTGCATTATTCTTAGACGCCCTGAGACATTTAGTAAAGGGAACGGAAGAGTATCAATATTTACCTGGAAATTAGCTCCGGTTTTTATTTTATTTTAAAAAATTATAGGGGTTAAATGCCTTTATAGTGTTGGCACCGCTTCCGGATGTGTGACCTCATCACCCGTCCAAAGCCGTCATCATCGACTACATTACTATGTTATGTGGAGGGAGGGCCAATGGTTCCGACCAATAGAGAAATACTTTTAAATAATCAATGGGGCCTCAAGCGATTTTGCAAATTTATAAGACGTGGGATAGTGATTGTCGTTTCACGATTCGCCCCGACAACGATGCGCAGTGCTAGAATTGGACCATTGACTTTTCTCAAAATCACCCGCCAACCATTATCCGTCCTACGAGTGCAAATGAGCCATACCGGGAGAAGTCCGGCTTCCACATTACTTAAAGCTTTGCAACGACCTGTTTCATCCCAAGCTAAGCAACGAATAAGCCCCGCACAGCACCAAAACAGTCATCCCCAAGGAATAAACCGATTATCGAAGGCCAATATGAGCAACCAACGGGTACCAATTGAACCACAGCGAGTCGACGCTCCTCTTACTCAGTCGGCAACGTTCCTGGTTGTGACTGCGACGAAGAAGCCAGATTCAATCAACACAATCCGTTCAACGCTTGCCGGTCTAGATAGTCTAGCGAAAAATGTCTCTATTCGAGACCTGAGTGCGCGATTCGCATGCACAGTCGGGATAGGCAGTGACATATGGGATGATCTCACAAGCCTCCCCCGTCCTGCAGAACTGCACTCTTTCCGTGAGGTGAAAGGCGAGAAGCATATCGCAGTCTCTACGCCTGGCGACTTGTTATTCCATATTCGTTCCGAGCGGCGGGATATCTGCTTCGAGTTCGAACGCCAATTGATGAACCAACTTGGCGATGCCGTCTCAGTAGTCGATGAGACAGTCGGCTTCCGATACTTCGACGTGCGTGATCTGTTGGGATTTGTTGACGGCACGGCAAATCCCGTCGGTCCATCGGTGCCAGCTTCCGTTCTAGTCGCCGGAGAAGATACATCTGCAGAAGGCGGAAGCTATATAGTTGTGCAAAAATATACACATGATCTGTCTGGATGGGGACACCTTTCTACCGAGCAGCAGGAGAAAATTATCGGTCGGACGAAGATTGATAATGTCGAGTTGGATGATGCTGAGTCCGGTCAGCGATCGCATAAGACGTTGAACACAATCGAATATGAAAATGGGGATGAGCATGACATTTTGCGCGATAATATGCCGTTTGGATCTCCAGGCTCTGCGGAATTTGGAACATACTTTATTGGGTATACTCGACGATTGTGGGTGATTGAGAAGATGCTGGAGCGAATGTTCGTCGGAGACCCGCCAGGATTGCACGATCGTATTCTGGATTTCTCGAAACCATTAACGGGGACAACATTTTTTGCCCCATCGGCAAGTTTCCTAGCGAATCTTGACTCGGAGTGAAAGTCTAGGGGCAGATGTCAATGAAGCTAGGGTGACGAGCAAAAGCTACTACTACCACTTGCCGATGCTTTTAGGGCGAAATACACGAAAAAGTAAATGGTAGAAGAAATTTATTTTCAATCAAAGAGCTATACAATATCTAAATTCTAGCAAGCACTTGTGGCTGGTCGGTCTTGAAGTTGAATCCCTTCCAACCCTTCTCCTTGCACTCGGCGCATCTGCGGCGGTACTCAGCTGCGTGGCCAGAGTACCTAGCAACACTGCGAACAGTCTTTCCTTTAATGTTTTTGTTCACACCGGTCATCCAGCTGTCAACCTCGTTGGACAAGGATCCTTTGCTGCATTCCACTACATGCTCTGTCCACTCCTCGACAGCTCTCTCTGTCGGCTCCACATATGTATAGTTGTTATCCTTGCAGTGTTGGAGAAGATCGGACACCACTGCAACGGCGTGCTCGATAGTCCGAGGAGCGTTTCCAAATGGCTGGTGAGGGCCGAGAACCATAAACATATTGGGCATGGAATTAGCCGTCAAACCGAGATAGGTGCGTGGTCGGTGGTCGACCCAAATAGCCTGAGAGCTTTGCTGGGAGTCGCTGCTACCGACAAGGGGTCGGCCATCCTTGGCGCGCCATTCGATAGCGCTAAAGGCACCGGTAATGGCATCAAATCCAGTCGCGTAAATAAGTACGTCGAGATCATGGTGTTTGCCATCATTGGTTCTGATGCCGGTTTCGGTGATGCTCTCAACAGGTGTCTGCTGCAAGTCCACGAGATGAACATTCGGTTTATTGTAGACATCAAAATACCCGCTTTCTAGAGGAACTCGCCGAGTGCCGAAGCCATGGTTCTTAGGGATCAGGCTGTCCGCAACCCTTGGGTCGTGCACACGTTGGCGGATCTTGTCTGCGATGAAATCCGAGTAGAGCTTGTTGGCTTGCCTGTCGGTGTATGTGTCGCTGAAAGCACCCAGCCACTTGGCGAAGCCTGGTTTGGCATATATCTCCTCCCAAAGAGCGTATCGCTCCTCCTTGGATACCTCCATTGATTTCCGAGGGTCAGCCTGGTGCATAAAGCACCCTGGGGTCTCGGCACAGAGCTGAAAGATATCATCATAGTTTTCCCAGTGTATCTTCATTTGCTCAAGACTGATTGACTCGTTTCGAAGAGGGGCGGACCAGTTTGCCGTTCTTTGAAAAACAGTCAACGATTTCACACTAGGCTCCTTAGAGACTGCTGTGATTGTTTGAATGCCCGTAGCGCCTGTTCCGATGACACCGATGCGCTTGTTGGCAAAGTCACGCGACATATTGAAATTCTTTGGCCACCGAGAAGTATGGAAAGATTCGCCTTTGAAGCTTTCGACACCAGGAATCGCCGGAAGCTGAGGCTTAGAGAGGAAGCCCATGCAACTAACGAAGAAGCGACATTGGTACTGAGCCCCAGTTTCATCGGTGAAGAGCCACTTTCGGCTATTTTCCTGCCAGTGGGCTGACTTGATGCTTGTTTGGAATTGGATATGCTTTGCGAGATCGTGCTTTTCGGAGATGCGCTCGACGTAGCGGAGGATTTCCGACGCGGGGGCAAACGACTCCTTCCAGTGCCATTCGTCGCGTAGCTCTTTGTCAAAGGAGAAGGCGTAAGACAAAGACTCCGAGTCAACGCGAGCACCAGGGTAGCGATTCCAGTACCAAGTTCCACCGACGCTTTCAGCGGCCTCTAGCACGCGAATGCGCCACGAAGGGAAGCGCTTTCGCAAGTGATAAAGACTGCAGACTCCAGAAAGACCGGCACCGATGATAATGACATCGTAGTTCTCGACGTTGGTGGAACCCATGGCGAAGACCTGATGGAATGATGGTTTGGGATTACTTTGGGAGTAGCTGATAGTAGTATCTGCTGTCTTTATAGACCACAGATACCAACGTTCCCGCCATGCTGTCGTACATGGCGGAGTAAAGGGTGGAGTCGGAAGATTGACAAGGATCGGCGAGACCTTCCTGGCGACTGGGCTAAAACTGCCCAGGTGTACATACTACTATGTACTATGTACTATGTACTGTAAATATCTCTTGCCAATCGCCTGCGCGGTCGTTCTTCCCCGCAGGTGTCCACTCCACGTGACGGCAAGACTTTCCTAAATCAACATCAATCGATAAGGAAGGTGATGTTAAGGTCACCTTCAGTCAGTCTACTTTCTATCTCATGGGATAGACGGGGAACCTTAGGAACCATGCGTCAACACCTCTTATCTGATAAGTGGTTTTTCCCGGTCGGGCTCCGGGGCAGATGGAAGAGGACGAGAGCGAAGCTATCTACCAAAAGGGGAACCCCAACCTGTGGATGCCTGAGGATGCTTGAGGCTGTGAATGCCCCAGGCATCACACCTCAACATCAGCAGCTCAGCTTATCTGGCTATGAACCTCCAGAGGCGCAACTACCAATGACCCAGGTGGAAATTTCGCATGAAAGGGTGCTTTTTCACAAATCCTCGTCACCACCCTTTCAACTAGCAGTTTGGTTTGGTTCCATATCAGTACAGATCAGTATTCTGACAATCTGTTGGAAATCCGCTCTTTTTCGATATTCACTATTCTGTCAACTGAACACCTTCTAGCCTTCGAGATACCCTGGAAGGAAGCGACGATCAAAGAAAATTTATTAGAGATCGCCAATTCTCTCTTTGGGGATCGGGAAAGATGTGAGCACCTGGGCACAGACCCATCACCCGGACAAAGCAGCCTTGGGAATGATATCCTGAACAGCCAGAACTGGCATAGTTACAATTTCGTTGGAAATATTTCATGAGTCTGAAACCAAAATCCAATTGAATAAAAAAAAAAAAACATGCCGCGGAAATTACCCCGCCAGCTTATAGTACGTAGAAAAGAGTGATACCCTGAAGAGTGCTCTTTCTCCTTGACAGACAGAATCTCAAAACCCACAAAGTTCACACCAGCTTATTCACATTCCTAATTAACCGAGATATCACCCCGGTCTGACCCTACTTCAAAGGGCCAGACAATCAAAGAGACGAAAAGCGATAAGTGTTACACATATTTTGATGAGTGGCTTTGTGACGCGAGTCAGCACTAGATTCAACCGGATTTGTGTTCCCATCGGTAGCTTCTTTTAGCCAAACAACCTTGGAAAGTCCTTGCATAATCCCAGGGCCGATATATTTGCCACATCACTCTTTATAAGCATGCTCTGCCGGCTCCTCGAGAAATTGAAAATATTATCTCAATATTGAGCATCGGAAAACACACCATACAGCTTGAAAGCATTTTGCTATAAAACTTAACAAACTCTCAATATCTTGTTTCAAAAAAGGCTTCAAAATGTCATCACTCGATAGCATACAGGCAGCTTTGGTAGGGGCAAACCCGAGCTTAAACGAACAGGAGAGAACCAAATTTGATGAGCGAAGGGATGTATTTGAGCTCATCAAATACATCGAATTGCCTTGGCCTGAAAACTGGCTTAGGTGCTGGGGCCACAAGGTTTTGGCCATGGATGATTCATGTATCGGAAGGCTTAGAACAATCGGACTTTGGCTCGAAATGTTGACCCGGAATTTGCCATTTCTTCCATCAACCACCAGAGATCATGTCAAAATGAAAGAAAGGTTCTTTACGACGATAATGAAATCCCTCGAAACTGGATCATTGACTCCCATCCGACAACGCCCGTGGTTGGATATACCGAGTCCGGCAAACCTTGCAGAGTTCAAGAAAGGACGGGACATCCAAAAGCTATATTCTTTATATTCTTCGGACATATTGTTTTCCTACGCCGGACTACACGATATTTGGCGAGAGAGAGAGGAGCAAATCAAGGACACGTGGAAGAACCTCGCCACAGAGGAACGAGAAAGATTGCTAAATACATGGGAGGGAATAAATCTTCGGCATAGAGAAGACTTTCTAGGCATTCTACAGCATGGCGCAGACCAAAAAGTCAGTCTCGCTGTGGCGAGGGCCAGGGACCCGCCAACACCCCTCCAGGATGGCAAATTAAGTTGGCCAAATATCAGCATAGAGGATTTGCAGAGAGGAGATGTCTTGCTTAAATTCATCGAGGCCCGAGCAACTATGGAGCCCTTCTATTATGTGTGGGAAGATGCCCAATCCGTCGCTCCCGGGCTTGCGATGCAGTGGATGGAGAAATTGCCGGCAGAGTACGTCATGGCTTTTCCACAGATTATGAATCCTCGTAATTACGGAGAAATGGTAAACATACATCTGTTGGCAGAAAAATGCTCGACGCTTAATCAAGAGGTGTTTGGAGGAAACACTCCAATTGAATTCCGCGGTAACCTAGAACGGCTTCTCTTTGGAAAAGATGCAGAAGAGGGGGTCTCTATGATGAAATCACAGGCACATGTGTACTTATTCCTGCATCATATGTGTCATTCAATTGTCGACTACGAACCATTGGGCCTACTGAGTGAAAGCGAGGGCGAGCAATCACAAAACAACGAGGATGAAGACCTGGACCCACTAGTTCGCTTACTCATGGAGCATGAGTATAGTCGTCCTGGCAGTGCTGATATGAATGCAATGTTGGATTTAATTTCAGCGAAGATCCGTGAAAGAGAAGACACAATAATGTCAATGAGAACAGACCCAGCTTTCTTTGAGACTCTTCTTGGGCAGACTGAAGACCTCCATCCAGAAAAGGTCTGGGTTTCTGGCAAGGGCCATAATAAGATGAACAGTGATGCTCACGAAAGACTCCTTAGAGAGAGCATAAGGCCTATGTTTTTTCGGGTACTTGGTGATTATACGGCATGGAGTGAGATACACAGTCGCTTTCTGGACGTGAGGAATATTATGGAAATCTATTCAGAGCAACTAAAAAACAGCAAAGGCCGACCAGAGGAGCTAATTCCTACTTCTGTCAGGGATCGCTGTAGGGAACTGATAGGTATACTCGAATATCAAATGATTCAAGGATTAGAAAGCTTTGCTCAGGACCTCGCCGCATGTCCGCTCTATCGTCATGCATTCACTCGAAGCAAGTCCAAGAATAATGTAACTGGCAGGTTTGACATTCATTTACGTGCCACGACATGGGGGGGATAAGAAAACATTGGATACCCTTCTACTGATAGCCCACCACCTACTCGGCGACAAGGAGACCTCCACCGAGACGCACGCACTCAAAAGGCTGTGGGGTCTGACCATAAAAGAGATAATCTGGTACTTTAAAATAATGGAAGAGCGGACTGAAAAGAAGATGGCAGCGAAAATATCTCCTCTTTTGAGAGGGAGGCTGTCTTATCTCTCGGTTTTGGGAGCCTGTTGGGTTCAGATCTATCAATTCCAGCCCTGGGCCACAAATTTCGATTTCAGGTTAGCGGATGGCCCAGGGGTCCCGGGGTGAGGAAATCGATCATGCGAAAGAGAAAATCGCAGCCATTGAAAGATCTTTGGAGCAGGTTCCACTGGAAGCCATTGCAGGCGACTTTGGTTTTGGCGGTTTAGCTAAATTATTTGACGGTGAACCAACAGAGGCCAACACCCAAGAGCGCCAAAAGGCCGAGGCAGAGCTCGAGAAGATCTGGAATGCCGTGGACCAGTCTCTGAAGAAGACTGACATTTTGACTTCGCTGCGGGAAATTCTTGATCGAGAAAAAGACAGGACACCCAATTGGCCAACTCTATCTCCACGCACATCGCCAACAGCAGGTCCATCGTCTCAGATAGCACCAACTGGAACAGGGAAATCACGACCAGGCAAGCGTCCTTCTGATGAAGCTCATCTAGATGATGTCTCAGATGATGAATTGGAACCCCCTGGGAAAGGTAAAGGGAAAGAGAAAGAAAAAGAAAGACGCAAGGGCAAGGCAACAGACGAGCCCAGAAAGAAGGTTAAAACGCGACCGGAACATCCACCAAAGGCGTATCAGGCACCACAGAAGCCGGAGGAACCAGAAGAAAAACCAACTCGACAATTCTCAATGCCTAAAAGGGATATAAGCACGTTGAAATACTTGTTTTTCGAACGTGGTGTACGGGTCGCTCGTGGTGGAGTGGATTGGACTGATTTTAAGCATGCGATGGGTAGTCTCGGCTTCAGACTCACGTCTTTGACTGGGTCAGCGCATGCCTTAAAGCCACCAAAGGAGTGGAGGATGAAGACTATAATTGTCCACTCTCCCCACCCAAGTACCAGTCTCAGTTTCAGAGAGGCTCGTGACGTTGGCAAGCGTTTAACCAATAATTATGGGTTAACGGCAAAAAGCTTCATCGCAAGGGGCTTATAATTGTGAGAAGTTACGGCAAAAGGTTCGAGGGCCCCGTAGCTTAACTCCTTATATTGAAACTACTATTCTATGTTGTTCTTTTCTCTTTTCATGTTGTTGATTTCCTAGTCCCGTTTTTGTTTTTTTCTTTTTCATGATCTCTGTTATTTGGGTAGTTAGTTATAGTAGTCCCTTTTGTTTGTTCCCTCCTCCGTTATGATGGGTATCTTATTCTATTTACTATCAATCGTACCCTGAGGTTCTAATACTTTGCGAGTCCTTCTTTCTGACCTCACAATTCATGTCCTAATATCCCAACGGTAAAAGAGAGATTTTTGTCCTTGAAACTATCATAGTTCTTGATATGTGCAGCCTCAGGGATCCTAGATCGTACTTCTGTTGTTTTTGGGCTCTCTCCTAGGTATTCCAGTAATTCGTTCGTATCCAACGCCCTTCTTGGTTCTAAGGCCATTTGATAATATGGGAAACCGAGTATATCAATGACCTTGTGAGATTTTGCAGTCATGTATGCGATTCAATCAATTGGGCCTGGTCGGGAACGAATGATGACAGATACAAGGTAATATTTAAAGAATCTCGGACCCAGGAACTATGGAGCGCCGTAGCTGGGAATTGAATTTCGTGATATCAGAAATCAGGGAATCTACGTACGGCAGCCGATAGCCGCCATGTTGCAATAATTAGTAATTCACCCTACCGCTCACCTGGCCTAGGTGATTACCTTAACCTGGACACTCTTTTATTTACAAGTGCGGTCGCGCTCAAAAGGATTCTTATGAACAAGCAATACAGTTACAGTATAACTAATGCTTCCTGTATACAGAAGGTACGTAGCCGAGCGCTTATCTTTTGTATACAAAAGGCTAGCCTAGTAGCTACCGAGCACTACTCTTTATATTAAAAAGTAAGCGGGTGATAACCACCGAATACTAATTTATCGTATACAAAAAGCGAGCAGATGATAGCCGCTGAGCGCTACTTTTTGTATCCAAAACCGATTATGACGGCTACTGAGTAGATCTACCCGTGTGAATACAGTACACCCTATAATTCCATAATTATTGCAACATGGCGGCTATCGGCTGCCGTATCTACGGCACAAGTTTATTTGAGATGGGCTCATCAGGCTGAGCTTCTGTTTTATTCGATGGTAGGTGGTATATTTAGCGTCGTTTCACGTAACACATGGGTCCATTAAAACGGAAAGAGAAACGGATCCACCCCGGATTGGCCATCTGTCAAATATTCCGCGGTCCATGGTGCGATGCCTCCGTCTAGTATGTCCATGACGGCTAAATCGCCCGGGTCCCAAGTTCCACCAAGGCCAGCGGCCATGGGAACTAAGTTCGCCATTGCTAGTGATGGGTCTTCCCTATGTTGTGGCAGGTAGAAATTCTCCATACCCTGGTAAATATTTGAACTAGGAATTTCGTTGAGCGTCTGGCCTGAAGTTGGAGAAGGGATGTGTGGAACATCGACTCTTGACTGATCACGATGACGAGTCCGGCCAAGGCGTGAGCGTGTCGCCGCGGGTGATGCAGTGTTTTGAGTAGATGGGGAATTTGATGCAGACGATTGTACGCCTTTCTCGTGCAGGGCTGTTCGTGCCATTCGGTAGATAGCAAGTGGATTTAGCACGTTTTCTGGGGATTCTTGCATTGGGGATCCTTGAGCGGAGGGTCTGAAGAGTGCAAGTTAGCAAAGAATATTTGGAAAGCTGGAGCTCAACATACGCTGCCTCGGTTTCGTTGGGAGCTCGGGGAGCAGAAATAGCACCGTGAGACATCTGGGGCTGAATGCCAGCAGCAATCATCATCTTAAGGACAGACAAGTACTGACAATTATGTGATTAGCAGATTGTTTTAGAGGTGCAGTGTGTACCTCTGGGCCATTTAGCTTACACAATGTTCTGCAGTTGCAACCATAGGTCTCATTTGTAGTAGTCCTTCAAGGTTTCGTTGTGCCAAGGCTATTGTGTTGTCGACTTCTCTCTGGTCTAGTGTGCGTGAGCGTTCGTTTAGCTTCAAGTAGTAAAGCATGACCTTGGTGCTGTCATGGGCAATTATGCAGAGCCAAGTATCCGCAAGCACCTTAATTCCGTGTCTGAATGCCTCAGATAGGATGGTAGACACCTCCCGGGCATTATCAAAGCAAGCTCTGCGGCAATTGTCCAGAAACTCTTGTTGTTCAGGAGGAAAATCGATGTCTTTCTGTATTCGGAACAGAATTGGCATTCCGATACGGTATAGATCAACCAATGTTTGATGAAAAGTGCACCAGAGTAGTGTCAACGCGCCAAGTTGAGATGATTCTTTGCGAGCATATATGGCGCCCGGACTCCACGTCAGGCTCTGCGGGAGTGACCGGCGCCATGCGTCAAATTCGGCTGACAGCAATAGAAATTCGGAGCGAGGTTGCCAGGGGGGCTCCGAGGTATCCAGATGCTTGACATATCTAGGATTAAATCAGCTATCAGTTCATAGCATCAGGGATTATGAAAAAGAAGCTCACCGCAATACCTTCTTCCGACTGCTCACAAGACGAATGAAGTATGACTCTATTCCCATATTTTGAGACGGGTCTGGAGGAATCTGATTCTCGGAAACGAAGTTTAAGACTTTGCCAGCATCGAGCGTTTCTGTGATGCAAGGGACACCCAGGATAAAGTTATGACTGTGGCATGGTAGCTGGATTTTGACATCTCGATCTTCCAGTAGAGTGAGTTGATTAACGCCACTGCCTACCCAACTGTCCATGACATAACAACTCCACATTAAACGACGTCGTGCTTCGTTGACGACAGGTGATGAGTCTGACTTTGAACAAAGCACGTCGGCCGAGCTTTCCAGATTTAATTGTAATGCTTGTGACATTCGGGCGGTCATCCCGCTGAGCATGAATGCGCTCGCATAGCTTCCGATTCGAAGATCGTGGTCATAGAGAAGAATTGCTGTCTGCAAAGTTTCGGGTTTGAAGTATTAGTTTGACGTCTTTCATAAAGAATCTCCTTTAAGTATATGGAGATACTGACCATCAACTTTTCAATGGAAAGGTCATCTAGGTCGACAAATATTCGAGCTTTGGCGATCTTGGCCCATTGATTTCCGGCGGTCAGCATTAGCTCAGGAGACAATTGAGGCGCATAATTCAAAGCAATAAATCTGTTAAGTTGGTTAAATCGGGCATCTTGGTGCAGGTTCTGCGACAACGTACTTCGCACCAAGCGCACATATCACGTGGAGCAATGATTCTTCGTCACGGAACGATCCAACATCCTCATCTATTCGTTGCATGAATGAAGGCTTATGCACAAATCCAAAACACCGCAGTGGATGGATGTGAGAGAAGTATTCTTCGATCAAGGCCCAAAGTTTGTTACCGTCGGGAAGTTCCGGGGTATAAAGCCTTTTGGATGTCAGTCATGGCGCCAGTAGTGTGATTATTTCCAAAGCGAAGAATTACCAAGACCAAGGGGTTTCGGCTGAGCTCTCGGAGCCATGAGTAAGATTTGACGCCGAAGATAAGGTATTTCCCGCGAGTTGTCCAGTAGAATTGGCCGCCGCTTGATCATCCCGTTGTTCCGAGCCCATAGACCTGTTCCCCTTGAGATCGCGCGGTTTTGCTCGGGATGATAAATGCAATCCACGCCCTTACGAGAGCAACGGTCACAACAAGTACCACCTGTACACCTTGATTTTGCATAGCGACAAGGTAAGCAGGACTTGGCTACCCGTTGCCGCACTGTTCCGGCCTGAGTGAATTCGGCATCACGGATCGATGCTTTACGAGTCCCTGGGTGGGATTGGTGGCCTCGACCAGGTGGCCCAGGGCAATCTAGCTTCAGACGCTCGCAATGTAGACAAACCGGCCATCTCTCGTCACATTTTACCTTTCTGGCACGGCAGAGTGTACATCCTATGAAACAAGATTAGAACGGATAGAACTATACTCTAGAGGCTGGACCATGTGGCATCCACCAATGACAAACCTGATCGAGACCTTCGAGGACCAGCAGCACTCGTCTCCTGCAAGGAAGGATTCGGACTGTCATCTCCACTTGGCGACATGATTTGTCCGGGGAATGCAGAGAAGAATGCAAGAAGAAGCGGCTCTCGCACGGCAGTCGGCTACACCCAGGGCGGTGGGGCCCGGCAGATTCGGCCTCGTATCGCCACGGCAAGCTTTGGAACGCCTCTTTTTTTTCTTCACTAAAAAAAAGTGGAATGTCCGATCGCCCATAGCTTGTGGAGTTTGCGCCTTGGATGGCACCATCCGCCATTCAGTTGACGAACGGGCTGTGACAAGTGCAAAATACGACCCTCAGTCGGTTGCCGGCCCTCGTCGGATGTCGGCTACAGATCTTCTGCCATTCGTCTTTTAGCTTGCACTTCTTGCTGAGTTCGAGATCGGGTGGAGTACATAAAAATCCGGGGCCCCGGACATACAACTTGCTTTGTTTGTTCAGCATTTCACCAGCTTCCTTTTTTTGTTTCTCTCTGACTGGAAGAATTCATCCCTGTTCACCATGGGCAAGCTTCCGAGCTTCAGCAATGTCTACTTGATCAGTGGACTGACAACCATCGGAGGCCTTATTCAGGGCTTCGATGTGTCGAGTATGTCTGCTATCATTGGTACCAATCAGTATAAGGAGTACTTCCATAAACCTAATGCAGTCTTGCAGGGTGGAATTACTGCAAGTATGGCAGGTGGTTCTTTACTCGGCTCATTGGTTTCCTCGTGGACCAGTGATCGTTTTGGCCGCCGTGATTCTCTGTTTATCGCGTGCATCATCTGGTTGATTGGGTCTACGCTGATGTGTGCTGTTCAAAATGTGCCTATGTTGATTGTTGCCCGGATCATCAATGGCTTCTCTGTCGGCATGCTCACTAGTCAAGGGTAAACATAGTTGCCCCCGCCGTACAAACCATCTTGAATTCGCCACTGACGCACTTTCGAATAGTCCTATCCTGATAGCTGAAATCAGCCTTCCTCACCAACGAGGCCGTCTCCTTTCTTTGCAACAATGGATGATTACTTGGGGTGTAGGTTATCACATCGACTCCGGCCTTTGTATCCGATGCTGACCGTCGCCAGATCATGATAATGTACTTTATCAGCTACGGCGCATCTTTCATGGGAAATAATGGTGTATTCCGTCTGCCCTGGGCTATTCAGATGCTGCCAGCAATCCTGCTGCTATTTTGCCTTCCCTTGATGCCGCGGTCCCCTCGTTGGTTAGCGGCACAAGATCGTTGGGAGGAAGCAGTCGAGGTTCTTGCGAGGCTACACGCCAAGGGCAATACTTCGGACCCTATCGTCATCGCACAAACTACCGAGATTCGGGAGAAGATTGAGTAAGTCCTTCCTTTTCCCTCTTGCATAGCGTTTTCAGCACTGATTGGTTTTCTCTCATAGGGCGGAAAATAAATACCAGAGCACGTCGTGGATGGAGCTGTTCAACTCTCGCAACATCATTCGTGTTCACTGTGGAATTTTCACTCACGTATGGTCCCAATTGTCCGGAACCAACGCTCTGATGTATTACATTGTGTATATATTCCAGGTAAGTTCAAAAAACTCCCCAAATTTTGAATCGACGCTAATAAAGACAAGATGGCTGGTTTATCTGGAAACAACACTCTCGTCTCCGCCTCTATCCAGTATATTATTAACGTTGTCATGACCCTACCGGCTCTGATCTTCATCGATAAGCTTCCTCGCCGCCAGCTGTTTATCTTTGGGGCCCTTGGTATGGCTGTCTTTCAGTTCACACAGGCCGGTATCATGGCCACCTATGGTCACTATGTTCCAGGTGGCTTGCCTGGGTCGCCTACTGTCACCTGGAAAGTTACGAACCCGAAAGCTTCGAAGGCGCTCATTGCTTGTTCATACTTGTTCATCGCAACATATGCGCCCACATGGGGGTGAGTCATCTCCACCAATGTTTCCAATATCGCACAAGCTAACAGATATCAACTCTAGTCCACTCGGGTGGTTCGTGAATCTCAAGACAAAGTCCCCCGTATTCTTATCTCAATTACTGACCAATCTCAATATAGGGCTTACCCTCCGGAAATCATTCCCCTCTACATCCGTAGCAAGGCTGTCTCCCTTTCCACCTTTTTCAACTGGGGATGCAACTTCGCCCTCACATTTTTCACCCCGCCTGGGTTTCAAAACATCCAGTGGAAGGTAATTTCGCCCCACGGCTCGTCTATTCTCATGACATCTCTGACAACGCGCAGCTGTATTGTATCTTCGGCACTTTCTGCCTTCTCGCCGCCCTGCACGTCTTCTTCCTTTTCCAGGAAACATGCGGCAAGTCTTTGGAAGAAATTGACGACGTTTTCAACAATCAGAGCATCTGGGCCTTCAAGGCTAAGAAGGAGCCTAGTCGGTTTGTCACTGATATTGAGCAAGCGAAGGAAGATCTTGATGCCGGGAAGATCGATATTAATCATGTCGAGGCTGAGAAGTCTTCAACTGTATAATAGGTCCATTTAATTTGATCCTTTCAAACCGAAAATACTGCAACTAGTATTTAATAATCACAAATTTCTTTTTAATCGAACATTTCAAGGTCCTAGCCGAGTTATCACTGCACTAGTCCTTGAGTCAGTAGATAACTGATGTATCTTTCCCACTGGCATGAATAATGTGCATTTGGGTATTCAGAAACGGTACAACATAAAGTACACGGGTTTTATCACTAAGTCAAACCTCTTTTCCATGAGTTAATCAACTTGAAACATAAATGGCTCTTACTCCGTCTCGACATCTCACTTTGGAGTTTGCGCAAAGAGGGTCCGAATCTATGAGTCTTTCGGTATCCACTGGGATGTCCCGGCCGCAACAGTCATCTGTCTACCACCGCGCCACTCGAAGCAACCATTCGGTGCCACATGTTTCCACAATTATTGACTAAGATTATATCGCGAAATAAGGTCACAAGATGGCGCAAAGCATAATCAACCCCACAAAACGCCCCAACACCCGACATCCGAAGCGACATCCATGCCTGTCCCAAGTGCGTCTGTATAGCCGACACCCGGCAGCACCAGCATCATAGATAAGAAACGTCGCGCAGAAGCCCAGTCTATAATTCTAGCTCAAGATCAATCACATATAACACGTGTGATTGGCCTCTTGCAAGAAAACTCATCAATTTCATTCAGAGCACACCATTCCCACCAAGATGGCGAAGCAAAATATACTCCTCATGGTCGCCGACGATCTAGGCAAGCAACTGGGCTGCTATGGAAACACCAAGATCCAAACGCCCAACCTGGACCAACTCGCCGCTGAAGGAACAAGATTTGACCAGGCGTATACCAGTACCGCCTCCTGCAGCGCCAGTCGCTCGGTCATTTACACCGGACTGCACACCCACCAGAATGGCCAGTATGGACTGCACAATGGTAGACATCACTTCACGACTTTCGACCATGTGGAAACGGCACCAGCCCTGTTCTCTCAGCATGGTTATACAACCGGTCTAATCGGCAAGGTCCACGTCGGTCCATCATCCGTCTATCCATGGGATATGCGCGCGGAGAGTGACAGCCGGGATGTCGCCAAAGTAGCAGACCAAGCCTCGGCCTTCTTCCAAGACTGCAAGAAGGACGAGAAACCTTTCTTCCTAACGATCGGATACATCGACCCGCACCGAGACCTCACACGTTCTGGCTTCGGTAATATGGAAGACTATGACCCGCGCGTGAAGAAAACCCCCTACAAGAGTGAAGACGTCGCCGTCGAACCATTCGTGAACGACCTTCCGGGCGTCCGATTCGAGTTCGCAGAGTACTACCAGTCCATTTCACGACTGGACCAAGGCGTGGGCATGGTCCTGGACGAACTGAAAAAGAACGGCTTAACAGACGACACGCTGATCATCTTTATGAGCGATAATGGGCCTCCATTCATCAATTCCAAAACAACCCTCTACGACGCAGGCGTTTGTCTCCCCTGTTAATGAAATGTCCCGGATCACCACCCTCGATTCAAAACCCAAATATGGTCTCCTACGTCGATATCCTACCAACTCTACTAGACTGGTCTTCGCACCCGTCAGCACCAACAAAGTCCACTCCCCACCCAACTCGAGTAGGCCGCTCCCTCCTGCCCATCCTATCGCAGTCCTCACTCCAAGATTCCTGGAAGCGAGTCTTCGGCTCCCACACCTTCCACGAAATAACAAACTACTGGCCAACACGCTTCATGCGCAATGACCGATTCAAATACCACCGCAATATCGCCTGGCGATTGGATTTCCCCTTCGCGGCTGATATATACGGCTCGTTGACTTGGGAGGATATTCGCAATTCAGACACCAAAATGATTGGATCTCGGCCTTTGAAGGATTATTTCTTTCGTCCTGCGGAGGAATTGTATGATGTGATTGCTGATCCGCATGAGGTGCGGAATCTTGCTCAGGATCCGGAGTATGCGGGTGTTTTGGAAGATATGCGGGTGCAGGTTGAGGCGTGGCAGCGGAGGACGGAGGATCCTTGGTTGTATCGGGATGGGGTGTCGATCTTGCTTGTTAGACATCATTTTGAGGGCGGACTTGAGGTTCCAGATCGGTTTGATTTTGATGAGAATTCGCCGCGGGGGAAGGGGCTGGGTAAGTTTGATGAGAAGGTTGCTTGGGGGGGCTGAAGTTCAGAAGTACTAGTAAGGTCCGACTTGAAGGTTCTTCCCAGTCAAAGGGGGATCTGGGAGTCATTGTGTATACATTTATATGGTTTTGTCCAGTGGGGGATTCCAAGATAGTTGACAAGATAAGTATAAAACAGAGATGAGAGTACCAAGCCCGAACATGAACATGAACATGCAAACGCCAAACTCAGATATAAACAAAGCCATGCAAGAACAGAGATGGCCAAAAAAATAATCAAAAAATCTTCATCCATCATCTCCGTCAAAATGTCGTTTCTTCAGACGTTATGTAAATTTCCAATGCTATAACACCAATCCAATGGTACAGTGCAAGGAGTATACCATGATACACTGAGGGGAGTTAAATGAAGCTCATCACACTTCACCCCACGCCCCAAGTCCAGCTCCAACCCCAATCCCAATCGCACTGCCACTATCCACGCTTCCACCAATATCCCAGTAGTTCCGGCTAGACCCGGTCAGCGTGCGCCGACTGGATAAAGCAGAGAGTTTGGCACTCTGGCTAGCACAGCTGGAACTCGGCCTCCTCATATGCGGGCGAAGAAGAGGCGACGAGACACCCGCAGGCCCAGAGATACCGGAATACTGAGATGCACGGCGCGGCTGATTTTGAGAGCGTGAGTGTGCGCGAGCCACGAGCGGGTGATGTTGGCGGATCATTGCAGCGCGACGGGAGGCGTCTTGCGTGTGGCGGGGAGGTTGAGTGGGCGTGTACTTGTCACTTGGCATGTAGCCGCGACGACTAAAGCGGGTGCGAAGGTAGCGGAAGACCATCATGACATCCAGGCCGCGCTCCCAGTACTCTTGTTCCTGGTGGATGCGGGTTGATTCGGAGACGGGGTCTGCGCCTGGACCTGCTGGGTCGTCGTCTTCGATTCCCCAGTGTGCTTCGTGCTCGCGGTTTGCGTCGCGGAGTGTCGGGATAAAGTGCGGCGAGGGCATGGAGTCTGCTGTGGTGGGTTCGGTGGAAAGTTGAACGGTGGACTGGGTGTTTCGTTGGGCGGAGCTGCTCTCGGCGAGCCTATCTAGTGACATGCCTGCATATTCACTGGAGATGCTCTTCGTCATTTGGTAATAGCTTGTGAATGCGCCCGGGTGCTCGCAGAGCTGGTGGACTAGCATACCCAGCTCGCGGGTGATGCGTTGCAAGACATGGCTCTGCCAGAGAGGGGAGTCTGCGTGCTCCGGTTCTGCCTCACGAGCCAGCACAGTTTCCATATCCAGCTCTTCTGAGTGTTTGGAGGAGGCTTGGTCGTCTTGCGGTAGGGATTCTCCAAATATGACGCTCAATAGCTCATCATCGATACCGATGAGGTCTCGAATGACTCTTCTAGTGATGCGACGCCAGAACGACTCGTCCATTTCCTTGATATCCTTGATATCACTGACCTCCTCATCTGCCTGAGATGAGGCGATCACCTCCGAATGGGCCTCCACGATTCGCGCAGGTGAGAGATCCTCCACGGACCTCGGAATGCTAAATTGCGAGGCCCGGCTGCCCCGGCGTCGACGTGTCTCCCGCTGAATCTCCTGTAGCAGGGCCCGACTCTGATCCATCCGCCACTGCTCGATGCGCTGCCATCGATCGCGCTCGACATCCGCTTCCCCTTCATCGACAGTATCGAGGTGTCGCTGAACACTGGAATGACGACGATGACGAGAGAAGGACTGTCGTCGGTGTGGATTATACTGCTCATGCTGCCACAGTTGGTCTTGGGCTAACTGGCTCGAAGCCTGGAAGCTCCCCAGACCATCATGGGCCGGGAGGAGAGCTGGCTGCCCTTGATCCACCCGTGCGGGGGGTGTGGGGGACAAAGATGGGGCGCGGAAAGCATGCAGCCCATCGTCCAAGCTGTCCAGCTCCGTACCATCCTCGTCGAGCTGGTCATCTAGTGCTTCAGCTCCCTCGGCATCAATCTCTGGACCGGCAGCGGATTGTGTTGCAGTGCCCAGGGAGTCGAAGTCACTTAGATGTGTGCGTGTTCTATCTGTGGAAGTCGTGTGCGTACGAGCGGTCGGGGAGAAGAGAACCCATTGTGCTGTATCTTCCTCTTGCTGCTCTGTTGGGGAGGGAGGGATATCAAGGGGAGACGGGCGCTGGGGAGTCGAGTAGGAAGTCCGTCGTCGCGGCGCCTGCGCTGGAACGCGGAAGGCCATGGTGATCGATATGGAGGATCCGGGCTTTAGGGCCAGATAAGCGGACTAGTTGAATCAAGGAGAATGACGTGGGAGATCCCCGCTATGAAAGACCGCACGGGCGGTCAGAAGCGGAGGATCAGTCAAGTAGAAGGGGGAATGTGTTGAATGAGTTGGGCAGAGAGAAGGGGTAAAGGTAAAGGTAAAGGGTTGGGACAATATGGAAGTACAAGGAAACAGGGGAGGAGGGAAATAAACTTGTAAGGTTGGTGGATGATGCGTTGATAAAGTGAAAGTCGAAGAGTGGAGGCTTTCCTAAGGTTGCCCGTGTGGAGTCCCGGATGATGCAAGATGCGGTATCGGACCACTCCAGTATAACAGGGTACAACTGTCGAGAAAAGATTCAAGTTGGGCTGTTTACAGTGCTTAAGGGGGAAATCAACGAAAAGATATCATCATCTCAGCCTGATAACGCGAGGAACACTCCTGGCCAATGTGACTGCTCGCGTGTGATGGCCTCGCTGCCCTGCGCACCACCCCAATTGGGACTAGACAAGTCTGACGTGGAGAGATTGTGGCGACGGATCGACCAAGTATGTCGATCGTTTCATCCTGACCGACGTTGACCGACGTTGACCGACGTTTGCCTCCTGTTGGGGCTGGAGGGGGATGCAAGGTGGTCTACGCTCAGATACCAGGAACAAACAGGAACAGGAAGAGGCTGAGGTAAGGTATCGTCTACGGCTATAATGTGTAGATTCGATAGAATACAGGCACTCGCTCACTTATCGGGGTATATACTGCTACTCCTCCTATCGACAACTCGACCAAAGTGGTCTGACCATGGACTTTAACCACTGGCAGCCAAGGCCTCCCCAACCCAATCCATCTGCACGGCGCTAACTCCGCGTGCGTAGGTGCGATTTGTAAATACAAACTCGTTATACATAATCGCCTCAACCTTCTTGCCAAATAGTACACTAGACGGGTGGATTGCAACGGTCTGGTTGCCAACCACTGTCCGGTAGCTGCCATCCGGCACTAGACGAGCGGTGTTGGTTGCAAAGCCACCAAGGAAGCTTTGCAGGATGAGAATCGGCGAGGGGTCCGGGAAGTGGTCATTTCTTTGGTCGGCCGGCAGCATTTTAGCCTGTCGGCATTGCGTGCGCAGTTGCTTGCGGACGTCCTAAGTGAAGCGGGCGGGTTAGCGTCGACCCTTTCCTCTCGAATCAACAAATGACACAGAATGAATACATACCATGACAGACTGCATCGCCCGATGCGAGACCAGATGCCGCTCTGCCCACGCTTTCCGATCAGCGTTCTCGGCTGCGTAGGCACGCACCGTCGCTAACATTGTCAGATGATCACCCTCGCGTCGGTAAAGATCGCGTCGGGCCGTCTCGGCGGCTTCCTTCTTTTCTTCCGAGTTGGCGTTTAGGAAGATATTCTCCACACTAAGACATGAGATGATGTCGATGACATCTGTCAGGCAATCGCCGCCATGTTCCGCTGCCGCGAGAAGTACACGTCCCAGCGTTGGTGTCAGCGGCAACTTGGCGATGTGTTGGCCAATCTTGCTAATCGAGCCAGTGTCATCAAGGGCTTGGATATTGAGAAGTTGGAGGAGAGCTTTCTCAAGTGTCTCGCGTGGTGGGCGAGTGAGAAAGGGGAACCGGACAATGTCGTCGACGCCTCGCGCTTTCATGTTCAGGAGTGCCTGGCTCAGATCGCATCGCAGGATCTCGGGGGTATTGGTCTCGTCGAGGGTCAGATAGTCCTTTTCAGTATATAGACGGAAACACTGGCCGGCGGCTTCACGACCCGCACGACCCTTTCGCTGAATGGCCGCGGATTTGGAGATCGGCTTCACCAGCAAGGAATCCAGTCCCAGTCGCGACCGGAATTGCTTCACCTTTGCCTTTCCGCAATCCACCACAAATCGCACCCCCGAAACAGTGACGGACGTCTCAGCGATGTTAGTCGAGAGCACAATCTTTCGTGTGCGAGGTGGTGCGGGCATGAACACTCGCTGTTGAGCAGCTTGGGGGAGAGCTGCAAAGAGTGGAAGGACCAGGATCTTGGGTAGACCCGGATCCATGCCAATGGCGTATTCATTGACCAAATGTTCGAGGGCCTCGACGGTCTCTTGACCAGTCAGGAAGACCAGAATATCACCAGGCATGGGCTCCTTGTAATGGATCTGGAAGATCACCTTGAGAGCGGCGTCCACGAAATCATGCACGGGCTCGGGAGAGTAGATTGTTTTGACGGGAAATTGGCGACCCTTGATATGGCAAACCGAGATATCTTTGACCTTCTCGTCTTCCTTCTCAGCCTTCGCGGACCCGTTCTGTATGCGCTTTTGTTCCTCCACTTCCAGCTTGAATCCTTCTTGGAAGAAGCCCTGGAGACTTTCCATATCTGCCGTAGCACTCATAACCACCACCTTGAGCGGCACACCACCTCTGCCCTCTTTGTTTCCGGATACCAAATTGCGCAAAAATCCCGTCACCAGATCCACATTCACACCTCGTTCGTGGACCTCGTCAACCACGATCGCGCTGTACTTAGTGAGCCACGGGTCGTGGAGCATCTCCTGTAGCAGCATTCCCTCCGTCAAAAACTTGACCCGAAGTACTCGGCGAAGTCGACGTATCGAATCGTACCGAGTATCCAACCTTACTCGCCGGCGACGAAGAACCCAGCGGTGTCCCCATTTCCTCGGCCACACGGCGGGCAAGCGTGATGGCAGCGACTCGACGAGGCTGCGTGATAGCGATACAGCCACCAACCTTAACCAATTTCTCCGAGCCATCCTTCTTTGTAATTTTCGTATCGGTCGGTCGACACCAGAATTCATTGACCAAGAACTGCGGGATCTGCGTACTCTTTCCGCTACCCGTTTCACCGACCAGCAGCATCACATCTTGATCCCGGAGCTTCTGCCGTATCTCGTCGGCATGGCCGAAAATGGGGAGTTTCTTGCGTTGTTCGTAAAGGTTATTTGCCTTCTCGCGGAGGGAGGAGAAATTCGTCTTGGAATCTAAGGTCTTGGGTTTGGACTGGTATGTTGATTTGGGCTTTTGTTGGGATTTGCTGAGTGTTTGTTGCTGGACTATTTCGCCGTTGCGTTCCGCTGGCTCTGGTACGACCTTCTCAACCACTGGTGAGGGGGCTTTAACGGGTTCTTTGTGAATTGGTTCATGGTTGCGCGGTGGTTGTTCCTCGTCGGCGGGTTGGTCGCGCTTCCGCTTGCTGCGTTTTTTCTTCCGGCCGGCCTCCTCGGGCGCGGGGTCGGGAACAGCCTTTGAGACCTGCTGGGCAGGCTCGTTTTCGGCGTCGCCGAAGTACGTCTTCAGCCGCTCCGGCATTGTGGGTGTGAATAATTGGCAAAGGTTCAAGTTGGAGGCTGCGATCCCATCGAAAAATCCAAATTTCCGTTGTTATCGATAAGGAAGGCTTGGCACCCGGACCCATGGAAATTATTGTGGAGCGCCCCAGGGCGGCCATAAACTTAGTACTATAGTGTACAGTATTACCAGCAACGAAAATATAGATCAATAATAATAAATATGCGTCCTCAAGAACAACACGATCAAATGGCACTATATTAGGGTGGGATGGCAGACTTTTCAGAAGTTTGAGTTCATCCCAGGCCATCTTTAGCCTTAAAGGCTTGTCCAAAAGGTTGAATTTAAAGGCAACCTTCTGAGGAATCCCGGATTCATATTCATATGATGAGAGATCAACACCTGGTCCAAGCGGATCGAGCTCATGAAGTTTAGAGTATTGGATCGTGCCGTAATTGGCAAGTGATCCAGCAGCGGACAAGGGGATATATGCAAAACATGGAGTATCATCCTCTTCAGGGTCAGTCGAGACTCCAACAAGGAGTCCATCTTCGTCAACGGTAACTGCACGAACTTCTGGCGACAGGTAATCCGCGAATTGTGCCAGAATCGGGACCTCTATATCCTCATCCGGGGGAAATTAGCTTGGCGGTGCCCTTGACCTTAACCATGCAGAGTCGATCCCAATCCCAGACATTACAGTGTGCTCCGGTCAAGGGGTTTTCTCTCGGGCCGAAGTATCATTGGCCCTCGGAGTAGAATCTGTCTTGTGGTTTCATCACAGTGAATGGAAACTGAAACTTCCAAAGGTTGAAAGGGTGTTTTGTAATATCTTGCATCAAGCTCGACAATATACAAACTTAGTAACTTCAACCCAGATTCACAAATGATCTTGACGTTGTGGACGTGAAGGATAATTTCCAATCTTGGAAGGTTTTGTCCCCCTGAGCAGATATATACCTAGGTATTGATACTATATGATCACGTGAGAGTGGCTACTAAAACACTGGTAACTACTAGTTTGAACACATCTGGGCATCATATTACCCGAACTCTACGTCAAGATATAAAAATATCGAATAATAATTGAAAATTCACGACCCTGCGGCCATAGAAAATGGGGTTTCCCACATTGAACCAAGAGTCACGGTTCTTGGCTCGTGGGCGGCTGCAATTGGCCCGATTTGGCATCTGAGATCAGAAGGTCGATTGAGAAAACAATGTACTGCAGCCACCCGGTGGACAAGCATTTCAAAACCCCGACTTTATAATGGATCATAAGCAAGTGAAAATGAAGCCAACGGTTGCCCAGATAGAGTTTCGACCTGACATCCGTAGGTGTTGCGATGCTAACAGGACTGACAATTTATTGCTAGAAGACTTCGGTGGAGCGATTGAGAATCCCTTTCATTCAGATGTATTCAAGTATCTGAATCGTTCTATTCTGTGTCATAGGATTTGTACCCATGATAATCTCCGAAATGACTTTGGAAGTGTCATGACTATTTCCATGATATAAATAGCATTTACTAGGATGAACGGCTTTGGAAGCTCGACAATATTAATATACTGTATTTGGATGACTGGGCCCAGCTCCAAACCTTTTGAGTTAGCTAGCTCGATGTAAAGAATAATGAATGTACATCATCGAGGCTCGAGGATGTTCATGCAGGCGATTGAGACATTGGGGCACCAAGCGAGATTACCTAGCAGGACGGAGGAAAAGGGGGAGTGATATAGGTATAGAGTACAAATAGGGTTACGGTGTACAATAGACCTACCAGGAAAGTCCAGAATACGGTCCATATTGAGCAGATTGACAGGGCGGATTCGAGAAGATCACCGCGCCACAACCTTTTCAGCTCGAGGCTGAAAGGCAATAAAGAAACTGTCAATTTGGCGAGTACGAAGAATATGAGAAGGGGCGCCAGCCTTCCAGACCGTCGGGGGTAGCTAGAGGGCGATCGAGACCACACCTGCGATCAGACCACAGTCAAAAGGACGATCTCATTTGAGCGAAGGGGGGTTTACCTGCCGACCATATGGTCAATGACACGACGCGACGCAATGTATACCATCCACCGTTTACCATTTCCCGTTTAATTGCAAGCCTTTTGTCCCCACTGCTACCGATAATCAAAGTAAGCCCCGGGTTCGCCGCATGGCTGCCTTCCAGCGTGATGGATGTATCAAATCCAAACGGCCCAAAGCGGGGGAACCCAATCAGCATCAATGCGGCGCTATGAGAGAGAACACCTTAAGTCCCATCCGCGAACGCAAAAATCAATAGACTAGCCGCTGATCACCGAGTCCTCTTCACGCCAACAGCTTGACAGGTTCCGCCCCTGCGCCATTGCATCACCGGTCCTGGATCGACCCCGATCTCGTGGGGTGTTTGCCGCGACCCACACCGATCGATCGTTCGATCGTGAGGTCCTTTTGTGACCTACCTATTTCTACAGTCATTGTTTTTTTTTTCTCTTGCCCACAATCGCATGGTTCTCCGGTGAAAATGCAGAGGATAGAAAAAGTTAGCAAAAGTCCCAGTGGATTTCGTCGATCACTTGATGCATCAATCCGAGACAGTTCCATTGGTCGTAAGCTGATGTAGGAGCTGGGAGATCTATTAAATACGGTGAGGTGAGCCCTTCCCCAGCTTTTACCCTCCATTTCTTTTGTGTGTGTGTGCTGCAGGTCGAACTGTCGTTGAATTTTCTCTTTCTTTGTTTTGTCCTTCCGGCATTTTTCCCTTCCTCAATTATGGATCGCACGGACTTGAACGAAGGATTGACAAGCCTCGACGCCGAGTCGCTGCGTTCGTTTTCAGAGAGCTTGCCTGACGAGTATCACGAATGGGTGTCAGAATCCGGAAGAACTTCACGGTGGGTTATCATGGAAGAATGAAAGAAAATAGTGGAGAGCCCAGGAGCTAATGAGACCAGAAATGATGAACAACTTCTCGACGACTTTCCTCGGCCACCAAGTCGACCAGGGAACTTGAACGGGAAGAACCTCGACGCAATCGTTGAAGAAGAAATCTATCCAACTCCCAGGCCATCAGTAAAGAATCTGCGTCGACATGTCACGGCCAGCGAACTGGTCACCACAGATAACGACTACCCCCTCCTCCAAGAGCTTAATCCTCATGACGGCGCAGAAGAATTCAACCCAATTAATGAAGAAGGAGCTTGCTACGACCTAATCGCACCATGGGACGGTGTCGATGCGCCTCTACACAAGCTTGAGCGTCTCACAGATGTCATGTTCGGAGAAGAGCATATGCTATCGATTTTGAATAACCCACGGTATCTCGTGCGATTTCGCGAATTCTTAATTGAGGAGCGTCCCCGCTCCATTTCCACCCTTACATACTACCTCAATGCAGCCAAGGCGCTCAAAGCGATTGAATATGCAAATGCGCTCGTGCGTCTGTCCACCGACATTCCACCTCCGGCTGTACAGATAGTTCAGGAATCGAATAACGCTGTTGGTACCACAGTCAATAAGGTTCTCGAACAACGAGTTGCAGATGCGCTTAGAGCGTTGACGGCAGAGGAACTTCCTGCATTCATAACTTCGAGGTGTATCACCATTACCAGCAAGATTGTTGAAGAGCGAGTGCGTGGCACATTGCCACTGAAGTTTCGCGAAACGTCGAATGCGCTGGCGGAAGTCTTCTGTTTGACCGATCCGTCTAGACCGGATAATCCTATTATTTTTGCATCAGAAGGTATGTCCAGCTTTATTCTTTGATTCGTCGCTGGCGAGTTCTTACCATCACAGAATTCCATCGCACAACGCAGTACGGAATGGACTACGTCCTCGGGCGAAACTGCCGTTTCCTCCAGGGCCCCAAGACAAACCCTAATAGTGTTCGGAGAATCAGAGAGGCTCTTCGAGATTGCCGACATCATTCCGAGCTTTTCCTCAACTAGTATGTCAGCCGGTTTCATATCTACAGAAGCTCAAAGCTAACTCATTCACCAGTCGCCGAGATGGTTCTCCATTCATGAATCTCCTCCAATGCGCCCCTCTCTGCGACAGCAAAGGCCGCGTGAAGTACTTCATCGGCGCACAAATCGATGTCTCAGGCCTTGCCCTAGATGGTGCACAGATGGAGTCACTGATCGAACTGCAATCACGCTACAGAGACCCAGACGAGGAAAGCGTGGCTGAACTACCAGCTAAGAAACACAAGGACGAGTTTCAAGAGATGTGCGAATTGTTCAGTCCGCGCGAGCTCAACGCTGTACAGGAGCATGGTGGAGATCTCTTCCAACCAATAAATAACAGAACTTCTGTGCGCGGGGGACGACAGTGGTTACAGCGTGGTGGCTCGGTTGATAGTGAGGCGGAGGCAATTCGTCTTCGAGATCTCAAGTCGCCATTACTGCGTGGGTCTTTGGCTGGTGTTTACGAGAATGTAGGTCTTTCTCTGTCCTCTCAGCCTCTCCGTATCTACCATCCCCAAGATGTCGAAGTGCGATTTGCTAACAGCTCTGATCTTGAATAGTACCTCCTCGTCCGTCCCTACCCTTCCCTAAAAGTTCTCTTCACATCACCTTCTCTCCAAATCCCCGGCATGCTCCAGTCGTCCTTCCTCTCTCGAATCGGCAGTTCGAACGCGGTCAAAGATGAACTCGTACAAGCGATGGAGCAAGGGCGCAGTGTGACAGCGCGAATCAAGTGGGTTACGCGGTTTAGCACCGAAGGCCGTAATCGCTGGGTTCACTGTACACCTTTGTATGCGAGTAATGGTGAGGTTGGTGTGTGGATGGTTGTTATTGTTGACGATGATGAGGAACAGATTATCAATTGGCGCACTTAGATGGATCCGTGCCTAGACTGACTTTTTTCTTTCTTTCGATGTTCTTTTGTGTATATATCCCATTCCCTTTTGCACCATGTGAATACTTAGCCTGTTTTATTTAATCCAAACCATCGTTGGGAACCTTGAAGCTTTGTTGAAGATGGTATGAAATGTGATACGATAAGACTTCGCCGACTTTGCTTCAACGAGGTACTTGGCTTGCAGGTTTAGGTAAAGAAATCTATTCTCTGTATTCGTGTGTATGTAGCTGCATAGCCTATTTTCGTTGTACGTGGAAATCATCAGTCATAATTCAATGCAGCCCCCAGCCTCTAACTCGGCGAAACACGAATGGCCGGTCATTACGACGAGTGAACTCGCCTAGATCGTCAGTTATCGTATTGTAGCTCCAAAATCCCTGCCAAACAAGTTTGGTATTCTTCGACGGGTTCACGTGCGACTTTGATGCTGTCGGCGATCGCAGTGCCAGATGCATCATGTAGACGTAGTGTGAGGCCGGCCCCTCCGTCTCAACGACAAGATTGCGAGGATCAGTTGATGTAGGTTCCTGGCCTGGTCTAGGGGAGAAGTCTGTTTCTTCAGGACCATCTTCGAGAGGGACTGGGGGGAGTCAGGCGCCAGCGCCCACGAAGGCAGTATTTCAGCGCATCCATGGCAACTGGAGGAACGTAGTCTGCTGTTCCGGGTTGGGCCTTGGCAATCTCGGAAGCCCGTAGATGGTGGCCACCCTTTTTGATAGCCCTTGCGGCCATCATGTTCTCTTTACTGATGTGCGGTACGACATCCACTGGCTCGGTTGTCGTAAGTAGTGAGACCACTGATCCGTCTGGATAGAAGCGTAGGTAGCGATAGTACGTCACAATATGGATGGGACTATTCCATGAGACGGTCTGGAAGACCGAGGCCGCTCCGGGTCGCATATAATTAACCGTGCTAATGTAGATACCCGTGAATCGGATTCGTGGGTAGGACTGGAACACCTGGCTCCAGGAGGATAGCGGCTGCGGAATCTCCAAAAGGGGTCCCTACCGGGAAAGGTGTGTAACGCTGTCCACTGAGGGTGTATATGGGCTGTCCAAGAGTATCGCAAGAGAATGTATACTGCATCCCATCGAAGCCAAACTCAGGCCGCTGGCAGAGGTGTTTCCAGATATTTTGCTGATGCACAAAGTGATAAGCAAATTGCTTACACACCAAGGCCATTCGCCCGAAGGTCGCAGGATCCCGCACAGCAACATGTCTTAGTATCTCGATCAATACCTCCGAGGGGACTTTCGCGATAGGACATGGGGGCGGTGGGGTGTTTTCAATCAAGGGCTCGGCTTGCGGGATGGGTAGATGAGCAAATGAAGCGATCAGTTCGGCAGTAGAATGATTCTCGGCGTCAGCAGCAGCAGCAGCAGCAGCAGGGGCTGGGGCCGTCACGGGCACTGCAGTTGACTCGTTGGGAGGGGGCTGGGCGGGCTTCTTCCACACATGGGAATAGTGCTTATTGCGGTAGGTCTTATCGACGGCTGAGTCGAGCTGATCAAGGTATTAGTATATATAGGATGGATCATGCCTGAGCCCATATCTCCGGCTCGACTCACTCGGTATGCCCTGCGGTAGTGCTGGAGGCTGTCACCAAGATTTCCTGCAGCCTCCTTCTCAACCGCCCGCTCGAAGTGCTCCAAGGCTGAGTTGGGCTCCTCCTCCTCTCCTCGGATGAAGATATCTTCCTCCTCTTTCTTTCTTGAGTTCACACTCAGCTCTCCAACCTGCTGTGCCAGCCCATCCGGATCAAAAGCGGCCGGTGGGGGTCCATCTTCCTCTTCCTCTTCCCCCTCCCCCTCTTCCTCCAAATCTTTGCGGTGAGAAGCTTCATGGTACAGAGGCAGTCGGGGCGGGGCGGGCGCAGCGGATGGAGGGGCGGACGCAGTGGACTGAGCGGACTGAGTAGACTGAGGGGTAGGTTGAGACCTTGGCTTTGATCGACGAGAAACTTCCTCGCGCCACTCGCGACGAAAACGACTCAAGCTCCGCGTTGTCCGTCATGGCGGGGGCGCCGATGTCCGGTGTCGGAGATCGATTAGACAGATAAGCCCCTCGAGGGATCCACCAGATCGAAGGGAGAAAACAATTAAGGAAGAGCGAATGAAGGATTTCCGAGCGCCATTGACTCTGAAGATCCTGGTTGTGTTGCTTGAGCTTGAAGTGTGAAGTGTGAAGTGTGAAAGGGAAGAGTTGTAGTTGGAGAGAGTCCTGAGAGTATCAGAACACCCCGGCTTATCTCCTCCGCCCTCCGCCCTTCGTCCTCCGCCACCCGCCAATCCCCGAAAAACTTCCCGGTGACGCACCTCTTCTCTCTTCATCTCTCAACTCCCATCTCTGTACACTACCCCAAACTTCTCTCACCCTCCCTAAATCTCACGATCGGCTTTGTCTGATCGAATGCCCGTCGGGTTGGATATCTCATCTTCTACACGTTCCCCAGCTGGCCCTGGATCTCATCTTCGGAACCGGCCCGAGATCGACTCCTCTGCGGAGGCGTTATGGACGTCGCATTTTGACGACCCTTCAACAATGACGGCGACAGCAGGGAATGGCTCTGTGCCTCCTGCAAATGCCTCTTCTCTACATGGTGATATTTCAGCTAGCCAGCGCATGATATCTGCCTCGGCAGGCAACATATTAACCGGTCTGCTCGGTGAGTCTGCATTTTCCCGATCGCGATACCTTCCCCCCGAGGCTTTTCACTAACCCCTAAATCAGTCACTCCTCTCGATGTCGTTCGCGTCCGGTTACAGTCCCAAACCGTTAAGAGCGTCAACCCATCACAATATACCTCTTATACCACCTCAACGCTGAAGAAGCTTCCCCCGAACATTGGAATAACGGCCTGCTGTCGAGAGGTCTTCTGGGTTGGAGAGAATGCGCAAATGTGTATGCTGGGTCCGCAGGGCGGGGCATTCAGCGCCCAGGCCATGGATTGCGCCGTCGAGGAAACACAAAGGCGGACATTTACATCAACTTTCGATGGACTACGGAAAATCGCCCGCAACGAGGGCATGGTTGCCTTGTGGCGAGGTCTCAGCCCGACTCTGATGATGGGCATTCCGGCAAACATTATCTACTTCGCTGGGTATGATTGGCTACGCACCGATGAGCGGAGTCCTATTAAACAAAGAGTCTCGGATGTTTATGCACCTTTTGCCGCTGGCGCGATAGCTCGAACAGCGGCCGCATCAGCCACAAGTCCCGTGGAAATGTTCAGGACTCGTCTCCAAGCTACGCCGGGAACTGGCGCTGGACACTTCAAGGAAACATTAGAAGGCCTGTACCAAATGACCCGGGTGAAAGGATATACATCTCTCTGGCGAGGTCTGTCTCTTACCATGTGGCGCGATGTGCCCTTCTCGGGCCTCTACTGGTGGGGTTATGAGAAGGTCAAGGAAGGCCTGGAAGGAGCGCGGCAAAGCGCGCCTCATCTTTCTGGCTCTGAGGCAGAGCACGTCTCGACCGCGACCGCCTTTGTCGATAGCTTCATTGCCGGTGCCACTTCGGGATCAGTAGCGGCGCTGGTAACAACACCTTTTGATGTTGGAAAGACACGGCAACAAGTTTTCCGGCATATGGATGACCATGTCTCTCCTTCCCCCCGATCAACTCTCGTTCCGAAGCCTATTGTCCCGGAACAGCTCTCTCTACCCAAGTTTCTCATGCACATATTCCGCGAGGAAGGCCTTGCCGGACTCTTCAGTGGATGGGCAGCCCGCTGCTTGAAAGTGGCGCCCGCCTGCGCTATCATGATATCGACATATGAGCTCGGAAAACGCATGGCTCGTGATGTCAACGAGCGACGACACTCCGAAGACTCCTAATCCTGTCGCCCCTTATCTCCCTCCTCTCTGTAATTTTATAATGCATGCGCTCGACCATCGAACGCTCTCTCGCAGCTCTTGCTTTGCCCCGTTTTGTTCTGTTTTCGGCGTTCGCATTTTGATGATACTGCATCGACTGAACTATAGAACTTGCATTTGGTGGTTTTCTTTTTCTTCTCTCTTCCAAGGACACCGGCGGAGTGATTTTTGGGATCAAAAGCATTCCCCTTGCTGTACATTTGGTGTTCGTGAATAAATCTACTACAAAAATATAACTACACTCCGATATCTCTACACTTCGCTACCGTATTATAGTTTACCTTGAAGTCGAAGTCACGCAATCGTCACTTTAGAGCATGCTATACCTCTGCAGCTAACTATTTCAAGAAGGGTTAGCTGCCCCGCAAAATTAGAGGAATCACCAAAATCCAAGCTGTAAAGACATACACTTTCAAGTTGCTTTTCAACTTGAAGGAAACTTGATTTGTTGACTGATCCATTCTGGCAGTAAATAGAGCACTTTCCGAAACATTCTGATCATCCCGAGACTCGATGGCAGTGACTATCAAATAATCAACTGGAGGATAAGACACAAGAAACACCCGACCTATCCCGTTTATACGATGTGCACTGACTCATGATCGGCGCGCACAGCCGACCTGGGGGGCGCAACCCGGGGTTTGCGCACCGGGCGCGAGCAGATGATCAGATTATGAGGCTGAAGAGCCATGTTTCCCCCATTTAAGGCGCCCCCATCCCGTAGGGCTTCTTTTCTTCAAGCTGCGATTCCAGTTCGGTTCGCGTCGAGAGCGCGATTCAAATGAATCATGTCTCGGTCCACAACGGGGTCGACGCGTCCACCATACTTCGATCACATACTTGCGACTCCTGAGACCAACGTTGAGTAAGATCCCCCGCAGGAACGAACCTGAAAAGCAACAACCTACTAACTACGTCTTCTTAGCATCGTCGCCGTCCCACCCATCGGTGCGCATCATAAGAAATCGTGGACGGCGCAAGGCTCGCGATCACCATGGCTAGGAAGTGAATTCTTGGGTTATATGCCGAGAGCGCGAGTGCTGCTGTATAACCATGGCGAGCTACGAGAGCACGACAAAATCGAGGCTCTGGGACAGCGACTGCTGAATACTCTTTTGACTGAACGTAAAAGTTACAGCCCCAGCCGGCCCATCTTTTTTATCTGCCATAGTACAGGCGGCCTCGTGGCAAAGGCTTGCCTGGCTTTAGCTTCACGGGCCGAGCCGAACCAAGCTATCCTCACCAGCTGCCATGGAATCGCCTTCTTCGCAACTCCCCATCAAGGATCGAGCTATCTCTCGGCTAACGAATATGCTCCGAGTATTCGCCGACTTCTACACCTCGAATGGGATCTCCCCTTGTCTCTGAGGGAGCAGTTTCGCCCACGATCCGCTCGACTATGGCACCTTTCCAACATGTTCAAAGCCCTGTCTGCTGATATGAAGGTTTGGTCTTTCCTCGAGACGGTTGATTCTACGCTACGCGTTCAAGACCCGGAAACCTCCAAGTACATGGAGTTGCATGCTCCGATCACATCGATTCGTTCGGGTTTGTTAAGCATTGAACATGAGACCGAGATCCCTATGGCAACTGACCACGCGGGGACTGCTAAATTTCAAGGCCAGGACTCTGCTCGCATCACGTTTCTCTACGAACTGAATGAAGCGGTAACTGGAGCAGTGAGACTATCCAAGGAACCAGATACACCTCTACGCGTTGAACGGGAAGTCATCGTTCAAGTGAACGGCTTCTTCGAGGATACGGCACTTGGGGTTAGCGATGAAACTCCACTCAAGATGTGGTCAGCACGGGTCTCTCTGGAGGACTATCTTGCGCGTGGTCCATCGGCATGTCTTCGAGAACGTTTGAAGCGTATTCAGCCTGGTGGTTTTGATGACTCCTCCATCAGTAGCTTTGACAGCCGTCACTCATTTCCGCATATTGTTCCCGGTCCGGATGAGATGGGTGGTGATGAGACTCATGAAAGCACGGAGCAACCCCAGGTTCCCCAAGAAGAAAACGTGAGACAACCACGACCAACGGTGAGACAAAGCCGAAGCTACATAGACCCTTCATATCAATCTCCTACTATCCATATTACCGAGGCGACAATGGATGGGTATTTCGACACAGGCAGCTCACCAAGTGAAGCTTCACCGCCAGAAGAAAGCCCACGCCGTAACTCTATCGGCAGAGCTCTAGGATTGATCCCATTCACTAGGGCTCATAAGCGTAGTAGATCTGATAGTAGCTCACGAGCAAGTAGCTCTCGGCCACCATCGAGCTCAGCATCCCCACAGCGACAATCGGCTTTCTTAGCCATACCACCTTCGACTCGAGACCGCATAAACCAAGATGCAGAGGCTCCGGATATACCTCGCTCAATTCCTCGCTTTGATCGTCCAGAACCAGATACAGAAAAGCTACTGTGGATTCACGTCCCTTATACCCATACCGGGTGGGTATCCCAAGTGATCCGGCGTGCATGTGAAGATCGCGATGAACCGAATTTGTACGTGCGTTCTACTTCATCGAGCTGTAAAACCGAAGCTAATGACAAATATAGTGTGAGAAAGTTTATTAATGATGAGAATTGGTACCTGAATCTCAACAGGGCTCGCCACCTCGAGCCCCATGCGCGATTTGTGAGACCACAATGCGTACATTCCAGACAGATGGATATCTCCCACGGAACTGATTCTGATGAATCGGAGGATCCTCAGCTTGCTTTATATGTAAGTTTAATAGTGATCACCACCATGCCCGTCCAAGTTTCTAACTAACGTGCTACTTTCTAGTCTCCATATGTATGTCAACCTTTCTTACATATCTTGCACTGCTAATATTTTGTAGCTTCATTGGGATACATATCGAAACTTAATTCAGCGACGAAAGGTGGTGGAAGACCGGCTTCGACAAGGGCGTTCCCGACCGGTGCCCAGTCGAATTGCAAGGTCAAGTCTAGAAGCCCAACTCATCTGGCAGTATCTGGGCTGTGAACCACCAATTCACTTTCGACGGACGCTAGATCAATTCGGATACCCTAACCTTCGCTCTACAGTCGCTAGAGATGATGACCAAATGCTCTGGAAACGAACTCGGAAGCCGGCTCGGCTTGACGCACAACTTCGAGCTTATCTGGAAGCTGCAGAAGAAGATGGAGAAGACACCGAGCCTACTGAGTTCATGGATGGCAATGTGTTGATGGTCGATCAACTTTGGATATGGATTGTTGACCGAAAGACTGTTGTCACATTCTTTCCTAATCAGGAGGCCACAACATCCGAAGGCAAACTCTATGAACAGTCGAATCTTCATAGCAGCATTTATAATGAGCTAAATGGGGATCTCGCACGCCGATTTGAGACGGCGGGTGATCTTGCAGCTCTTATAATGTTGCACGCTACGACAGTTCTTCTCGATAAGACTCTTCATCACGACCTGCAGGTGCTGCGTATCTTCGAAGAATCCATCAGTATACTAGTAAGTACCGCCCCTACAAAAGCCCTCCGAGCTTGCCTTTCAAGCTCTAACCAAAACAGACCGAATCCGTCACAAAGTCTTTCAAGCGTTTCCGAAATCGTGGCTTCACGAATCGGCCAGCCGACCACGACAGAAATCCAGATGGTAGGATAATGACGGCAGGTCAGCGCGATCAGCGAGACCGCCAAGTCGCACGGCGAAACCGAGACGATTTATCTGTTCTTCTTGAGCTCCGGGATATTGAGGATGAACTTTCGACCATCTTGAGGCTTCTCGAACAGCAAGACTCGGTGATAAAAAGCATGAAAAGGTATTTCAACCGCAAAACCTACGGCAAGGTATTCTTGGACATGGCGCAGTCTAGGATCGATGAATATCGCACCCAGATTGAAGATATGAAGTCAAATAGTCATACCGCGCAAAAGGCTGTACGTACTAATTACCCCCGGGGCTTGTGGTTGATTGTCAATTTTTGCTGACTCTGCCAGGTGGAAACTCTCCTTGATCTCAAGCAAAAACAGGCAAACGTGGACGAGGCTAAGATGGCCCGGTGGCAGGCTGAGGTAACTCAGAACCAGTCGAGATCCGTTATGGTGTTTACCATCTTCACTGTCATGTAAGACACTGTCCCTTTGGCTCAATTTAGTTATACTGCTGACCTTTGAAGATTTCTTCCACTGTCTTTTTTTACATCTTTGTTTGGTATAAACGCCCGTGAATGGAGTGGTGAAGCTACCAATCTCACATTGGCAACAATGCTGGAGATAGCTGGTAAGACAATGGCTTTTATCCCACTTTCTTTTATCAACACGCACTGACACTTTCTTCTTCAAGCACCCGCATCCCTTGCTATAATCGGCTTGTCTCTTCTCATGGCGTTCAGTGAGAAACTGCGTGGAGCGGTAAGAAAGTTCCATAAAATAGGCTCGGGTCTATTAAAGGACTTCTTGGTGCTGCCTACAAAGTCTTTCCTCCATTGGCAATCCTTTAAGAGCAAAGTACCCACCGTGGCAGTCTCTGACGACTCGACCATGCGGGAGAGATTCGATCGATATATGGGCTATGAGCGTCACAGGGTGAAGTTTGACGAGGACTTTTGGCAGCGACGCCAGAAAAATGACATTCCTCTTGCTATGTTGCAGCAACACACCCGGGGGGTAGGAGGCTCTAACGAGCCTGATATTATGCTTTCTGCTCTTGCTGAAAAGGCAAGGCGGAAGAAAGAGGGTGTCTGAAATTGTAACTAGTAGTGCATAGATTTTCCAGGAATGAATAGTCAAAATTGACCATCTTATTCCTATCGAAGATATTTTCTGCCCAAATTTAATTTCATTCTTCTTATACTTTAAAAGAAATGATTTCTTCAGGGCTTTTTAGTGCTGAGGCCTCTGAGGCCTGCGGCTCAGTCAGCCCACATTGCTTGGCGTGCTTTGTGTTGCGTTTGTCCTTTGTAGTAGCAATAATATTTAGTGTTAGCCATTACTTTGAGGACTTTCCCCTCTCACATCATTATATCTATCCAACCATTTCCAATTCATTTCCACCACTCCTATATATCTAATACTTGCTAATTTCACGAAGGCGTACCGACCGTTGACTATTATGACGCCCAGCCTGAGCACTGTAAAAGTGGACCAGCAGCATTGAGGAGATGGGTCATATTGGGCGACTGGAGAGCAGCATAATATCTCAACGAGTCATTTCGGGGATCGGAAGGTTCTCTCGTTGGGAGGTACTGCGAATTTTTGGAACAATATGCCCTTCGGGAAATGAAATGCTGAGCAAGTCACTGGAAAGCTAAATCTTCTTTTACAATGATACGCCAATGTCATGGTGCAGCAAGAAGCAATCCCTTGTGGCAACGTCTTCAATAGTTGCTTGATTCGCATCCAGGATAAAGCCCTATAACTACCTCTTTGTCAGATAGTAGTAGTAGCTTTCTCCTACAACACCACTCATCCCTTTCCCCTCGCTAGTATTAGGCGACTCATCAGAGAATGTTCAGAAAACATGCATCGAAAGTTTTCAGAGCTCATTTACTCGGGTTTTGGTTGTCGCACCAGAGAAATCGTACAGCTAAGACCTCTCCAGAAATGGCACAAAGTAAGCAGGCATGACGCCCGTTAGCCAGAACATTAGCTAATCTCAATAGCGACGAACACGCCTTCGAAAATTTGCGTTGTAAAGGTATGAAACAGGCGATGATTATCCGGTCCAGAAAATTGAAAAATTGAAAATTGAAAATACCACTGGCACTGTTAGCCCAATGGTGGTTTGCAAGACCTGTCTGTGATCTAGTAAATTAGTCCACTGCGACATATGATATTTCGTTCAATCTATTACTTCTAGGGCCCCGTTTCAATCCAACATGTCTTATAATTACTAAGTACGCTTTGCGGTGAAATATAACTTTGAAGCCGCATTTCTAGATAGTCCAATCCTTCGGGAGAAAAAGGGCTTATTCTCTGGTTCCAAGTCAAATCCCGCTTAGTACGGGGATTCACTGAAGCGAGAATTTCCCGAATTTCCCGCATTTCCCGCATTCCGCCCGAACTCGCCGATCATCATTCACGCATTCTCGGATATAGCGCAATTGTAATTAGTTTGCAGCATAATCGTGGCCGACTAGGCGGGCTTGCTAGGAAGATTCAAAAATGAAGCTCAGAACATGACAAATATAATAGTATTTCTTCTATTCCATCTCATAAATTTTGAAAGTTATATCATGTGTAGTCAGTAATCTATCTCGAATGATCACGATATACGGTTGAGGTATCTCAATTGACTACTGGTATTTTCAAACGTTTGAGGATTATAATCCAGATTCCAATCGAAATCACAATCTTTGACATCTGGGCCCGATTATGTCCATGAATCCTTCGAAAAGGCGAAGTAAATGGGCCGCAGTCAGACTATAGTGCATTGATAGCAAGGGAGGGATTAAACGGTACCACGCTGCGTGAAAATAACAAGCACCCTTCTACCGGAGACATTCATTCTGGCGGCGAGGAACGACCAGACGTCGTAGAATGCTTACGTGTAATAACCTCTCGAAGATAAACATATGCCATAGCCACCTTGTTTAATTACGCACCAGATTGCACAAATTAGGAGTCCAGCTAGGGGGATCTTCTTTGGCGGTGGGGACACATGAATGCCACTACCCGATTAAGGAATCAGGGCTTAGATGATAAGACCAGTGATAACAAGGGATAAATTTGATAGGAAGATTAATATCTACCCTAACTCAATAAATACAGTAATTCTTTATGATGTTTTGGGCCTCTTGGATGCGGTTCTCTTGAAGCCCAGAATAGGGATTTGAACGACCATAGGCGATACAAATTCAGATCTTGTTGTCCGTGAATCCCTTGATCTGGAATCCTAGTAGCTTGGGAATTTTTGATTTCGCATAGAGTCCTGCTGGGGAAATGCGATTCATGACAACGCGTTATCAGTGAAATCGAATTCATTCATTGGTCTCGGGGTCTGGCATGCCGACAGGCTTGGGAAGATCTCATGCCACAGGGACCCCCCGACTGACGTACTACTACTAAAATTGCACTCGTTATTTTTCATATATCATCGCGCAAGACCTGTCAGAAATGGCGTGATATTATCTAGTCGGAGAGATAACTTGATCTACTTCAGTGCTCATATCATGGCAACCTGCATAGTATGTACTACTGTTCTCTACCAACTACCAGATCCGAAACCTAACCCTTTTATTTATTAGGAGAAGTCCGATATTTCAATCAACTCCGATTCAAGTGGTTACACTGATAGTAATGGTCATCCTGAAAAGGTTCCCTCCGAGTCTGTTAAAGACAGCTCGGCTTCATGGACCCATGCACTGCTAGCTCTTTTAGTCGTGTTCTCCACGCAAGGATACTTTAATTCTTTCGGAACATACCAAGCCCCTGACGCCTCGTTTCGGTGGTGCTTTGATCAGGCCCGGATTTTAGCAGTGTTCCGTATCGGCATTCGGCTTCCGAGGTTCTGCCGGTGGTCGAGATCAAGCCATTCAAGTTCGTTCAATCTTTGAGCCAAAATTCCTTTACTCTGATATACGAGAGTCAACATCTTCCACGATTTCTTTCTTTTTCCCATCCACGCAGGGGCTTAATGCATCAGGTTGACAGGAAACTTGAAAGACAACTTGAACTTTATTGGTAAATGGAGACAGAATACAATCTCACTACTATTTCATAGATATCTTCATAACCTACATCGTACTAGTATGTTGAACTTGAAAGAGAGACAGAAAATTCAAAACAGTCAGAAGAACCCCGCAACACCATCCATGCGCATATCAACTTAATGTTTTCTTGGAAAGAGCTTTTCTCATTCCCACACAACACCAGGCTCCACGTATGGGAAGTAACAAAACCAGAATCCCTAGATAAAGGAAATCAAATTCACGAAAAGGATATAAATGTTGTTGAATAGGACGAAAACAATGCTTGGCTTTACCGATCGGTGGAAATACCGGTGACAAATCGAGAGAGGGACAAGGAATGAAAATAAAATGAGACAAAAGGGTAGAAGAACTGATATGATTCCCAGATGATATGATGTGATGTGGAGTGGCGATGCCGAAATTTAGTGTTGCATCATGTCGGACGGTTCGGCCGCTTGCGAAGGCAGGGATGTGATGTTCATCGCCGCGCACTTGAGAATCGTCTGCATCATTATATTACCATTCAACGGCTTGGAGAGATAATCATCCATGCCCGCCGAAAGACACTTATCCCTATCACCCATCATGGCGTGGGCCGTGAGTGCAATAATAGGCGTGCGTGGTAACGTGTTCACTTTCTCGTATTGTCTGATTTTATTCGTTGCCTCGAAACCACCCATCACGGGCATTTGGATGTCCATGAGGATCACGTCGTACCGGTGGAGCTTTACTTCTTTGACGGCTTGTAAGCCGTTTTCAACGACAGTCACGTTGTGGTTGTCCTTTTGTAGGATTCGCACGGCAACTTTTTGGTTGACGTCGTTGTCTTCGGCGAGGAGGATGGCTAGGGATCGGGTGAAGCCTGATGAAATGCGGCTGGCGCGATTGCCCAGGGCGGGCAGGATGCCGTTCCAGAGGTCTATCGATCGGCAGGGGGTGGTTATGTAGGAGGCGATGCCGAGCTCGCCGGCTGATTTCAGGAGAATTGAAATGGCGGGAGCCATGATTGCTAGGGGTATTGAGGAGAGATTTGAGCAGATGCGTAGTTTAATTGCTGTGTCGACGGTTGATACGATGATTGCATCGATGGCGCAATTCCAGTCTGCTCCTGGTTGGCCTGGAAGTTGTGAATCGGGTATGATTACTGGCTGGAGGCCGAGTTCCAATAACATCTGGGCAGCGGGGAAGTCTGGCAGTTGACCATCGTCAACGTATAAGACTCGGCGATTTTTGTAAGGAAGTAGTTGCTCTGCAAATCCGGTTGGTTGTTCGGCAACCTTGACCCGACAAGTGAAGGAAAATTTGCTTCCCTGGCCTAGTGTTGAGGTAACCCATATATCACCACCCATTAGAGAAACAAGACGCTTCGAAATTGCAAGCCCTAGGCCTGTTCCTCCAAAGCGGCGAGTCATTGAGCCATCCGCTTGCTGGAATTTGTCGAAGATGAGACCAAGCTTGCTTTCTTCGATTCCAATACCTGGATCTGCAACCGAGAACTCGAACATAGCCTCGTCTGGCTGGAGATCATGATTCTGAACACGCCTAACACAGACCTTGATCTCGCCGTGATCGGTAAACTTGATTGCATTGCCAACCAAGTTCAACATTACTTGGCGTAGTCGATAAGCATCGCCCAGAAGGTAATCAGGCACGTTTCCATCAACAATGCATGCCAGGCTCAATGCCTTTTCATTAGTCTCCACTGTTAGGGCTTTGAGTACGCCAAACACGGTGGAGCCAAGACTGAAGGGCATTTTCTCAATGTTCATGTGGTTGGCCTCGATTTTTGAAATATCAAGAATGTCATCGATGATGGTCAACAAGCTTATGGCAAGGTTGTGTACCATATCCAAGGTCTCTCGAACAGGGGCCTGAAGGTCATCCGTATCAAGGGCCAGACTGGAAAGACCAATGATTCCATTCATCGGAGTTCGGATTTCGTGACTAATGGGCTTGTTAGTATGGTTTGCACCATTTTCTTTGATCAACTTTCTACCACATACCTCATATTTGCAAGGAACTCCGATTTACTGCGATTCGCCAGCTCCGCGGCTT